TCAGTTGTGACCCAAGAGGACTCGTTATCGCCCTCGTCGTCGTTTGCGGGTGTTTCGGGCGCGGTAGAAGTTTGGCCGAACCAGGTAGGTTTGAAGGATGTCTTCGTCTTCACAAGATACTGATAGTTATGTAGCTTCATATCGGTTAGCCACGACACTATGTCAAAGCCGGGATCCCTCAATTGTGAGTAATAGACAATGTATTCGTCATAATTGTGCCTGTCTGACAGTAAGTATGTCTCAGGGCCACCCCAAGTAGTGAGGCAGAATCGGTCCGGTCCGAACGGATCATACAACGGATCAACGAGCTCGTCCGTGGGGAACGGTACTGCCAGTTTCAGCTTGGCTATAGCTTGGTGCGTGACCAGTAAGTGATCACTAATCCCAGGTTCTACTAATGGGTTCACAGACTTAGGTATTTCTATGGCGAATCCATACAGTCCTTGCGCGTTACCTTCATCGATAGCGGCTGATCGGATGTCTGCGGGGGTTACCCCAACAGCGTTGGATCTGAGTGTGCCAATTCTGGGCGCATTGTGAGGAGGTAGGCGGTGTCTTTTGGGACAGTCTTTAGCTAAGTGGCCTGTCTGCTCACATTCAAAGCACTGATTTAGGTCTCTTAATTTGCGTATAGTGTCAGCGCTTTTGCCTGTCCGGGGGCTTCTGTGAGGCTCGCGAGGCCGTTTCTCTGATCCAGGACGTCTATCACGTTGATGGCTCCTGTGCAGAGACGGGTTCACTGAGTTCGCAGAAAGTGAATGGGTGCGGTGCCTCCTATCACGCCTACGGGAGTGATGGTCTGGCCTGACGCTGCTGCTGCCTTGAGCTGCTAGGCCTGCAGCTAGAGTTGGTGTCAACGCTAAAAGTACGCTAGGGTCTTTAGCGTTCTCAAGGAATGCTCTCTCGGTGCGTAGAGCTTTTCGCTCGATCGTGTCCATACTAACGGTGTTAGGGTCGTAACCCTTATCTACTAACGAAGCCTTGATAAATGGCTTACAGTTCATCCAGAACTGGCGTACGAGCTCCCTCTCGTCAACGTCACCTGTCGTATCGGCGATGTTTCGGAGGCGTCGTATGTAGTCCTGCACTCCTTGTTTCCCTTCCTGACGACATTCTAGGAACTTCTGACGTTGCATCATCCTGAAGTCCGTTGGGAAGGAATAATCGAACAATTGTTCAAAGAAGTCGGTAAGCGTATATTTCTTTTTAAGATCAAGGACATCGCGCTCATAGAATCGATAGGCATTTCCCCCCAGATACTTGCCAATCATGCTAATAGTTTGTTTGGTGGAGAGTCTGGCTCTGTCCCGCCATTCCCTTACTTCGCGGACCCACTTCTTAAAAGTGGACGCGTTAGCTTCCCCATTGTAAGTAAACGGGGGTTCATGCTTTAAGAAGCCTTGCTGATATTTTAGCAGGTTCAAATTGGACCTATGCTTGCGACGGGCCTTTCGTTTGAGGCGCTTGGTGTCCTCAGAGTCGCTGCTATGGTCTGATTCTGGCTCCATTTGCAGCAGCTTCACGTTGAATTCATCCGAGGATTCCTCCTCTGAGTCTGCACCGGTAATGAACTTGGGAGGTGTCCTCGATTTCCTCTTGTCTTTGCGTAGCTGCTTATCACGCGTAAGTGTCTTCAATCTTTTCTTGTCCTTGCTGGTGTGCCTCATTTCTTCGTTGGCAGATTCAGTGGATGACCGGTCGTCGTCAGAACCAGGTCCCGACGGCGAGTCTGACGAGTCAGGATCACTGGGGTCACCACCAACTATAGCGCGTTTGACCGAGCTTTTGTCTGGGAGGAGGGAAGACGCCCTCCAGAACCTGGTGTTCTCTTTGACAGGTCTATCAGTAGGTTCTCTTATGCTTGGTGAGTCATCGTTTATCACCGTTGCGTGACGTCGTTCATTCAAGTTCGCAGCATTCTCTAATGGGGGAACTGGCGCTGAAGGTGCGCTGTCTGGGGGCGGATCTGGAAGAGGCGCGCGTTGCGCCTCTCGGATCAGCTTCTGCGCCATTTCTTCCCTAGACTGTGCCTCGATAACCAGCCTCTCGAGCTCCTTGACACGGTCGAGTAAGTCGTCGACTTCCTCACACTTTTGCGCGTAATCTTCTTTGGCAGATTTTCTAAAACCTTTAAGTGCAAAGTTTTGGATCCTAATGGATCCTGCTCGGTTATCGTCATCCCATAGACGACGGAGGGATTCATCGGACTCGTTCTCCCCTGGCCGGTTGAGCTCTGCCATCTCCTCATCAAAGTCTGTCCAGTCGAGCAGGTGATCCGTCAGTGATCTGAGTTTAGGTTGGTTGCTTTCTTTACTTTTCTCAGAGCTATCTTTACTGATTTCGGGTTTACTTTCACTAGCCGTTGGACTGGGCTTTAGTACGGGGAACTCAGGTACGTCTCCTAGTTCGTCGTCGTCGGTTACCTCTGACCAATCGAAGACGGCTTGCAGGCGTGGTACATTATCACTATCGGGCGACGTGAAGGTACGTAATCGCCCAATTATAGGGCCACCAGGAGGTATCTCGCTGACTGGTGCTACAGGACCCTCGTCACTATGTGTGGTACGGATGGTGGCGGCTCCTGCGTTGACCAGCAACGGGGCTCTGCTCTGGGCGGGGCTGCTCACAGCGTCCTTCGCCTGGGTGGACTCAGTGTCCACCTCGTTCAGGTCGCGTGGACCGAACCTGGAGGGAAGCTCAGCCATTGGGCTGTCATTCCCATCGTCTCCAGAAACAGGGTTACTGTTTCGAGACCTCGCGCCGTCTTGCTCGTGGGCGCGGCCATCAACGCTCACGTTCCTCGAGGAACGTGGGGAGGCAATTTCTAGTGCACTAGTAGGCATTTCCTTTTCTTGACGATATCGTTGGGGTGGGGGAGAGTTTTTGTGTGTTAACAAGAGTCGAAGTTTTGGAGGGTGATCAAGCCTCTTAGACAACGACTATAGCGGAATAGATTTTAGATTTGAAGGCAGTTAAAAATATGTGGCGTTCAGTGAACGTTCACACGAGAAAGAGTCGATTGGTTTGAATTGTCTTAAGGTTCGAACAGGATAACTGTCCTAACTAAATGTTATTCAAGGGGGGGGGGGGGATGAAAATCAACTACCCTACAAGTAAATACGCGATGGCTTATATACTGAAGGGTAAGAAAGTCAGGGACTAAAGGAGAATGAAACTAAATGAGTAACTAGAGAGAATGATAAAGTCTAATATTCGGTTGCTACCGTCGACGTATCGTCGACGGCTTTTGACGAGCGTTACATAATCACATCACCAAAAGTCCAGAAAACCGGTATTGCCTTATTAGGCTGACGGTCACGAGGTTTACTGGATCATGGGTGATGGCTGCTGAGACGATGACGCCAGCGCTTGATCATTATGACGTCGAGTAGTTCGTAGCTTACCGTTGTTCCCGTGTATGCTACACAAATGATATGCTCTTGTCATTATGATAACATCCTGATATACTTCTGTAAGTTTGATCCTCCCTGATATTCTCTGCGAATCGGCGATGCATACAGTCCAGACTCCACTTTGAATGCCCGGTTAACAGAAGAGGCTTCAAGTTGTCACGGTCGAGTCCATCATGGACTCCTGTTCTTTTACCGCTACGGCTTCGATGTCCATGCCAGACGTACCCAAGCAAACTCCAGACTACCTCACGATGTGGACTCAGCCAACTTCCAAGCACGCCTCCCCGTCGATTGGGTCTCACAATAAGTGTTGTATGCGCAATACAACAAAACAGGTCAGTTGAAACCATATCGGTGCCAAATGTGTGAATCCGTATCACTGCTCTTCTGTGCACGCTCGATTTTCTTAAGTCCTTTATTTGGTACCCTTTGCCACTTGGCCACTTTTGCGCTGTTGGGGTTGGGCTCGCTCTTCAACCGGTACTAGTACCCACTGCTCTTCCCACCACCACCACCACCACCACCACTCTTGCGGCTATTGGTCATAGTTTATGACCTGAATTTCTGTTCAAGGTAACACTGTCCACCCCTTCTCGTACAGTGTACTTACTATCTCTCCACACAGTGTATCTGCATTTAATACCTAAAGGTGAGTATATGCGCATTGCCTCTATTCCAACGCCTCACTGCAGCCTCAGTGATGTCACCCGACACGGCTTATGTGACGCGGCATGGTGAGAAATCATTTGGTCTAGTTAGTATCTCTGTCCCATGGATCATCCCTACCGCCCTGCAGCGCTGTTCAATCTAGCCGTGGCAAAGTCTGTTAGTTGCCAAGCGGATGGAAGATACTTCGACCTCGACATCCCCATCTCTCTTTTTCAAGGGGCCCTCGACTTGCACCCCACTGATCATCCAGACAGAAGTGTCACATAGCTCTATCTTGCCATCGCTTTGCTCTCGCGGTTCGCGAAACGGAGATTTCAAATGGATGTTGATACAGCTAAAGAATTGCTGAGCGACGTAGCCGATGTCATATAGTATGTACTACAAGAATAATATGTGCTTATACTAGTACCATACCACTGCAATAAGCCACTATAAGGTGCTGGAAATTGTTCAGGCCTGCTCAGCAGCCATCATATGTCAGTCATGATGCATGACCCATCAGCTGATGGTTAAATGAGCAAAAATTCAGTTTCATGATCTTACCATCTCGGATGACCTGGGGCTGGGCTGGGCTGATGGGCCATGGTGGCTATGGTGAAGCTGATACCGGATGATAAGACCTGAGCATACCTTATCTAGGTTTGGGACTTTTGGTGATGCAGGCCGGTATGTCTGTGCGCTAGTATTGGCCCGCACCCGCTACATAATAAGAACCGATATCTGTTTCGGTCATTTCCGAGCCGAAAAGGGATTTTGGCGTCTATGTAGACGACGCTGGACTTTCTTTCATTCCATCATCTGATTCATCAACTGCTCCCAGTCTTGAACACCATGAAAAGCGCTGAAAAAAGAAATTGCGACAATACTGCACCTGCCGTCGCCGCTCCTTCAGAGGATGCGCCACTAGTACTCTTTAACATGAACTCCCATGACCAGATTCCGCTGATCGACAAGGAAAATCCTTTTTACTGCCCGAGCTTCCCAGCTGCAGCATATCTGGCTACCCTCCGGCAAGCTCGTAAATCGAATCCTTTCCTTTTTCAAGACATCTCTCTGCGCTCTTTTTTCTGGAAAATCGGTCTCTGCTTCACAAAAGAAAACCAAAATTATACCAGCAGTTCCATCGCTCACAATAACCTAAATGCACCTTTATGGCCGAGTAGCCCGGACGTTCAATCGCCAATCATTCTCGCACGAAATCAAGTCTCAGATGATTCGCCAGTATTACGACGTGGATCAACTGGGCTGGCATGGCGGAGAGCTTCTACGCGCGTTACGAAGCGTCCTCGAGATTCTTCCGAGCCTGAAGATCCTATCTTTTTTGGAGGACCGTCGAAACGAGGTCGTTCTTCACAATCCATTCATACAAGCCCTGTTGACAATAGTGGAATCGAACCGTTGTCTTATACTTTGCATCATCACGATCCACTCGCGGTATCATATCAAGACGTTCCAAGGACTTTCCCAGGTGTCCCTCTTTTTTCCTTCAGGAAACGTTCACCTTCGCTCCTACTCCGAGTTCTCCCTCTTAAATACTTAACATATACATATACTGACTATATGCGTCTCAGCGTGGGTCTATGAATCTGAAACAGGAGATGAGACACCAGTAGACCTTTCTTACCTAGTGAATCGCCTCGAAATGGTCATCCCGGGCACAGGTGTGCACCAAACGTTCCTCGGAGACCCTCTGGCCGTTCTGCACCTCACCCACCAGAAAATCACAAACGTTCTGGCAGACCGGGGTATCGATCGCAGGAATGTCTCTTCCTGTCATGAATGCTGAATGGTTTTAGGACTCCTTACCGAAATTGTGTTGACGCTCCTGCGAGGTGGCAATATCGATAGATTGGTGTTAGGTCCTACGATGTGCGAGGAAGATGGGCTAAATTTACATTCTGGCAATCTTTTACGCGGTAAAGCTCTTGGCAACACAGCTCTGTTGAAGGCTTGACTTTGGACAGTATTCAGCAAACCTGGTTACTACTTGACGCTCAAGGAGCTAGTTCTCGATGGCGCCCACTTGGAACGCGATTTCGACCTCGTCCACATCCAACAACTTCCTAACCTAGAAAAACTCCATCTCGAGGGGACTGATATCGGAAACGAAGCGTTGGTCGTCAGATTTTTTCGTGTTTTCATGACGACTGACGGTCTCTCAGAGTATTCTTACTGGTCACCCTCAAAGAGAAGTTATATTATCTGAACCTTGCACACAATCCGAAGATCGACGACGACGCAATACTTGCTATCCTCCTACTTACCAACCTTGGGTATCTTTCGATTCAGGCAACTGGAATCGATATGCCTGGCTTTCGCCGGCTCGCAGCGGTAATCCACGCCGAGGATCGCGTCATTGACATTGAAATTCCATTCAGATGCGAGAAATACATCGATAGTTAAGTGTTTCTTGTCCATTTAGCGTAACTTACCTGGTTTTCAGACTTGCACAAGCAATACCTCGTCGATCCTGCGTTGCCTCTCATCACTGATCCCTTGGCATGTCCATTGTTATCAGATGTCGCGCTCATCCGCAACCTTCAAGCTCACGCCGACGTCAACCCCTCGATTGTACCGACAGGAACGCGTTTAGAGATGATTGAAAGATTGAAGAAGCTCTTGGAACGAAGGCAGATGGACCTTGTTGTGCGTAGTATGATTTGCGGGGAACCTTAGGAGGTGTGAGGTTACTTATCATGTGAAAGTTATAACAAAATCAGAGATACCGCGATGGCTGCTACGTACACGTCATTGGAATTGGAAATACGAAGAACGTACACGTTGACTAATTGGTACCGGTGTGAACGAGTCGGCTCCAATGCTTGAATGATTGCATATTCCATTCTCTCATTCTATCACCCCCTGCTCTCAATTCTTTACCACCATGAGAAGCGCTGAACAAAGAAACGGCATCATCACGTCGAAGCGGAATGCAAGAGACAAGGCGCTGGGTTTTGCTAGTCCTTATTTGGTGAACGACCATGACGCCTATACCGAAGCAACGGGTTAGTCTGCGTTCCGTTCGGGGACGCATGTGTCGTGACTTCTGTAGCCAGCGAAATCGTGCAAAGGATAGCCAAAGAAGAATGGACCTCTTCTCAAGTTCTTGAGGCATACATTGCGCGATCTGCCATGGCCCAGGCCGAGGCGAACTGTCTTACAGAAGGGGAGTAGATTCTCCATTTTTCTTCCGGTATTTCCATCCTGATACCTTTCACAGTCTTATATGAGGACGCCCGAAAACGAGCAAAAGAGCTTGACGCAGAATTTGCGACTACAAAGACATTGTGGGGACCTTTCCATGGTGTTCCATTCAGCGTCAAGGATAATTGTATGTCGCCCCATGTTTGACTGATACCTTTCTGAACCCTGCTGTAGACCAGATTGAAGGATACGACGCGACGACTGGTCTCACCGCGTGGGCCAACAACCCAGGCAAAAAAGACGCTTGCGTATGTCCTTATTACAACATTCTCCCATTTTCTATATCATTATTTGTAGCTCGTTGCTCAACTCAGAGCTGCTGGTGCCATCATCTTCGTGAAGACCAATGTACCGCAGACAATGTTCGCGTTCGAGTGTTCTAATCCTCTCTGGGGTCGCACGACAAACCCATGGAACAACAAGTATACATGTGGAGGTAGCTCGGGTGGAGGTTCGTTATCTGCTTGTGAATCTCCCAGTACATAACAGTGTCTGGTGCTAGAGGCAGCTTTGCTTGCCATGGACGGATCCGCCATTGGTGTCGGCTCTGATGTCGGAGGAAGCTTACGCATCCCGACATCGTATTGCGGCATTTACTCTTTAAAGCCGACGGCTGAACGTATCAGTTCTGTTGGTACACCAGGAAGGTCATGTTCTCGATTCTTCCGACCAAAACGCTAACTGGCTTTTTCTTACAGGCATCCGGCCTGGATTCGAAGCAGTTCGAACTTCTCATGGGCCATTGGCGCGGTTAGTCGGTAACTGGATTACTTGGTTCATTTCTTGACTATTTTGTAGGTCTGTCCAGGACTGTGAATTGTTCTGCAAAACTATCTTTGGTCAAAAGGACTCGTCGCACCAGAATATTCCTATGCCATACCAAGCCGTCGAGCTCCCTTCAAAGCTTCGCTTTGGTTATTACCTGTCAGGTACCGTAATATATTTTGGTCTTTACGATTTACTGCTGATAGAATCCTCATAGATGGAATGATAGAAACATCACCTGTATGCAAGCGAGTAGTACTGGAGACAGTCTCGGCCCTCAGGAAGCAGGGACATGAATGCATCGAGTTCACATCTCCTCTAAGTATGCCTTCTATGCATGTCCCCACTCCGTCCTGACATTTTATCAAGACAGAGCCGCGATGGAAGTGTTCGTAGCACTCGCATCATCTGACGGTTATAAGAAGATGCTGTCGCATCTTGATTCAGACCCTATGGCAAGTTTAAATTAAGGATATACTGGCTATAGCTCACATAACCCGACTTGCAGGAGGACAGCTTGTTCCTGGTCACCTTGGGCCCCAGATTACCGTCCTTTGTCCGTAAGCTGGCTTGTTGGATCGCCAAGACGTTCTTGGGCGACTCCCTCTTTTCGCAGCTCTTCTCGTTGGCACGAGAGAAATCTGTCACGGAATTTACAGATTTGACCGACCAACGCAATGAAATTACTGCTGCGTGGTATGAACAGGTGAGAGCATTGGCATCCAGGAGACTTTTCTTTGTTAATCGCCCCCAGATATGGGACAAATACGGTTTCGACGGAATCATCGCACCTGTACAGTCCCTTCCAGTGATACCTCACGGGTAGGCTTCAGTACCTTCCCTATTGGTTGTGAAGCTTATTATTTCCAGGAGTTCCGCATACTTATCCCCGCTCGCGGCCGCGACTATTATATACAACATCGTCGACTCTCCGGTCGGCATCATACCAGTGACGCGTGTCAACCCAGATACCGACCAGCTATCAACAGATTTCGTTCCAGGCGCCTCAGGCCAATCGAAAGTGTTGGAAAGCCGCATGTACCTGGGCAAGAATCCCATTTACGATCCTAAAGCGATGGAGGGTATACCCGTTGGTGTTCAGCTTGTGGGTAAGAAATGGGAGGATGAGAAGGTCCTCGCGATGATGCATGTCGTCGACGAAGCACTGGGACCTAGAGGATTCGGTCCAGGCAGTTGGAAACAGAGAGAGAAAGACAGTGATTCTTGACTTATGTCGATCCGCGATGGTGCAGCCGGTGCTTCCCGGTCCGTTGTTGAAACAATGGTGGTGAGTGACCTAAGCACAGCACACAGAAATCGAGTCTAAATGTTGCATATAGATATATATTGGAGCAGTGATGAGGACTTGAGATACAGTTTGTGAGGCAGAACATAAGTGATTATTGATGCATGGACGATATCGTAAGTAGATTTGGTCGTGGGCACGTGAACACAAACATTGCAGTGGAGTTCTATATCACATCATCAAGCAAGAATGAAAGAGGAGAAAAAAGCGGCAAACAGAATGAAAAGAAAATGACGTGAATGGAATTCATCAGTGCATGGGACAGTAGGAAAAGCAAGCCTAAGGAAAGAAACTAGACGAAGAATATGCGCGATAAGACTCTCGATGATCCCCACACATGCCACAGTGCAGGATCATGGGTCTGAGGCACTGGAGCGCTCACATCCTGCTCTTCCCTTTGGGGTCAGAAGGGTAGCCGGAGTCATTCTGTTGCGACGGCGACGAGCCTTGAGACGAGTGATACTGTCCTTGGTGGTAGCTCTGAACGCGTCTAGCACTAGGTAAGCCACCCTGATGAGTGTACTCAACGCCCGGTCTGGGATTAGGCTGCATGATGGCCCCGTTGCGATCTTGAGTCATAAAGGTATGTTGCGGACGGGTGGAGGTCATTGGAACAGGGCCGAATGTAGTGGGAGATGATGCCACAAATGCTGAGGATGAAGACGTAGAGGTTAGAGGCACTCTGGCTGCTGGCATCTGACTGAAACCCGAGCGTCCAAATCCTCCCTGTCCAAATGATGTCTGACCAAATCTCGGCGCTAATTCTGGACTTCCATGAGGCGGTAACTGGCTCTGCAGGTACCTAGGCGACTGCTGAGAAGAACCAAGGACTGGATATGGACTGGTGGCGGGCCTGCGCACAGCAGGTCGAGTTCGACCTTCGCCAACAATATGACTTCCCTGTCTCAATTCCGGATCGATGTAGGACTCGTCGGATGCTGCGGGGCTAGGACGATTTGGAGCGTAATTCGAACCTGCTGACATACCAGCCTGAGGTGCACTCATCCCCTCTATGTCGCCTTCCGACGAAGAATCGTCATCGTCGCCCTGATCAAGTGCCGCTCGAGCAGACTTGCTGCGGCGCTTACGAGGGCGCTTGTAACCCTCACCGCCAGAGCAGTCGAGCTGCCAATAGCTTCCTTTACCTGGCTCCGTTATGGCACGGGGCACGTGTTTGAAAACTTTGTTCAAAGAGAGGTTATGGCGAATCGAGTTCTGTGCATAATCATGAGGCTTAATAGTAGGTGAGGAACCAGAACAAGACTCACCTTCCAAGCCTTCTCATTTCGCCGAGCCTTGAACCATTCGAAACGATCCTCGAGCGCTGTGTATATCTCTTGTAGCGTGAGCTGCTTGTTCGGGCTTCCGTAAATCGCCAGCTTGATCAATATAGGATAGGGCTGATTTGGTTTCTCTCCTTCGGGAGGATCTGGAAGCGCGCACAAGTTGATTTCCTTGTAGGGTGGAATGTGCAGCGTCTCGCGCAGGTAAGGTCCCGCGTCTTCGAAAACAAGGTGCCTAGACCTCTCATCAGCGGTGGGGGCGGCGGGGAATATCGATAGCGACCCATGAGAACTAGACGGTGATGCTGATGACTGTTCGAAATGTGCTTGAGACGAATTAGTGGGCAGGGGGAGGTCCTGATTCGTCTGTTCATAGAACTCGGGAGCAAGAATGTTGTTGGATTGATACGAAGGTCGTGGAGGTGGTCTATAATGAATGGTGGCGCTACTGGTGGGTGGCTGGAGTGGGTATTCAGCATGCTCAAGGCCCAGGCGATGAAGACCATGATAAGCTGGGTAATGCGAATGATGCTGTTGCAAGTGCTGTGGCTCATTAGAAGATGACTGGCGAGAGATCGATGGATTATATTGCTGATATTGGGAATGTGATGCGTATGATTGGTCTTGATCGGAAGATGAGGAGCTGCTCCAGTTGCTGTCTACGCTAACATGAGACTCTGCGGGACTTGGGTACTGCAGTGGGAGAAATAATAGAATAAGATGACTTGTAAATGAATGCTTGGGATACTCACAGACGGAATGCCGTGAGCTCTCGTACTGCTATGTGGCGTGTGTGTTAGATATGCTTGTGGTAGAGACTGCCCTGGCCGAGGAGGGACATAGGGAGTGTCATTAAAATAGTCCGAAGTCAGAACTCCAGAATCGTGAGCTCTACTTCGAGAGGCGCCGAAATGGGTGGCTCCGACCTGGTTGCCGGTGCGGGCAGTGCCAGAGTCGGACTCCCCGTCCGAGATATTATGTGAATGGGGGATGGTGATTGAATTGTTTATTGTAAGCCCGCCAAGAGGAAGGACACTGCCGGCCAGACCCCAGGTGTTGAAATGCGATCCGCCAGGCATGGCAACTGCTGTGCAAAGGACATTGTAAAAAAAATAGCGAGGACCCACCAAACCAAACAATTTGACAACATCGGAACGTGAAAGGGTCGGTCGAGTAATAAGACGGACGCGACGCGGAGGTCAGGTGATCAAGAGGTTGTAGATAACACGTAAAAGTAAAAAATAAAAAAAAAGATAATGCAAATTATGATTAGTGACGGCATTTTCCGAGACGTAAATCAAATTTTACCTGACAAGGAGATAACGGAGTATGAGAAGAGGATGGTCAACTGTTCAAAGATGAAAGAGATCCGGGGGTAAGGATTAATACAGAGAAGGGTTTGTACGGTTTGAGAGGCCTTGTGGGCTTTTTTTCACTGGAAATATCGAGTAGGCGGGCCCGCCTTTTAAGCACGATCGCAAGGTGTGACATGTTTCACCTTCTCACTCCGAAAATTACCAAAGGAAGTAAAAAAACTGGATTGCTGTAAAATGGTTGAAAGCAATCGAGCCCCATGATTGCCTCTGAACAAGGTCTCTCGTGCGAAATGAGTACGTCAGCTCCCTTTGACTGAGGACGCTGACCATGGGAACTCTGCTACTTGCCTTGCAAGGTAATTCATGATGGCAGTGTTCACCGCAAGTCCATATTGACCCTATCCAGTAATTTTGACTGGATTGCGTCGGAGGCAGGTTCTCTATTTCCCTTTTACAGCAAGCCCGCTCGAAACCACCACGCTAGTTCAACGTGTTTCAACAACGAGGCATCACCTCCATACATTACAAGTTATTCGACCTGAATTTGGCCTTGCAAATTGCAGTAAAAACAAGTTCGGAGTGTGGGCTCCTCGAAGCTAAAAAAGAGCCTATCAACGCATACGAGTGGGTGTGCCAAGCTGGAGGCAACCTCAGCGGAATCAAATAGGCGAATCGTGCTAAAATGGCAACTGTAAGATTCGATATCGGCAACTGCCGATACCAAGATGATGCGGACGCTCCGCATCATTTGAGTCCTTGGCCTTCTCAACGGTTTGACAAATCCTGTCCATGACACACCAGACGTCCCGCCGCCCATGTGGATTGTCAACGAAGTGCACAAGTCAAATCAGGTACTCCGAGTAACCAACGTTTCAGCTGAGCCGACGTTCAACACCACGACCGGTGTTCCCGGTCGCAGAGATCTCAATGAATCTACCGGCGGAGACTTCACTTCGCACACTCAATTCCTGCCTTTAGATGACGAGAGCAGATCTGCATTCATCTTCTCCTCGCCCGTTGTGGCCACTGCGACACAAATTGAGCTATCAGTTATCTATTAATACATGTCTGTAGGTTCAGACAATCCGGCGTTAAACGGGAAGTCTACAAGCCATTCTTCAAAAGACGTCCACCATTATCTTTGGAGGAGCCTTGACGCACAAAAGCCACCCTTCCACATCTCCGATAACGCGCTCCAGGGTCCCCACAAATGAGTAGAATAGGGAAATACCTCTTTAAAGTTCCGCAGTTCAGTACTTTCCGCTCTGTTTTTCTCGTCACGACTTGCGCTCTTACCCTGGTACTCCAGCTACGTCTATGCAGTCCTGAATCATGGCATGAGACGTCTAATACCATGCTGGTTTCCGTATCTCTTTCGACCGTTGGCCGGGACATTGAAATTCAAGAAGATCAGCTTCAGTGGCTGGTTTCTGCATGCCTATCCGAGTTCGGTGTGTATATCCACTCATGTACACTGACCTCTCACCAATTGTACAATAGCAAGGGGTCTTGCGATGTATGCATCAGTATGTGATGCACCTGAACGCCATGTCCACAACATTCGGATATTTCGATGAGTCCTACTCCGTCGCAATCCGTGTTTCTCGAGGCAGCTGTATTGTAACTTCTATCATTGCCGCCACTTTCTGAACGGCTCCAACATTGATAATGGCAATGACATGTCGCCGAGTCTTGCAGACACTATCAATTTTCCAGCAAATGTCGACGGGGCAGCCAGAACTCCTCGCCAATGATATCGCAGTGCAGTACCTCTACTGTAGTTTCCAGTTTGTTTTTCTTCGCCTTGGAACATTGTTGATGAAAAGGGTCGAATGGGGGTTCTAGCTTTTCACCCTTGTCCGATGATTCAGGGGCTACCTGCACGTTTACGTGAATAGGATTGGATGAAGTACATTCCAATGGGACGCACGATTTCTCGAACTATAACGCTACCTTTCTTGAACCTCTGTGATATTTCATTATAGTTGATACCAAACCGGGAAAAGAGCATCTCGTGCTTAGTCGCGGAAACGGTGCCCTGAAGATTTGTCAACGAACATCACAGATACAGAAGGAAATATAAATACTTTAAGCGTGGTATGGGCCTCCGTAGCAGTCTGACCTCCTTTCTGTATGAGAGCCCAAAAGGTGGTATTGTATAGATTGTTTATGTGGGCTTTACGCTGACAAGCAGCTTTACTCAGTCTCGGCGAAACGATAGTCTGAGATAGACCCACTGTCAGCTTGTCGCCATGCAAAGTAGTCACGAATAGCACGCTCAGTCGGATACACCACAATACGTCCATCGAATGACGGTGGATATCGTAGCGGCGTGTCTGGAAAATACTGCGACCAGTAGAGCACATAGCACGAAGTGAAGTAAGACGTCAACGTGGTGAGGATCTTCGATTGTCGTCGGTTATAAAGATTCGTCGACTTTCGGAAGAGAAAGCTATGATGAGCGATGATGAGACGGTCGGAACTGGAATGAAAGGGTTATAGTTGCCTGAATTCATCAGATTCGCCGAATGCGAGCATGATGTCTTTGAACTCGATCATTACGCTCTTCGCGGCGTGATCCATGAGTTGGAGCGCACGCTCGTCGTTGGGCTTGGCGAAGCCATGCTCGTCCGAGAACCTGTAAAGTGCGATACTATTATGCTTTGTCCTCCTCGATCGGCTTATGATGCTCGCTTACCGGTGGAAAGAGTGTCCGTCGAGACGACAGACCAGATAGGTATCCGGTAACAGTGGATCAGGGAGCTCGAAATTGCGTACGTATGCAAACTTTGTGCCCGCCATCACGGTAGTACTTCAAGTTGATCTACTACTATGTAGTAGTAGCAACTTGTAAATATGATCTGGTTTCGCTGGGACCAAAGAGAAATTCGCTCAAACTCCATCCAAACATGGTAATCACTGACATAAAAGTGGGCGTGATTTCTGACACATCGGGGTGAACGATATTTAAAAGAGGTTTATATGTTGTACAAAATGTGAAGACAATATTTAATATTTAAACTAACATAAAGATGGGTGCACAACTTCAAATTTTGGTGGTGTTTTGTGTGTAATCCAAAATATCAAATATTCACAACCATATTCCCACAGACAATATGTCAACAAACATAAGAAATATAGTCAGATTTTTCATGTCTGCTTCAACTTAAAGTTCAATTTCCATGTAAAACTTTGGAGAAAACTTGAAGTTTTACAGATGACATGACATTAAAACTCGATTTAAATGTCAAGCTTTGGCAAAACTTCAAGTTTTCTCCAAAGTTTTATGTAAGAAGCAAACTTTAAATTGAAGCAGACATGGAAAATCTGATTATATTTCTTATATTTGTTGACATATTGTCTGTGGGAATATGGTCGTGAATATTTGATATTTTGGATGACACACAAAACACCACCAAAATTTGAAGTCGTGCACCCATCTTTATGTTAGTTTAAATATCAAATATTGTTTTCACATTTTGTACAACATATAAACCTCTTTTAAATATCGTTCACCCCGATGTGTGAAGGATACATAGACTACTTTACATAAGCATTGATCAAATATCTTCCCCCAAATCAAAACGGTCCTGAACAACCTCCAGGCTGCAGATCTGTTTGAACTACTACGTGGTTCAATTTGCATTCATACAATCTCAAAATGCTGACAAGTTCACTTTGATGGGCCTCCAGTACAAGGCACACAGATTCGGCACTTTTCTCCGTCACTGGCACATCATGATCCCCAATCCTTCTCGCACTAACTGAAACTTTAAACTGACTCAGTTGCCAATTCCTTGTTGGGCATGGAGTACTTCCAGCTTTCAAACACCGTTACTCCGATCAAAACCCATCCTTTAACAATTAAATTGTATATGCCTCCTACTTGAACTATATACGGTACCAGCACGACCAAGATGTCATCATTTCTGCCGCTACCCCCATTTCCAGCCGTGTCATCTTCATCACTTCCCCATGGGTTCATGCATCCTTCCAGAGGTGGCCTTAATTTTATGTCATCAGCACCCCCAATCATTTCAAGCATAGAAAGTATGGGTCGGAAATGAGAGATGCAAACATACATGGTATGACAGATGATCTCTTCATTTTCCTTTGCAGCAAGCACTGACTGTGAATGTTTGTGTAAGATGTCACTTGATGGCATCGACATGGAAGATGATGAGCAGGATATGCTGTTTGCCAAGTACAGTGTTGACACCATATATCTAAGCTACCTGGCAGCGTGGAATCGAGTCTGCCAATACACTCAACTCTTGGCACTCCTGAAGCACAAGGAAAATGCATGGCTAGAGAAGTTCAGAAGGCTAAACTTGCAGTGCCGGGTTACAAGCCTGAGCCTGAGGGGGCAGTTATCTCGCTTGAGATCTGAAGATGATCTTTCCTCGTTACAAGTTTGTGCCCTTGTATTCGATTTAGGGTGATCTCTGTTTCATAGATATCCCAATGTCAACTACTGTATTCAAAATAAATGTATCTCTTGCTCAATGTTCTGGTTGTAACAGGGCTTGCCTGAGCCTAATCGCAAGTACACCACACATCAGGGTGAACAATATTTAAAAGAGGTTTATATGTTGTACAAAATGTGAAAACAATATTTGATATTTAAAATAACATAAAGATGGGTGCACGACTTCAAATTTTGGTGGTGTTTTGTGTGTCATCCAAAATATCAAATATTCACAACCATATTCCCACAGACAATATGTCAACAAATATAAGAAATATAATCAGATTTTCCATGTCTGCTTCAATTTAAAGTTTTACATGGAAATTGAACTTTAAGTTGAAGCAGACATGAAAAATCTGACTATATTTCTTATGTTTGTTGACATATTGTCTGTGGGAATATGGTTGTGAATATTTGATATTTTGGATGACACACAAAACACCACCAAAATTTGAAGTTGTGCACCCATCTTTATGTTAGTTTAAATATTAAATATTGTCTTCACATTTTGTACAACATATAAACCTCTTCTAAATATCATTCACCCCAATGTGCCAGTAAGTTCAATTGATTGTAAATTTGTGTCAAATCTGACAATGCCTAATGAGGGCAATACACTAATAACCTTCACAGCTGGTAGTACTTGGAATTCCCACTGTTGCAGTGATGCTGATGTATTGCATTGCTAGATCCTTTTCAATACCGAGACTGCATTGTTTTTTGTAATTATTTGAACGTGCATTCCGATCTTCCACATTCTTACTATTCCATCAGTATTTCTTGAAACATAACCCAAGAGCTCCAACTACAAGCAGAATTTCCCAAGTTTCAATTGTCCATATTGCTAAAGACAAGTGAATGACTGCCCCTTACTCATATATGCTCATTGAAACATCCCCCACCACCACCCAATAATCCACCCACTGCCCCATGTCTGCTGAGGACAGCAACTTCAACTCCTTCATCGTTGGACTGACACGCTTGGTTATGGCGGTGACGCATGAAGCCATGCCAGCCACTTTGACGCCCATCTCTCCAGATGCCCTGGTCGCAATGTCTGATTGAGCGATAGAACACATGAAGTTGAGAAGCTTGGTAGCAGGCTGCAATTGAAGACTAGATGGGCAAACATCCTGGCCAGCTATAGTATACACATACAATGCACTCTTTGCTCAAGTCCTTGGCATTTGATTCGAGCTTTTCGAGCCACTCCGAGAACGGCACAAGTGGTAGTGGGTAACTTGTTAATTTATGCTCGACTAGGGCATCCACAATGGCTTGGCATCACTGTTCTATGCGTGACTGGTCTTGGATGCAGTAGATTCACTGTGATGGGAGGTTTTTCTTGCACAAAAGCTACATCAAGAATAGTATTTGCACACAGCATGTTGGAGGGGTCCAAGATATAAATTAAAGTGCGCATGTCATGAATAGATACCCTCGACAGTAATGGACTTACCTCTTGGGCTTCCACCGGAAGTGTGCCTAAAGTTACACTTGATCGGACGATGGTTGGTAACCAGTTTTGTCGTGGACTAAGCTCCTTGTGGGGGTCCTAGCTAAATCTTTCCAGAGTATTCAGTTTTTCTTTTTCTTGAAGACAAATTGCTATTTAATATTTCAATGATGGACAGGACCGTCTGTATTGTTTTTTATGATTATTTGGTTGCGCAATTGTGATCTCCCACGTTCTTACTGTGCCTTAGCCTAGTAGGTACCCATGGATACGCCTCTGCCACCTTTGCCATGAGCAGATATGCATCACAGGTATATATGCCATGTACTTTGCTCAGCATAAATGATCACGATCATCCTGACTGGACTCGAGTCATGGTCCAATTGATAGTTACCATATGTGTGATTGTGGGAACGTATGCGAGAGACTTGATCGCTCGTCACAGTAGTCACTCTTGAGCCTATCACCCACACTGCTGTAAGCACTGGTTCTGTTCACATCAGCTTTGAACAGCACACACACACGTTGTTTCGGACCTGCGTATACATACAACTTACCTCAAGCCATTATTGTCTGATCCTATACCGCGATGAGCACTCCAGGAGTACCTACTGCCCAAAACTCTCCTTACTCCTCGTACTTCAGACGCCGTACTATCGGCCGTGCTTCCTCTCCCCCAACCTGGGCTTGCTACGAACAAATTCCATCTGACGATGATGACGAAGACTACAATGACAGTCCTTCCGAAGATGAGTCCTGCTCAGAAGATGGAGAAGACTACGGCCATCACGACCGTGATTCTGATGGTGATCTTGCCGTAAATACTGAGAGGCAGGATGATACGCAGAACATGGAGATCGATCGAGGTGATCAAGGAGTCGACGATGAGAAGAATGCTGCCAAGTTTAAGAAGGATATGAAGGGCAAACAGAAAGCACTTGACCCTCAGCCAGAGCCAACAAAGAAGCATTATCGCAAGCGAGAACGTCGGCCGACTTATACACTTCGTCCAATCTTGACCATTCAAAAGAGCCAAGGTTTTGTATGGAATCAGGTTTGCATCCTTTATCCGAGTTTTGGAACCCCAATTAACCGGTATTCTAAATACAGGATCTATTCGTCCCCCCTTACATTAAAGATAGATGTACGTTTCTCGTTCAGCATTCATTCACTACTTTCTGGAGAAAGGGCTTATTGTCTCTATGATTTACCTTATAGACGTTGCATCTACCTCACCACCGACCTCGAAAGGGTTTTCCAGCTCTTGGACGTCAAATACATCTTCAATGACTGATTACAGCGAGGTAGAAGTGGTAGAAATCAGGGTCAGAGACGGTGAACTCTATGATATCATCCCTTGATCGAACATCCTATCTTTTACGTTCCTACCCGTCAAATCGGCGACGACCTCACTCTGGAAATATCGGGTACTCGCATTTCTTTGTATCTTGCATATCATGAACTTGTTTTCCCTTTCCCATGTTGTTCCATTACTACATCAATCCCCTTACTCTCACCGCGTACTAAACTTCGTCTCCTTGTTTTAATAACGACAGCTAGACTCCTATATATACAACAATGGTTTCTTTGTATCCTTCGCATTTCAGGGGTGATTCAGACCATCGCTATCAGTGCATCGTCCACCTCTTTCATACGTGCTGCCTCTTTCTCTCGCTCCATTGCTTGCTCACGCACGATGTCCTTTTCACGTGCAACTAGATACGTTGGTTTCACGTAGGGTTTGTAGTCAAGGTGTCGTTTCACATAGAAACACATGTAAGCATTTGAGGCTAGGCAGTCACTCAGCGTCGATGGAGTTACTCTGTCAAAGGCAAAGTAAGATCGCGGAGTACAGAGCGCAATAAGGTACATACTTGTCGTCATCGAAACGGTACCACTTGTACACCATCAATAACTATGTAATAAAGCTACATCATGTCCACTCACCTCATCTTGGAAACGAGCAAAGTTTGTGTAGTGTCCATTATCCATCTGCCCTTCATGGTTAATTACCGCAAACAGATCATATTCATACATTGCGACCGGTCCTGGGTAACTATTCACGGACTTGGTCAGAAAATCAGTCACAGTTCCCTAGCAAAAATCGCTCACCCAGTTTCACCGTCCTTTCCGGTTGTATTCATAGCAAGAGTCGTATAAGGCGCCATATTGATAGAGAGTGGAATTCGTATCGGAGCATCGATCTTTTGCGGGGCAGCTTTCCCAGACGTCTTGTGCTCGAATCGCTTGAATCAATGTCAGCACCAAATTCCCTAGATCATACACTGTATGAAGGAACCTTGAATTGAAAACTAAGAACTGGCGGTAATGTCCGTATGCTGAGGCGCTTCACGGCCTCGTGAGAAGCTTTCGTGCATTTGCTACAGCTGTACTCTCTTGCTCCTAGCTTCTCCGGTTTGGTGTACCTTTCAGAACGTCAAAATATATCAATCTAATATTGGATCTTCTCACCTGCGCAAACAGCTGGCAAGCGTGTTATCAGCAGCCGGTTCCCCAGACTTTGACCTCAACTCAAGGCTAATATCAAGCATCGGATCGATTGTGCTCGTTACCGTTCCGCATTTCTCACACGTAACGTCGCTTTGAAATTGACCGGCGAAAGTCTGATGAATGATGCAGTTGCACGAAATATTCGTGGAACCGCGGCATGTCCCGTGAATTTGGTTCAATGCAGTAATGAAAAACTCGTGTGCGTCTTGCTGGGCATAGCCTGACATCTCGGCAGAAACTTTCCATGTTGTGGCGAGGAAGGACGTGGGCCCAAATGGGGTATTGGTCGGGGAATATATCTTCAACTTTCTTTAGCAAACATAGTTTGGAAGGAGCAATATCGACTTTTTGTGACTAACCTCTGTGAACAGGTTGTCCATTTCGCAACATGTGCAGTCTGAGTGTTTGCACAGCCTGCTGTTATGCCTATCGCTGAGAAAATAATTCCGTAGCAACGGGTTATGGATGAACGACTGGAGTATGACGTTCAAAAAGCACGTTTGCCCCAGATTAAGCAGTCCACGACGACCTGTTTTGTATAAGCGAATTAGCCTAACTTGTAATGAAAAACTGAACCTTGACAAGGGACTGTAGCGGCATCCTTGAGGATAATGGACTCGTCGCCTGTCGGAATCCACGGTTGATACGGCTCTCGGCCTCTCTTCTCCACTAGACGCAAATTAAAATCTGCCATCCTGCAGGTGTATTCACACTACCTTGAAATTTCGTTTTTTGCTCTTCCACCGATAGGACGGTAGAGAGATACAAATCATCAATGGTATCATCAAATACAAAGTCTTCGCACTCTGAACAGAAAACTGATCCAGACTTTGTATCGACGCCTGAATTGTGCAGAGTTAGAATGGTCAGGAAACAGAGAATAGTGGTGGCAAAAATACGAACAAAATGTATGCACAGTTTCTTTGAGGTGGTCTGTTATGTGACCGCCTGACCAGCATCCTGCGAATGAGCACTGAAGACAGACGAACGGTCGGGAAAGTGTTTGGTTGCATGTGTCACAGGTCGGTGAAGATACCTGTAACAGGGGGTCAAATATATCATCTCACAAGACATCTCTATATGAATGGCTAACTCACCTTCCTTCGCTTTGCTGGGTGCAGGGAACTATGTGTCCTACGAGTGTGCCAGGCTACGACTGTCTTAAATTTGCCTACGATACCTGCTTTCGCGGATGTATCGGCGAAGACGGAAGTGATATGTGAACACCTGTTTATATCGTTCTCGGAGGTGTCGGAAGAGACAGATGGTTCGATTCCAGGATGAGCCTCATTGGAGAAAGTAGATTCCTCGCCGAAAAGAGCTGTATGCGTGCTGTCTGGAGATGCAGACATGCCTGAAACTAGTAAATATACAGGATGTCACAGGACCCGAGAATGCTGGCAAAGATGGCGCGTTTCAATGCAGCTGGTACTGGAGTGTCTGAGAGATCATGCAAGGAACGTGGTGGTGAGCAAACACGGAGATTTAGAACTTAGAGAACCTTGCAGCTGGCAAGCGGGTCTCGCGTCGGCAGCAGTGGACTGAACCACAACTGACTTCTAAAAATAGACAACGACCTTCTTTCTTTGGACAATTTAAAGTCGATTATACTATGTTTCAAAAACTATTTCATTGGATTGTTGGAAAACCACAACCTCATTACCAGTTGGGCAACTCTCAGTCATGTATATTCTGTAGAGCTTATTCCACAAACCGCAGTGACTTTGACATTGTGTGGGAGGTGCGTATCTATATGTTATTGGGATACTACCGGTACTAATCCTAGTTTTGACCCGCGCATCCAGGATGAAGTATTTGTTGCCTTTCGGGACATTCGTCCATCGGCACAAGACCACATTCAACTCATCCCCAAAACCCATATCGGTGAGCTTTACGAAATTGTCCGCTTCACTGGCTTATCAGTCACAATCAGACAGTATCAAGAAACTTTCTCAGAAGGATGTGAATATGCGTAAGTATTTCTGTCCCTGCTGCATCGACTGAATATCTTATCTGGATACCAGTCAGGAGAATGGAGGAAATAGGACATTCCATTCTTGATACGTTCAACGTACCAGTTTCAAAGCGGAAGTGAGTTAATCACCGGCATCCCTTGGATTACACTAATAGTGACTCATCATCGGTTTAAGGATGGGTTTCCATATACCACCGTTCAACTCAATACACCACCTGCACCTACATGTACAATCATTGCCATACATTTCGCCTATACATCGGCTGAAGTATCCGTTTGTTCGGGGCTTTGGCGGCTATGAAAAGGGATTCAGTTGGTTTGCTGAGATCGGTCAAGCAATACGGATTCTGGAGAAAGGCCATCGTGTCACCGTTGCACCGTGCTAAGCATCATGTAAAGCGATGGTTGAATCAAGACGACAACCGTCGTATGAAGTGTGGCTTTGTCGCAGATTCGTGGCGTACATCAAACAGGAGTCTAGATCAATCTGGGTGAGGTAATTTTTGATATGGCTTAACCGGCTCCGTTTTTCATGATGGTCGATTCAGTCCAGAGCAGACCATGTTCTGGAACTTGAACACAACCGAACATGGAGCAACACAATATGACGTATTGGATGCAAGTTCTGATGGGAAGGAGCAGATCGTATGACCCCCTCTATACGGGCCGCAAGGCCATCTGTGTATTTCCGCCATTTGGTGGGGATATCATTGCTAGCTTTGCATGGAATACTGATCAGAAGTGCGACTCTTCCATGCTCGAAGTCTTACGGAAGCGACTACAGCTGATCGGGGAAGGTGAGTGAGACTTCAAATAATTACATAGGCGCTTGATTCGGTCGCCGTTATACATTCCTGATGGGTTAAAGCATACCGACCGACCCTTCATTTAGATCCACATGATGTTTGGCAAGTTATTTACGCTTTGCCGTGGCGGCCCGGTCGTCCTGGATTCAGACAGATTCCTTGCATCTATCCCGCATCGCACGCAAGACATGAATGGTTGTAAATTGAGGCTGTACCAAGAATATCCTACTAGTCGAGTAGTTGGCTACCCACCAAATATATCTACTGTACGTACTATCTAGAGATCTACATGAGCCCGCCTCAAGGTGATGATAAAAGTTTGATTAGAGTTGTACAAGTTGCTCACAAAATATCCAGCAATTCATATATAATACTACATACAACACATACTTAGATCAAGGTGACTTTGACAACGTCCCGCGGAAGTTGCGCTACCCCGTGTGAATTTAAAATGCGTATTAGCCTGCCCTAAACCAATCAGTTGAAAAAATTCGGAATGAAATACAACCTTACGATTCTTTCACTTCCGTCGACCTCCAACTTTGAACCTGCTTGTGCGGTGTAGAGTTATTGCGGGATATGGCTAGTCTGATGCGCAGGTTAGTAATCATTTGATATGTTTGAACACCCTCCTTTTCGCGATGATATTCATCTACTCCGTGGCGAGTGTCCCATGACACGATGTGTCCTTCTTGTCATAGTTACCCTGACCATCATCAGCTGCACTTCATATGTACCTATTACTCAATTATTCTGCAGGACTTTCTTATCGTGGTAATGAAGGCCCATCAAGGTATTCGTCCCGAGCCGGGCGCTAGGTGAGTTGTAGATCTATTGTGCTGTGTGCTGGCTTGTCTTTGTACGATGAAACATTTCATTCAAACTAGAGTATCTGAGTGCCTTCATATATAGGCTCAATGCTTTCAATCTTCTGTCAATCCACTGATACATTACTCTTCTGTGTTTTTCACCCTTTCTTTCAAGCCTATCTAACCTTTTTTCTTCTCTAGGACCATGTCGGTGTATCTCCATCAAGCCAAATTCGATTTTGAGGTAAGCACTACTGTTTATATCACATTCAAGGATGTCAAAAAGGAATTACCGCCTGATACCCTACTGGGTTGTTGATGTAAATTCCTGGCTGTTTTTACGTTCTGAGTCTCTGCATCTCGCCTTCTAATGATCTCGTATCTGACGCGACTTCGTTTCAGGGCTACTGATGACGGCCTGGCTGTTCGCATGTGATGACTCCGTGCTTCGCGACATCATGATGGTGAGCCTTATCTGATAGCCATTACTCTACATATGATGTATTATCACGACGGTCTTCGTATTATCACTGCCGAAAGGGCCCGCCACAGCTCAATTCTTTCGGGCACCCCCTCCTGATACCCTTATCATTGATACTGTGGACTAAACACTGATTACATTTTTTTTTGTCTCTAGCCGATGTTCGGACCACCGACGTGAGCTCCCATCCTTTCTTCTATTTCTCACTAGGAGTACGCGGATGAGAAACATTACAATTATCAACTAGAAGCTGTTGCTTAGCTGCGGCATTGATTATACACCTTTTTCTGACTGTTGTTTATGCTGCTACCGCTTGTTTAATATGTAATCTAAAATCTAATTATTACAGGTTCGATTCAGATCCATGGTGACAGGGGTTGTTTAAGCGTATGATGTAATGTCAACATCCTTGAATGTAAATTGCTCGACTAAACTTGTGTGCGATGGAGTTTTAAATTTTTCGTTTCGGATCCACTCCACGGGCAAGTTTGTGAATGGGAAATTGGGAACGCCTTCTCTATTATGCAGATCTCCCAGCGCATAGGCAGGTTGACTTCTTCATACACCTTCTGGCCGCCCGAGTAACCGGTGTGCCATATATAAGTGAGGGTCGTCAGCGAGGTGTTTTTAACCTTGCCTGTGGCACTCATCGAGAATGTCTTCTTCTGTAGCACCTTCAGATTCTGACACCGTTGTCAATGAGCGTACCGCTCTTCTCGATGCTGGACACCAAGGCCAGAAAAAGGCCAACCCTTTGCCAAAGTTTCAGATTGCAATTTTGTTGCTGGCACTGCTGGTCGAGCCAATTGCCTCTCAATCTATCTATCCCTACATCAATCAAGTTAGTATCTTTCTACACGTCAAAACCACACTTCTCAACATTATATACAGCTTGTCAGTGAGTTGGACATCACTGGCGGTGATGAGCGAAAAGTTGGTGGGTCACAATTATTTGGCACACGTAAAAAGTACTGATGCGCTTTTTTGATCATGAAGGGTATTATGCGGGGCTGATCGTAAGTTGCGCCTGTCATCTCCGCGTTACAACTTTATCAAATCCACGATAGGAGTCTATTTTTTTTGCCACTCAGGCACTGACCATCATGCAATGGAGCCGTACTTCGGACCGTGTTGGACGTAAACCCGTTCTCTTATTAGGAATCTTCGGGCTCTCTCTGTCAATGATTTGTTTTGGGTTATCCAGGACATTGTCGGGGCTGATTGTCAGGTGAGAAACAACTTTTGCAATCAATTTTACCTTCTGAAAATGAGTATAGTCGTTGCATCACTGGTGCCTTGAATGGTAACATCGGAGTCATGAAGAGCATGATGGGCGAACTCACTGACTCTACCAACATGGCGCAAGGCTTCGCCCTGATGCCTATTGCGTTTTCATTCGGCGCTACTATTGGGTATGTGCCTTTCCTTGTATTCCGCATAGAGGGTAACATGCCTTTTAAAAGTCCTATGATCGGCGGAGCTCTAGAACACCCTCAACGGCATTTTCCTAATGTATTCCCTGGTGCATTCTGGTCACAGTTCCCATACTTCCTGCCTAGCGGTATTGCTGCAGCATTCTCGGTTATATGTTTCCTGACGATTCTATTCTTCTTAAAAGAGGTACAGAGAACCCGTGCACCGGCGAGATCTTGACTGATGACTTTTCAGACTCTGCCCAGACAACGGACGGAAGAGAAATCCATGTCTGCTCTCGATGGCGAGGCCCTGAACGTTCCCCAAAATGCTGTTGGGGATTCACCTGTGTCAATCCGGTCGCTCTTCGTGCCGTCCGTATTGATCCCTGTCGCTAACTATGGTTGCATCGCCACATTTGAAATGGCTATGTTTGCACTTCAGCCTCTCTTTTATTCCACACCAATCGAACTGGGGGGCCTCGGATTTGATCCTAGCACTATTGGTCTGTGGATGGGAATGTTCGGCATTGTCAACGGTGTCTTGCAGACGATAATTTTCGCACCATTGGTAAACAGATTCGGTGCCAAGACCGTTTTCCAGTTTTGCGCAGGAATGTTTATTCCTATCATCACCCTATTCCCGATCACCAACATTGTTGCACGCCAATATGGAATCAACTGGCTTGTTTGGTTTTTACTCACGTGTTCGCTGCTACTGGGTGTTTTCATGGATATGTCGTTTGGTGCGTTGGTTTCTGATCTTTCCTCTATCGTAGCTAATTTGATTTTCAGGTTGTATACTGATGTTCATTACCGCAGCAGCTCCAAATAAACGGTCTTTAGGGGCTACCAATGGGCTTGCGCAAATGACAGCATCCATCGTTCGAGCCATTACCCCCGCCACGGCCACATCCATATTTGCATACTCTATCCAGCACAAGCTCATGGGCGGTCACGCCGTGTATGTTGTTCTCATCACTGCGAGTATCTTTGCTTTGAGAATTACTACCAAACTTCCGGGAAGTCCTGGAAAAGGGGCATGATTTACGACACCATGTTACGACACATTCATATCACGTCATGATTCCAAGGTTTGCTTTGAGTTGCCGTATACTTCTCATATCCACAAAATTAAATAAACAAAGTACGATACTTTGTTCGCATATGTACTATGTACCCAAAAGGAACGCATTCGTGAACATCCGTCTGTAAATAACGCATGTCCTTATCCTTATCCCCTCCGGCTATTCAGAGAGCTATTTTGAGTCCATGCCGAACAGTTCAATTTGAGTATATCGCTTGAGCTCCTCATAGATGCGCAACATAATGGGACAGTCGGTTATTGGCCCCCGGACCAACGGCACTTTAAGGTCGCCGTTACTAGTGACGACATTTAGCCAATCGACCACCATGCTCAGGTGATCTCGTTGGGAAGGTCGTAATGTCAGTCTTGTGATAGTTCTCCAACTTCCTTCTTCCCAAGTTGGCAGATCGAAAATCCCGACATCGGCGCCAGAAATGGTCAGCTGATCTACTGCTGGGAAGGCCCGGATGAATGCGGCAGCCGATGTTATATTGGCGGCATTGTTTAGCACGAGACGTTCAACCAGAGGGAATTTAGGTGTAGGTTGTTCACATCCCTTTTGAAGAAGTAGATCGGAGATGTCCTGCCCTTGAGTAAAGCTATCTGGGTAGATAAGCTCAAAGTGCCGTAGTTCTGGTGCCATTACCATCGCGATGAGATTCCGCAGGTAGCGAGGCCGGACGGTATTAGGATGGAAAATCAAGGTGTGTAAACGAGGCAACGTGATATTGCCCTCGTCCTCGAGGCTAGTGGCTGATTTGACACAAACAAGTTCTCCGTAGAGAGAAAGGGAAACTAAATTAGGCATTCGTAAAAGCAACGCATGAAAGCCTTGAAGTTCCGTTGTCGTTTTCAGAGCCCTTGCATCTCCTTCATGAAGTCGAAGAATAAGATGGGTCACGCCAATGAAGTAGTCGAAATCATGATTGTGTAAACAAGGGGAGCGTGCTGTAAGAACAATGTTTTCGACGTCAATGGACCGGAGGTTGGGTGCTGATTTTCCCATGAGGAGAGTCGTGGGACATATCTGCCCGGGCTGCTGGGCTTTGAAGGTAACTTGCTGAAGTGCGTCCAAAGGTCCCACGGTACGCAGAATGAAGGAAAGACTTGTGAGAAGGGTGTCACAGGAAGCGCCAATTGTCATACGGCGCCAGCGAGACGCGGATGGGAGGACTATGGCTAGGGTATGTTCGAAGTGATGAGGCCTGGTGAAAGAATCTCGGTAATCCCACCATCCCCAGACTTCCACATCAAGAGGAAGATCAGCAGATCGCGAGAGATGTAGCTGCACGTCACGCTCGTCTGTGTCAGGGGTTACACAGACACGTGTCCACAGCCGTGGTGTATGCAGAGCTATCCTTCGCCAGCGATGCGACACACGCGTTATCGCGCTTTCAACCCTTGTCCGTGAGCATACGTCCTGGCCCGAAACCGCTTCATCGAAAATTGCAAGCAAAGTTTCATCGGGCAGGCGAGCAACTGGAGAAATGCGTTTTGCGCATTCGTTTGCTCGAAAGCGCATTGTGGACAGCGTACTACGAACGGAAACCAAAGCCTCCGAGAGTGCCTTGATTTGGGATACAAGTTCTATCTCCTTCCCTTCAAGGTGCGCTGCCTCTGATTGTAGCACTTGAAAGAGTTCTCTGTCAACACCGGGTTGGTAGGTTCTCCGCAAAGGTCTTGACATGGTAAAAGACGGCGGCGACAGATCGTTGTCAAGCACACTGAATGAAATCAACACCCTGTGAGTACCGAGAGTAACCACAGCAAGTACGATCGAAGGAGCTCACCTCTTGTTCTTCTGAATCGTCCACCTCCTTGCCATCATTTGAGCCTTTTATCCCAGCCTGCTCGGCAAAACAGAAATTACACGAGCGTGTCTTTGTGTGTCACTTAAATTCCACACGAACGAGCCTAACTCGTGGTTTTCATTCTTATTCTTGCGGCGGAGCTCGTGTTGACATGCTGGGTCTGTTTGGGTGAACAAATGACGCGATCATCTTGACTAGACTCTCATCCGCAGCCCCTCGGCAGCTAGTTGGCAGAGACTTTCTATGAAAAACATGAGTTTTCAGCCTGGCCAAGTATTGCGGAATCTCACGATGAACATGATTGCCTAGGGTGTCAAGGTTGGCATGTAAAAGAGTCCAGGAAACGAAAGCCAATAACTAAACATGGGAAGGATGAGCAGTAAACGCATTCAATGCTCAAATCTTGCACACTCGGGCCTGGAACGGAGTTACAGCATTCAAATATCAAGCTGCTCGTACATTATCATATTCACAACGCAAGGTTACGACCTGTGGAACAGCCTACAAATCTGTGTACATGATTAGTATCACTGCAAGGACCAAGACACATACATACCTTCAACTAATTATTAGACGCGTGCAACAAGCGATCTATCCAACATGGAGAGGTCAATGCCGCACAGCCGTACTTCCGTACAGCTCGCAAGTTTCATCAATTGTGTAAGAAATTCAGGGCAGTCGATAGCACGGATGGGCCCTTCCAGTGTGATTATTGGCAATCGATGACCCTGGCTAGCCGCACTGAGAAGCCACTCGTACATCTGTAGCAATGTGTTGTGAAGTGGAGAAATGACAGTGAGGTGCTGGATATGTGAGGGGGTCCACGGGCTGCACGTGCTACTGAAAGTCGGGTTTTCGAAAAGGTAGCTAGCATCCGTACTACCTAGTTTGATGCGAGCCGCGACCGGAAAGGCATTCATAGATGCCGCAACAGTGTCCGGGTGAACCGCATTATGAAGACGCACAGTTTCCACAGAAGGAAATCTGGCTAAAGGGAAAGGGTCAAATAGAAGATCGGATACATCTTGTCCAGGTGGAGTGTTGTCAGGATAGACTAGCTCAAAGTGACGAAGAGTTGGTGCTTTGATCACCGAGATAAAGTGGCGCAAATCGTGAGGATGCTGCGTGCCCGGATGAAGAACCAGGGTGCGGAGACGAGGAATCTCCAGGGAAAGAACGTCTTCTTCATTGGCTCTCTCCTGGCCAAAGTTTATAGGTTGTCCATAGATTTCGAGGGCGCTTAACATCGGAGCTGAATTTATCAATGCTCTAAATGCAGAGGGGTCGGTTGCTGCATGAGAACTTCCAGCTCTCATCCCACGCACCCGCAATCGCAACGTGGTCAGTCCTGCAACGCTGTAGCGGGCAGCGTCAAAAGTCTGCGTGACTGGGGGTGGAAGGGGCATGTCTTCCACTTCAAGTGATTCCAGGGCTGGAGCCGAGTCGCCAAGCAACAATGGACATGGTCCGCATACACCCGGTGACTTCATAGAGATGCTCTGAAGCATCTTCAAAGGAGCCACCTTTCGAAGTTCCCGAAAGACATGTGTAAAGTACGGGTAAGATCTGTGCAGGACGACGATACGTCGCCAACGAGGGACCGAAGGCCATATAGCGTCAAGAGCAGAACCAAGATGTGCCATGCTGCGTTTATCTGCACCGGGCCATGCAGTTTCGCGTTCACGGAATTCAATGGTAAGAGGAATGTTCGCAGAGCGAGAAAGGTATATCTGCAACATGGCGATAGGGACCTCTGCTCTGATACAGAGGCTGTTCCACAGCCGAGGGGCATTAACCGTAACCTGTCTCCAGTGATGCGAAGTATATGATATGGCTATCTCCGTCCGTGTGACTTGTCCTTGCTCTTGACTTCGTACTGCTTCTTCAAATATGGCCAACAGGACCTCGTCTGGGAGGCGAGATACTGGCGCAAGAAGATTTTGGACTGTATGTGCTTGTGATGTTTTTCTTGTCAAGAGTGTTTGAACTTCGACGAGTGATGTGTTCGTTTCTTCAAGGCGGGCTAACAACTCCTTCCTTCTATTTTGTAACGCAAAAACTTCTTGTCGAAGGGTCGAAAGCAATTCTTCAGGCACCACTGGCATCTTATGGGAGAGACCACCAGTGTTGCTCATTCGTGCAGCACTGACTTGAAGCACCATGATCCGGAATGCGCTGTGTCATGGCAGTTGTGAATGTGAACGATCCGATTCGAAAGTGACTTGCCAGAAACCCAGTTGGTAGGTGTTTTTTATGCAGGGAACAGACGTCTAGAAGAAACGGTGGTGGATTGACAATAGGTTCGGAACCGCATCGAACACAATAAATTTGCCTGATACGGCGTGGTCGAGGCTCGAGCGCTAACACTACACCTGTAGTACTTGGTCGGATGTACAACCCATCTGCTTGCACAAAATGCTCTATAGATAGCTCCATGCCACGACTGCGGCGAAAGCATATCACAACTGTGTTGCCTGTGAGCTGTCTTCGAGCGTTCTCATAGACACAAACAACTGCCAACTGATATGATTATCCTCAGTTTCAGACTGGGTTGTGATCACATAGGTCTTGGTTCATGCTAACGAATAATCATTGGGGAAAGTAGAGGTGATTAATCGTTGTAGTGTGAATTATTCTTCCATGCTCTGGCTCCGACTGAGGTCTGTAACCGATCCACCGGCAGGTGATGGTGGTGAGATGAGCGTTAAGTACTAGTTAGGTGCTGGAGCTGCGCCCACAATATATTTTTGAATTCTATGGCACCAACAGACACTCCCCAGAATGCAAGGGAATACCGCGGTTGCTGCCGAGTGTCACGCCCAAAGCCCATCTGTAATACAAGGTGATAGTGTCTGGGTTTGAAACATTTTGCAGGCGAGTATTCTCAACGAAAGGAAGTTTCGGTGAACCATGATTGATTAGTTTCTCTTTTGTCCACTGCCAGACCATACAATTGGTAGGATTGCGAGAAGACAAGCTCATAATCATAGTGACGGAGGGTAGAGGCTCCACGCACTTTTAATATCGGAAGCAAGAAGTGGATAATGCATGACCCGGGCTGGAAGATGAAACTATCAGGGTTTGGAGTATCCTGATGGGGGATCAACCCTTCGGGTTCCTCTCTGACTGGATCGCCGTGCAGAGAGCAGGAAAAGTTTGGCGCGGACACCAACAACGTGCGTAAAGATGCAGACACTCCTGAAGTTAAATTCGATCTGTGTGTATATTTCAGGCCCGAATCGGAGGTTTATGGAAGCAGGAGATATTCAATGTCGAGCATCTTGAGCGATGGCTCGACTGCGGCGTACGAAAATGGGTATGTACCTCCATAACCACGATGTTCGTTTGTTGAGAACTGCTCGAGCAATCGAAGTGGCCCAGAATTGCGGAGGTTTGGAAGGAGGTAGGACAGGTATGCGCCAGTGGTGTAGATGATAGAAAACCTGCGCCATCAATTTGAACGTCTGCTTCTTTCGTCATCCACAACATGGATATCAGGTGGGAGAGGACAGACGAAACGTCCATAGCTCAGGTACAGTTACTGAGAGACGGCAGTCTCAGTGCTCATACCTTTGCTACTTGTGCCATGAAATCTGGACAGCTTCTCCAGATAATGACCAGTAATTCTGACGGGCCACGGGCAAAGTCGGTGGCGGAAGTTCGATCTCCCCGTGGGTGGTGCTTATGTAAGTGCGATTGCGAAGTAGTGTTGCCGTCGAGGCGAGTTAAACTCGAGGTGAAATCAAGAGTGACCAGTCCCCTGTTACTCGTCCGAAAAATTTCGGCTCTCAGAAGCCGCGTCACTTCAAGGTACGAGCAATCACCGTTCAAACTGCGTGTACAGCCATTCAATGACCCCCGTCACCTCGAATGATGCATCAAAATTTTATTGACACATAGGATATATATCATGGCCGCTATTCACGCTCTACAGTGCGGGATATGCATTCGAAGTACCGTCGCAACAAAATACCTTCCACAGTGGTCACATCTTTCGAAAAGCCCGTCCCAGTCCCAGACACTTACACCTGTCTCACCGGAGAGGTCAGCAAGAAGACCTGTTTCATAGGCCGAGAGCCTGTTCATCACAACCATGCCACTGTCTTGTCCGAGCGGGAGACGTGTGGATACACGTTGTCCACGACGAGCCGCCATTGACAACTGACTAGCAGCAGCACCTTGAATAGATCCTTTGTATTAATTAGTTTTTGAATGATACTCTATAAATTGTGCTACAACTCACCAGCACGACGATGAACTAGTCGGATAAATGGACGTGGATTTGCTGAGGGTGCACCAACTAAACCACGGAGTTGTCGAAAGTCGGGCCAAACTGAGACATGGGATCCGAGATAGCCGTGGAAGTAGGGCGCAATGTCATGCTCATTAGGAGCAAGCTGGCGGAAGGCATCATGAACTGGATTCATGTTAGGTTGGGGGTTTGCAACTATGAGCAGACCATTAATACTGACACCTGCATCTAGGTAACAGTAAATACATACCGAGTGTTGGCAGTTCTTCGTAACTAGAGGTAAAAAAAGATGTGTGATAAATATCTGTGATGTTGGCTGTCGTGAAATCGTGAAAATCGTGTCAGTACAAAGGACGTGATCACCAGTGCAACATGCTAACCTCTAAATCCGCACTGCTCATTAGCACACTGCATCAAGACATGCCCATTCACGGCAGAGTCCACAATCCTGGTGGAACAAGGTGTGTCTGAGAGCATGCCGCAGAAACATTCTATGAAAAGCCCTCGACGCTGCAAGTAATCTGCCAAGCCATAAGGACGAATGCGGAAACGACCCGACTTTGGGCTGCAAACATAACTTTAAGTCAGTGGTTGGCAGTAAGTCAAAGTGAGCTACACACTATGCAACAGTGACAAGTTGCTTCACCTCACGTGAAAAGATGACAAGTTCTGTGCTTCCACGCTGGTACTCGATACACGGGCGAAAAATTGAATCCATGATGGCTAGCCTGGCCTACTGTACTATATCATGAGCGAGATGCTGACCTTTATACAGAGAGCCTTGCTGAATCCCTCGGCCATGTTATGCAAGGTAAATTTTGAATGCAAGTGTCCGTTCAATGAACTGCAAGAGCCCGAAATTAGTGGGTTCCTAAGTGTGCGGGTGCATCGGTGCCCATTTGCAAGTCATTGATGAACGTCCAACTGTCACATATACAGGCAATTATTTGAATTCAATGCTAGTATCTGCCCCCCATTTTTCCTTCTGTCTAATTCTCAATGAGTCTTACCTGTTCGCAACTTGAAGCACTTGAAAAAGTGCAACAGATATTGGACAGTGCAGGATTGTCCCCTATCTCAGTCACAAGCTCAGTTGTGTCATCGCCGTCATCACACCAAAATACACCAGACGTGGATTCAACCCTCGACACCATCTCCACTCCCCCATATCCAAGATATCAGTCTCCCGCTCCATATTATTTTACCACCAAGGAAATTTCACGGAGAGCCAACTATGTGAATCAAGCCACCAAAGTCAGCGCAATTGTTGATCACCCTGTTCATGCTATCCTCGAGTATCCCATAACAGCACCTGGCAGCATTGCACACCGTTTTGTTGTTGATCCCATATCCTTCGTGCAGCCTCAATCAGCATTCCAATATTCTCTTGGTGGAGGTCATGGTGGGCGTGAAAATGCAGTGTGCCTGCTTCTCCGAGATGATGCAGGCAAAGGTGTTCGTTGTCGCCAGCTTAAGTCATCGTGTATGTACATTAATGATGTCTGAGACTATTGATTTTATCATACTAATAAGAACGAGAACATACAGGCAATGGCCTCAAGGTATGTACATTCAACGAGGCCAGTTTCAGCAGTAATTATGCTGCATCTCCGACTTGGAGTCTGTCTCAGGCTGGATACAGTGATGATTCTGCAGAGGCAGAGGTTTTCAACAAGACTCTAGCATTTTTTTGTGCTGTCTCTGGACGGGGATGTGGCTTCGATGCAAACTTGGATTTAAGTCCTGAGATAGTACTAGACAGCTTTGATCTTCACTCCGAGTCAGAGTCCAGGGGGTGTGGGGCTCCCCTCATGTTATCTGTGAATAATCTTGGCCGTCCATATATTCAGTCAGTTCAACTTAAACGGCTAGAGTGTGTACTACATAGACTAATGATCCATTGCAGCTGCAAAAATTTCAATGCTTCTGTTTCTCGAGCTCGCACCCATCTTGTCCTCCGGAATTTGGACGAATTCAATACTGATTACTTGCGGGCACTTATAGAGAACGACCTGAAGGCAATATCGCTTCTTGGACCTACACCAAGTGGCACCCCAGCAAGGACCCCGAAAAAACCGGACCTCAACATCGCGCTCAACAGCGCGACCGCCGCCTCTAGGCGTCAACACTCAACCTTTCTCTTTCTTTTTCTCAGAATTATAGTATATCTAACATTCTCAACATCTAATAGTACACAATCTAAACTACCAAGAGTCGAACAATGGCGCTAGGCGGCACCCAAAGTCCTAGTGCAGTCGTTCCCACGGTAGGACCGTCAACCAGAAACAGCCGCAAAACCACAGCCAGCAAACCCCTGTTGTCAACAAGCAAGAGCATCGAAGACCACGCAACAGGAATGGGAATCCGCACCGACATCAATAGCTCCATCACGGCTAGGAAACTTCTCGCCACGCACGGTCTCTCACTCCCGGTAGCAGGCAAAGCCATCAAGGATATAGCGACGGCCCTCTTTGAACTTAGTATCGCAACAAACATTGGTGCTACTAATACAGAAATACTCAGAGCCGTCGCCTTCATCCTCTACGAAGCAGACCAAGCAAGTGACATGGAAAGGGTAATAGACAAAATTGATTCGCTACTGAAAGGCCCAATCGCAACACTAGAAATCAATGTTGACACCCTATCGGAGCTAACATCAACTCACAAAACAACGCTCGCAGAAGCTGTTACCGAGGTACGTGAACAACTCAATCAATCATCAGAAGGAATAGAGAAAATGGTAGAAGCCGCCTCAACGAGAGCGAGCCAACAGAGTCTGTATGGGGAGGAGCCCCCAAGATCTAACGGATCAATGACTTACGCTGCAGCCACCAAAGCGGGGATGCCCGCGCAACTGAACAAAATTCTAGCCCGCAGCGAAGCCCAATCAAGACAAATCCTTATAGATAGAAGATCGCTGCTCTCCGACAACTCCCTCAAACAGCTAACGGAAGCGCAACTGGTATCAAAAGCGACCATGGCACTGGAACTCCTGGCACAGAACAAGATAGAATACCCGCAGGACCTCACGTTCATCTCAGCAAGAAGACTCCCCCACGGCGGAGTATTGTACGAACTTAACTCCAGCGCATCGGCAGAATGGTTCAATACCCCGGCCAATCGCAGTAACTTCCTTGAGTTCTTCGGCACCAATGTTGTCATTAAAGAACGATCCTTCCATGTATTAATGGAAAACGTCCCGATCTCCTTCGTCCCGGACAATACAGCAGCACTAGCAGATATAGAGAAAAAAGCAGGCCTAAAGCCGCGCACAGTCAGCAAGGCTAAGTACATTAAACCAATCGCAAGAAGGAACCCGAATCAACGCACAGCACATGTAGTGGTCACTTTCTCCACCAAGGAAGGAGCGAACCACGCAATCAAATTCGGTCTATCCATAGCGGGAAAGAAGGTCTATGGACGCAAACTCCTGCCGGAACCCACTAGATGTCTTAAATGTCATTCCTTTGACGGTTCGCACATAGCAGCTGACTGCCCTCAAGACCACAACACCTGTGGCACCTGCGGGGAACACCATCGCACCCATACATGCACTGTGGAAGATCCATCACTCTATGCCTGTGTCAACTGTAAGGAGAACGGGCACGCATCCTGGAGCAGAGAATGCCCGACCTTCGCCCAGAAATGGAACGCCCAAAAGGGGAGGAACGACGAAACCAAGTATACCTTTTTCCCCACTGACGACCCATTAACTTGGGAAACCATTCCAAATGCAGATACCGACTGGTCGGACGTCCCAGCGCCGGTCCTCAACGAGCGCCCCCACCCCACACTGCAAGGAGACAGACACCCCCCACCACAGCGTAACAATTGGGAGTGGCAAGAAGTCGGTAACAGCAACCGCAACCGACGCATGGCCTTTGAAAACAACCCCCGCAATCCTAACAATGTTCCTTTAGGTCCCAAGGGGCAATCCCGCTTGCCAGATGCATGGTCCAGTCAACCTCAGAACACCCAACCGACACAGGCCCCCCAACCGAACTCACAAAGCTCACCGAGATCTTGGTCCCCAACGCCGCCGCCCCAGGATCTGTCTTACTCAGGTAGTACTAACGACACTCCTGGTTGGAACTAATGTCTAGTACACCTAACAACAACCACGCGCGAGATGACTTCAAGATCTGGCAACAAAACTTACGCAAGTCCCTCAACGCGTGGGAACATATGTTAAGAAGTCTCGACCCGGAAGTATATGATTTAGCTTGCATCCAAGAACCGTATCTCAACCCTGTCAACCTTGCTAACGCGTCCAACCTCAGGATGTTCTGGGATGTAATATACCCCACAGATCACCACTCTACTCCCGGACGATCCCAGGTGATCATGCTTGTAAATAAGCGCCTCTCCAAAAATAATTGGCATATAATCCCGGTCAAGTCTTCGAACGTCATGGCAATAGAACTGGATGGCCCATTCGGAAAAGTACGTGTATATAATATCTACAATCCCTGCGACAGTGATCACACTCTCCACTTTCTCGAGAGACACATGTCCTCAGAACATAATGCGAGACGTGCCGCTCAAGGCGGCACCGGAAACGCGCGAGAACATATATTATGGCTAGGTGACTTTAACCGCCATCACCCTATGTGGGAACTCCCCCACAATAGTCATCTTTTCACCGCAGCAAATCTTAACGCTGCGGGACTGCTAATAAACTTACTAGCCGTATATAACATGACACAGGTACTTCCCCCAGCTATCGCCACTTTAGAGGCGTCAAACACCAAAAATCACACAAGGCCAGATAATGTATTTTGCTCAGCGGGACTCGAAGACAAGTTCACGCAATGCAGTGTAGAATTTCACCTCCGACCCGTTATAACTGATCATTTCCCCATAATTAGTGTCCTAGACCTTCAACCAGAGCGCACCCTGAACTCTCCTCGACTCAATTACCGCCAAGTATCATGGGAGGACTTCTCGGAAACTCTCACCAGCCAGCTCAACGCCATCCCACCACCAGTGGAGATCATATCAGAAAACCAATTCAACGACGCTTTCCTTGCACTCACCAAAGCAATCGAAGAAACGGTCAGAAGGCGAGTTCCCAGAACGAAACCATCGCCATATGCGAAACGTTGGTGGTCGAAAGACTTGGACTTAGAACGCAAAGCGGTCCACAAGTTAGGACGCAAATCACACGCCAGACAAGCAAGTAGAAGAGACCCCATCCATGAAGAATACAGAGTCGCCAGGAACCAATTCACGGAAAGTATTAAGAAAGCAAAGGAGGATCATTGGAAGGATTGGTTGGAAGCACTAACACTCTCAGACGTATGGTCATTCCACAGATACGCAGCGGGCAACCCAACTGACCAGATCCACACCCGCATCAAGACGCTCCAGGACCCCGGAGCAGCTCCAGGCACTACAACTCAAGATAACGCAAGGAAAAGCGAATTATTATATAATGTATTCTTTCGGCCCCCTCCGGACAACGACTTCGTCGACCCGGACTTTGTTTATCCTCCTCCCGTATGCGAATTCTCACCAATCACTGACCAACAGATTTTCAGAGCAATAAAATGCCTATCCCCGCACAAGGCACCGGGGCTGAATGGTATCAGCAACATCGTGTTCATGAAGTGCGCCGAACTCTTAGTACCATTCATGGCTCCAATATTCCGAGCAACATTCGCATTAGGTACCTACCCGGAAGACTGGAAGCGCTCCACCACTATAGTCCTCCGCAAACCTGGCCGCCCAGACTACAGCGCCCCCAAAGCCTACCGCCCAATCACGCTACTAGATACAATGGCTAAGATCTTATCTTCTTGCGTGGCAGACGACTTAACATATATTGCAGAACATCACGGACTCCTCCCCGCAACACATTTCGGAGGAAGACCAGGACGCTCGACCACTGACTCACTCCACCTTCTCACCAAGTTCATTACCGACGCATGGGCGTCTAAAAACAAGTACGTGTCAGTTTTATTCTTAGATGTAAAAGCTGCCTTCCCCAGTGTGGTGGTCAACAGACTATTACACAACTTACGAAAGACAGGGATCCCCAAGGAGTACACAGATTGGTACAACAAACGGCTGGAAAACCGCAAGACCCTGCTCGTATTCGACGACTACCAGTCAACCTCGTTCAACGTGACCGGAGGAGTTGACCAAGGGTGTCCCTTGTCCCCGTTAGGGTTCATCTTTTACAATGCTGACGTCTTACGAGTAGCGGACCCAAACCCTCGTAGAGGGGAGCTAAGTCTAGGCTTCATAGATGATGTAGCCCTTGCAGCAACAGGAGGCTCCTACGAGGAGGCGAATGGAAAATTGGTAAATATGATGGAAAAGAACGGCGGCGCTCTGGATTGGAGCAGGGAACATAACGCAGAATTCGAACTGGACAAAACCGCCCTTATTTGCCTATCGAAACAACGAGTCCCCAGCGCAACAGACCCCCGTAAGACCACAGCCGCTCCTCGCCCACCTATAACTATCCAAGACCACACTATCCAGCCCTCGCAGTCACATAAGTTTCTCGGAGTGATCTTCGATCAAAACCTCAAGTTCAAAAAGCACGCTTCCTACGCGCTCGCAAAAGGAACCGCTTACACCTTAGCATGTGGCCGCATGATCCGCCCGACAAAGGGTATCCATGGTAGACTAATGAAAAGATTATATGAAGGTGTAGTGATCCCGAAAATGCTATACGCAGCTGATATCTGGTGCGCAGGTCTTATCGCAAGAGGAAGGGGGAAACAGGGAGGAGGCAGAGGCGCAAGAGGTTTCTCCTCCCAGATGGCACGTGTTCAACGCATGGCTACCCTGCTCATCACAGGGGGGCTGCGCTCTTCCGCAACAGACCTGCTCGACGCCCACGCCAACATCCTACCTCTACAACAGACACTACGCAAGGTCTGTTACCGTACTACTCTCAGACTGTCCACGCTGCCAGTAACGCACCCTCTAGCTAAAAATATCAAAACCGTGTACAACTTCTGCGAAAAGAGAGGGTTCACGGGACGCAAAAGACACCCATCCCCGCTACACAAGCTTTTCAACGAATTCAAGTTGAATCCGGACAGGATGGAGAAGATCTCACCCGTTCGCCATTACCCCAAGTGGGAATCGGACACCACCATCAGTATCGCGGGGAAAGCAAAGGACGCCCTCGCAGAAGAAGCGGAGGCAAAGGAAGATCTAAGGGCCTACTCAGACGGGTCCGCCGTAGACGGTGGAGTAGGAGGAGCTGCGGTATTAATGAGAGGGGCAGAAAAGGTGGGGGAGAAAAGATTCTACCTAGGGAAGGACACGGAACATACGGTGTACGAGGCAGAGGTGGTTGGAATGATCTTAGCAATCGAGTTGTTGAAAGAGGCAGGAGGGAAAGGCACCATGGCCCTGGGGGTCGATAACCAAGCAGCGATAAGGGCTACGAACGCATTTCACTCCCAACCGGGGCACTATTTAGTCGACGCATTCCATGACGACCTCAGACTCCTGCTCCCCGAGAACGATGGAAGAAAACTCACCATCAGATGGACCCCTGGCCACAAGGGAATCGCCGGCAACGAGGCAGCCGATGTACAAGCTAAGAAAGCGGCGGGAGGAGAGTCCACAGAGGGAGCCAGCCTCCCCAAATCACTGCGAACAAAAACAAACCTCCCAACGACACTTCCCATCAGCAAATCAGCAGCAAAACAACTCTTCTACAGCACAATAAAGAGCGAAGCCAAGTCCATCATGCAGAAGTCCCCGCGTTACCAGATGCTCCGCGCAATCGACCCATCTGCTCCGTCCAAAAAGTTCGCCAGCCTCATAGATGAACTCCCCAGACGCCACAGTTCCCTCTTATTCCAACTCCGTACGGGCCATGTACCTCTCAACAAACATCTCCACCGAATCTCAAAGTCCCCCTCAGCAAGGTGCCTACAATGCAACACGCATGAAGAAACCGTAAAGCACTACCTTCTAGACTGCCCCAAGTATGCGAGACAACGCGCAGCCCTAAGGGAAGAACTCGGACATCGCCCCCTCCAACTACAAAACCTCTTCAGCAACCGAGACTACACCAAACCGCTACTGCGATATATCGCACGAACAAGACGGCTGGAACAAGTATTCGGAGACGTAACCCCCCCCAAATCCAGAGACGAAGAAGAGAACGCAGACTGACGAAGAACATACCAAATGTAACACCATCACACACGCCTTCAGCTGGCGCATCTGTCCTCGCATTAGCCTGGACCAATAGAAAAGAACTTCGCAAAACTCCAAAGTACATACATAGATAGGTAAATAGCGCACGTATTGTCTACTATAGGGCTCCGCCCCACCGGACAATAAACAAGAATATAAAAAAAAAAAAAAAAACCTGAAGGCAATTTCCTTTCATGAAACACGAGCAAAAAATGATGGATATGGTCCTCTCATGCCGTGCACATTTGTTGCCTCCCCTGCCGAGCAGAAGCAATGTTGTCGTGAGTTACTTTCTGTCATTTGAAGTAGCATATATCCTAATCTGTTGGGCAGCATATTGGCATCGAAATCATGAAGGAAAATTGGCTCGTGGAACACTTCGTAGCTGGCCAGTTCCATGCAAGGCAAAGTTCGACATATATACACCATACAATCTCACTGCCTGCCCACAAGTCCTCGTTATCTGCACCAACAATCACAGCCACCCTCCGCCTGCACCTGTCAAAACTCCAGAAGCTATTAAAGCCATTTTCTACGAGTTGCTGCTCACACTCAGCTGGAAACTTGCTGATGCAACACCACGTCGGATTTTACTTGATTCTGCATTCATACAAGCTTTACAAGCTCACCTCAGTTGGAAGGAAACCCACAATCCCACACTGTCAGACCTTCACCCGTCTCTTGGGAACTCTGACCATGCTCGGCGCCTCATCAACACTTTGCGGTTTAATGAATTTCCAAGTGGAACAGGATTCGCAGGTGCTATTCACTTGGCAACAAAACACGATCTTTTGCCCATTGACGAGCGCTATATTTGTTGTGCGGAGTCACATCAGCTATCCACCAAATCAGCATCAAATCCACCTGCGGCCACCACATCAACTTCGATTAGTAGTCTGCAGCTGGTCATTTGTATGACAAAGCGGATGTCATGGCGTCTGATGCAAGCAAAACGGCTCTCGATCAATACTTCATTCAAACGTGTACATGGCTGGCAGGAATTTGAATTTGAGTCTTGGGACGTTGCCCACATGAAATGTAAGTTCAATACCAAATTGCTCAACTCAGCTGATGGCCATGACCATGTATTGTAGCTGTTATTGGTGCTCGAGCATTCACGACATCTCAATCAGCACAAGCACACTTCATCCTCTTCCAACGAATATTCGAGATTGCCAGTGCGGACACAGGTTGTGCTGTTCAGTTTCAATACATGCACGGAGAAGGGATTCAAACCATCATTGCTGATGGACATAAAGGTCAAGGTCTTGGTAAGTATATTTTCTTGGAATCCGAGTCAACGTGAATTGCAATTTGAATATATTCAATAATTCCACAGGCCTAGGTATGTATTGCGTATACCTGTGTAAAGACTCAATACAGGCTTGCCGCTATGACACCACTGCTCTACTTCGTGACCTGGATCCATATGACCATCTGCGCCGCTTCTACCGTCTATGTCTTGCGCACTATAAACGGAATATCCGTAGTCTCCGTGGTCAAATTCCCAAAGATGTGGAAATTGCCATGTTGACGATCGCATCAGCGGAGCCTCATCCTGATCTACAGGGAACATTGAAGAAGATAAAGAAAGGTGGAAAAAAGGCTGCAGGTTTGTGATATTTTCTAATTCATGTTTTGAAGTATTTCTAAGGCAAGATTACTACCGGCAGCATGGCTTAAAGATAAAATTGAGGGCACGAAGTTTGTGCTACCGGCACTCTATCAGCCAAACAGTCTCATCCCGCTCGAAATTTGGAAGGCCTCACCAACTACTACCAATGGAAACGAGCAAGCACACAGGAATATCAATCGTGATGGTGTGGGTCTTACGCTATTGGGAGGAATCATGCGAGGATTTCACTACGACACAAACATCAGCGCTAGTTTGGACCTTTTCGATGCATTTGGCATCAACTCCAGCGACCGTTTATCTACCCATGCTTACCGTGCAAAACGTGCTCTTGCTCGACAAGGTAAGCAATACTAGTATATTCATGTTATTATCTAGAACACTTAAATGGTTTTCAGTCAGATATACAAGGTCTTCGCCCTCGGAGGGCAACACAAGCTTCGCATGTGTTCATCTCACTCCTCCACCTGTTGAGCCCCAACCTGAACTCATTCCCAACTCGTCTCTGATGACCGGTTCCACCGGCGGCGCCATCCCAGTATCGACATTCAGCACTCTCACTTATGCACTAACTGCAGGTGCACACGTTATGGATCATCGAGCTCATTCCCCATCGTTTAGTGCTGCACCTCCCACTGTATGCGCAGTACATCACCATATCTATCCCACTCGAGATCAACTGAGCACTTTCAGTACATTGCAAGGTGCTGTAGAGTAGATGATACGATGCCCGGCGGTGCAATTTTTATTAATGGTGCAAAGATTACATGTATGATGCGATGAGATAAGTATTTGGGGGGCAGGAATCAGAATCAAGAGCGCGCGCGACCTTAAACTCGACGTCGGTCGCGGCCTTCATAAGATGAGGTGAGAATGTCAGAGAACCGCGAGCCTGGAACTGAGCGGCCGAGCAAGCGAGAGAGATGAGATGAGAGAAGGCTGCAATTCCAGGTCGAACGTGACAGAGACGGCAAGACAGCCGATGAATGAGGACATGGTGCAGTGGGTGTGAGAGAGTGAGGACAACGAGCGAGCGAGTGGGAGCAGTGAAAAGCCGGTGGAGGATCATAACTGTCTAGGAAGATGTAGTTAAACATATGTCAGTTGGTGAGAGTCTTCAGAGTTGGATTAGTTAGTACGTACATTTCAAAAGGCTAAAGGCAGCCTCATTAACCGACGAGGACACCAACGACGTACATCGATATTTGGAGCATCGAGCAGCGTGCGCAGGTTTGGCCGTGGAGGCAAGATAATAATGAACAGCCACGTCAGCGCTATTGTAAAGTCAACAGGCATTAGTAACGAAGATGGGCTCCTCGGGGTCTTGCATAGGCTTGAAGGAGCAATTGCTCGTACCTTGAACTGACGCAATCCCAGGGAGCCGAAAATTTTCGGACGAGTAACAGGGGACGGTAGACTCCCTCGTTGGGTTCGAGATTTACGAACGATTTGGTGTACTTCATTCCATACATCGTAATTCCCTGTGAATGGCCCCAGGCCCATATGAATATCATTACAATGAGCTGCAGAGTACTCGACATAGCTGCCACTCCAACATCGAAGGAATTTTCTAGATTTTTGCTCGGTCATTCTTGGAATTGGGACCTAGGCTGGAACTATTACGGTTGGTGAAAAAACTTAGTATATCATGATAGCTCACAACTTGCAAGCAATGTTGTTAATTCCATGTCGTCGCAGCAGAATCCTGGCCTGTGGACACATTCTTATCTCAGTCCTTACACTTGAGCTTGAAACTCCAAATGGATCCTTCGAATCACTTTGGAACATTTCACTAGGTTCACTAACTCCTGTGCCCAGTGTGAATAGTGATGAAGACTTCTCGCATTACCATCCAGTGCCGCAGGTTCCGTCTGTGCAAGATCTTCACTCGACATATGGGACATACAACCCTCAATTGATGCAGTCCATGCCTTCGATGCAGAATTTTCAGATGCTCCGCACATTGTGGCCCCTAACAGCACTATCCCTCCGACTCCTACCATTATCGTCTCTGAACCAGTGGTACGCTCTCCAACACTAGAAACCACGGAGGAACGCTCCCGCAAGGAACTCGAACTTGACAGGAAGGATGCCGAATGCGAGTTTTCTCGTTATGACGATGAAGGTATACTACATGAAACAGCGGAACAGAACACAGATTTCGTTCGTTTCTGGGAGGTATGTGATACTATATTTCTGTCCATAATTCACAAGCTTAACATGTATCACACCAGAAGAAAGAACATACATTTCCGCTTCTATTTCGCGTCGCTATGGATGTCCTGCCTGCTCAAGCTTCATCTGTACCTTCCGAGCGCATATTTTCATCCAGCAAAGAGACCTACACTCTACGGCGCAGCAACTTATCTCCGGCCACACTCGAAGCGTTACAGGTCCTTAAGTTCGTTTACAAGCAAGATTGCCTCAAATTTACGGAGGACTTGGTGGCTGATGAGCGGGACTACACAATATCTGGACCTGTGACTCCCAGAGCAATTGACGAGTTGATGGCTGCCGGGAATCTTCGCAAGCTTGACGAGTTGCTCCAGAATGCGAGAGACATTGATTATAATTGATATCAAGTTGCTGGTCGTGTAGTAACTTGTAAATAATCATCGCTCAACATCGTTGTGGGCACGCAAAATCTCTACCTTCTCATTGGTTGGACTATTGGTCCGTATAACTCCGAACTCGTTTCCAAATCGTTTCAATTCGTTAGTCCAATCTGTGTCGATTTACCACAAATTTCCACCTCGATTCGATTCGATTCGCCTCGGCGGCAACACTATTGCGAAGCATTGGATCATCCTGAGCCTTAGTATTGCACGTGATTGGCCGTGACGCGTCGCGTGCGTCGTTTGGACATGTTGTTCTGTGTGTGGGTCCTAATATAAATATATCTCACTATGCATCTTATCTCTTTAATTACATACCCTAGTGTCCAGGAACACACCGATCAAAAGATTCAAAACTATTCTTCACTAGGTTAGAGTGTTCCACAGCGCTCTAGATTCCCTTTCAAATGCACTCCCAGAGATGTTGGGGGACGCTCTGTGCCTCGAACAAAAGCAGGCATGCAGTGCTATACTACTACCTTGTATCACCGCACTCGATCGGCCTCATCCATATGAATTTTCCTATGCAGGGTATCGGTTTAAGTTCAAGGGTTGGTGACTGACGGGCCTGACCTGCCTTCACACTGTCGGCACTAACTTAAATACTCGCTGTCTCTGGACGATCATATGGCAGTCTCCCCTTTCAAACCACACCATCACCTAGGACACCATGAGCTCGTTGCGCAACGATAGCATCGAATCCAAATCTGAAAAGCAGATTGTCTTGAATCCGAGCCCGAGAGAACGAGCGCGCATTCTGCGCAAAATCGATTGGCACCTATTACCTCTAGTGACGGTATTTTACCTCTTCTCGTACTTGTGAGTATGCTTGTACTGTCTGATATCATCCCACATTACACGCTACCTTCAGAGACCGGGCCATTATTGGTATCTACCTTATACTTCTTGTTGATCACCCGCTAAGATCATCATCAGGATATGCGAAGGTTGGTGGCATGGCCACAAACCTTCACTTGACCGGTTTCAGGTACAACATTGCTGCAGCCGTCTTTTTTGTGCGTCTTGTACCACGCACGTTCCATTAGATGCTGAATTACTCTAGATCCCGCACGGCTTTGCTGAGGTCCCCTCGTACGTGCAACAACAAGAGTAGCAAATCTGTACTCAGTGTCTGTAGGAATATCGCACTCAAGTTATTAAGGCCATCGCGCTGGAGTTCGTTTACCTCTGCTTTGTTTTTTTGTTTTGCCACCTAATATTGATCCAGTACCGTCTATCATGGTCGCGTGGGGTATTGTATCGACCCTTATGTGTCTCGTCAGATCATACCAATCTCTCGTTGTGTACGTGGAGTGTATTTGCATAGTGGAGATAGACACCATACCATCTCAACCACAGAGCTCGAGTGTTCCTCGGTTTGACCGAAGCTGGACTATTTCCCGGAGTGAATTACTACATCTGCCTTTGGTATCCGCGTTCTGAACGGTCCAAACGCATTGCCATATTCTTCTCCTCAGCATCAGTCGCAGGTATGCAATATTCTGATATGCGTTGCAGTTTATCTTTGCTTAAACTTCTCTTCCATTGTAGGCGCCTTTAGTGGGCTCCTTGCGTAAGTCGCTTTGTTTTCCCATCGTCTTGACATTGACCCTCATGTTCCATGAATACAGGTATGGTATAGAACGGATGGAAGGGTAAGCAAGTTGCTTACCTTGTCGACCGTCACTGATGCGCCTATCAGAGTTGGAGGACTACATGGCTGGCAATGGATTGTATGTTTGCGTGTTTTAAAACCGAGTCTTGATTGATTGTATTGTCTGTTAGTTCTGCTTGGAAGGCACTGGTCAGTCTTGCCAGTCTGATATATTTTGGATGTCATCTTAGACTTCAACCAGCCACTGTTCTCGTCGCAACTCTCTCTTTTTTCTTCATGCATGATGTGAGTTGGCGATTATGCTTGATGTTTCGCATGCTGATTTAGACTACTTAGTATCCTGAAACGGCCAAATTTTTGACCGAATCAGAGAGATCATACATCATAGATGTGCTGAAACAGGATTCTAATAATCTTTCCTCTCGCTTCGACACTCAATTCGTTTGGCAAGCTATAAAAGATTACAAGACTTACGTTCTGATTCTCGTTCATATAGGGTACCCAGTCCTCCTGTTCATCTCGCGTGCTTTATCTGAGCTGATGATCAGGTTACTCGTCCCTGGTTTTGCCATCTCCCTCTTTACGCCAACCATCATCAACGAGCTTGGCTACTCTGCTGCGCATGCCCAGCTACTCTCAGTCCCGCCATTTGCTGCTGGCTGTATTGCAACAATCATAGTTGGCATCTATTCTGACAAGCACAATCTTCGTGGCCCGTACATCATTGGCGGCGCGCTTGTTTCTCTTGTGGGATACATCTTGCTATATTGCAGCGTACGAGCGGGCCCGTCGTATGTGGGAGTTTGTCTAGCCGCTACGGGATATTATCCAACCATCCCGATTATTATGGCTTGGACAGGCTCTAATGCAGGAGGCGACTTAAAGCGTGGAGTTGTACTAGCAATGGTTGGTTTCAGTAATCTCGGAGGGTACGTTATGTTATCCTAAATATACGATGACCATCCGCTCATACTAATCTCAGTATCTGCTCGTCTTTCATTTATATTGATCCACCACGTTTCCACCTTGGTCATGGCACCATCATGGGATTTCTTTCTCTTGCGTATGTCTCGTTAATCTTCCGAACTGGAACTGCAACATGATAACATGAATTTGTAACAGAATCATCACGAGTCTTTTTGCTATGTGGGACTATAATCGGCTGAACAAAAAGAAAGAAGCCCAGTGTCTGGCGGAAAACATTGGCGACGATAGAGAATATGAATTTGAGGATATGGGCGATACCAGTCCGCTTTTCAGGTGAGTTCCATAACTCATTCGCAATGCTACTTTGACTGATGAATGTGCAAGATACACCATATGAGATATACAGCTAATTTAAGCTGTCCTTTATAAGCGTTGTTTGTTGCTATGTCGCATCTGTGATACTACTGGCATGATGCAATATTACAAAATGTTTGCCAATGTCAGTTGATTCTTTGCAAAGTAGGCCCATCGATTCGAGGGCAATAAGTGAGGTGAAGGTAATATGCAGGGAATAGACGCCTAGAATAAATGAATTGATAGTACTGCTGCTGAAGGACTCCTCGAAGTTATATTGAGTACGCCGTAGTATCGCCTGATACAATGTCAAGTCAAGCGCTCACACTAATCGGGTGCTTCGTGCTTCGTGCGCGGTGCTAAGCGGTTGTCGTGCTTCTTTTCCAGAAAGTACCTGGTGGATAAGACACGAGAATACTTCATGAGCACAGCTCCAGCACCGGACGCTCATCTCACCATCGTTTGAATTGGTCACGGTTGCAGGAATCATAAGTAGTTGATTCTAGGCGGAGGCAGAACACGAAAGAGTAATTCATACTGCAACGATCGATCAGTCCCGCTTTCCCTAAATAATCATCCAATCAGGTCAACTTGAACTAAGGCATCTGCGATGTTGAAACCGAGGAGTCTTACAATGTGTCTCCAAGCTTCACTAGGGATTTAATCACTTGTTCGTGTCAATCTGGATCTATTGCCCGCCAGCAGCTAGGTTACGACAGTTGCTTCAATTAATCAGTGGGAATAATGGCAATTCTGAGAGCTATCTGTGCACCATGTTGTCTCCAGTGACCATGCATCCAATCATCCCAGGTTAACCGTCATTCCGACCAAATAACATCGCCTTTATAAGCAAGGTGATCATGATGGCGTCTGGGTCCGGAGCCTTCTGCAGCTGAATGATCTCAACGACGTCGAGAGGCGACGGCGATAAAACATGTGCTCAGACTAGTTTGTTTGGTCATGTAAGCAGGATTACGAGAAGACAACCTCACAGTAATGACTCAGAAGGGCAGGAGCTCCGAGTGCTTTCGACATCGGAGGCAAGGAGTGGATGATGCATGGGCCGGGCCTTTAGCGTATATGTCGCGTACGGTTATCTGGAAGCAGCAGATATTTGATCTTGAGCATCTGGCCGAGATCGACTAGACTGGACGAAAACAGGTTTGTACCCCCATAACCATGGTGTCCACGACAAACGTGCTCACTGAGCAATTGGAAGGCGCGGAAGTGTGGAAGGTCCCGGTCTTCGAGAGCCGTAGTATGAGTCTGATTCGGGTCGCTTATCAAATTTCTCACTACAACCTTAACCTTAAACGTGATATAGCTTTCGGTGGATTCCGCGATGGCACCCACCGACTACAAAGCCGCTTATCTTCTTCTGATATCTGCTTCCATGAATCTTAAGTGTTCTACTTGCAATGGTTCAGACTTACGCTCCCCCTGGAGGACCCCTGCGCCCAGCATGACATGAATCATTACTGCCACCGATGCAAATAGTGTGACTTTTTCTCAACTTTGGCCAAGACCGGGACCCTGTCATCCTGGTTTTTGGCTATCATTGATCGCCGCGACAGGCCGGTTTTGCAAAACGTACAGCCTGATCGTGGATATGCTGTGGGGGAGCTACAACCTGGGTATATGTTCTTTCGAGGACATCCTGCAGTTCATGCAATACACAACACCCTGTTCGGAGGCTAGCGTACATCGCGCGAATGCAAATGACGTAACGGATATCGATAATAGATTGGTGACTTGATGGACTGCTGGCCAGGATTCCGGGAAGCTGACATCTCGGGGTTCAGTGGAATCATAAAGCAGTAAGGACAGTAACCATCGAGTTACGTCTCGACTGACAAACGCGCAGTTAATTCTGGAGGTAAAGGAAGGACCTGGACAGCAGACCAAGCACCATGTAACTCTGTCATGGAAGGCAATAATATTATTCTCGCTCAAATGTTTGTAATGTGCGTAGTGATCTCATTGAAACGAATATAAGTTAGATCAAATGAAGTGGTGGTTTACAGCTGTTTGCAAAAAGGTTGACAGTAAGAACAAACAAATAAATAAATAATAGTGTTGTACATACAGACCATCATGCATCATGTATCGGAAACTTGTTTCAAGAGTCATGAAACAAGGAATGATGTTCTTAACCTGGCCACGTCAACGATGTCATAAAAGTACGCCCATTACCTCAGGTGTCCGCTGAGGCTCAATAGGCTAACGTCACATCAATCAAAAGATTCAAAACTAGGCCTCATTAAGTCAGAGCGTTCCACAACGTTCTAGATTTCCTTTTGAAATGTGCTTCCAGAGACGTCGTGGGCTAAGCCCTAACAAAAGTAGAGGTGCTGTGCCATACTACTACCACCTATCACCGCATTTGATCGGTCTCATCCATATAAATTTATCCTACGCGCCTGGGGTATTGGGTCAAAGGTTGGTTACTCGCAGGCTTGACCTGTCTCCACACCGTCGGCATCAACAACCGCTCAGAACATATCTGATATCATCATCATACTCTGTCTTTGGACGATCGTAACCCACTCATCCAATCAGTCTCTTCCGGATTCAACCATACTATCACCTAGGACACCATGAGCTCCTTGCACAACAATAGCATTGAGTCCAATTCCGAAAAGCAGATTGTTTTGAATCTGAGCCCGAGCCCGAGCCTGAGCCCGAGAGACCGAGCGCGCATTCTGCGCAAAATTGATTGGCATCTATTACCTTTCGTGACTGTATTTTACCTTCTCTCGTTCTTGTGAGTATGCCTTAAGTTGTACTGTCTGATGTTGCTACACATTAATTGCTGCCTTCAGGGACCGGGCCAATGTTGGTAAGTTATCTACCGCATACTTCCTATTGATCATCAGCTGAGACTATTACCAGGAAATGCGAAGGTCGCCGGCATGGCCACAGACCTGAAGTTGACCGGCTTCAGGTACAACATCGCTGCAGCCGTCTTTTTTGTGCGTCTTGTATCACGCACGTTCCATTAAATGCTGAGTTACTCTAGATCCCGTACAGCTTTGCTGAGGTCCCGTCGTATGTACAACATTAAGAGCAGCGATTCTGTACTCAGTGTCTGCGTAGGAACATAGCACTCAAGCTATTCAGGCCATCACGCTGGAGTACGTTTGCCCCTGCCTTGTGTTTTCTCCCCAGCTGATATCGATCCAGTACCGTCTATCATGGTCGTGTGGGGTGTTGTAATGACCCTTATGTGTCTTGTCAGATCATATCAATCTCTCGTTGTGTACGTGGGGTATATTTGCATAGTGGAGGCAGACACCATAACAACCTGATGCCAGAGCTCGAACGTTCCTCGGTTTCGCAGAAGCAGGATTAGCTCCTGGAGTGAATTACTACATCTGCCTTTGGTATCCGCGTTCTGAACGATCCAAACGCATTGCCATATTCTTTTCCTCAGCATCACTCGCAGGTATGCAATATTCTGATATGCGTTGAAATCTATTTTCGTTTTAAACTTCCGTTCCACTGTAGGCGCCTTCGGTGGGCTCCTAGCGTAAGTCGCTTTGTTTTCCCATCGTCTTGACATTGATCCTCGTGTTCCATGAATACAGGTATGGTATAGAGCGCATGGAAGGGTAAGCAACTTGCTTACCTTGTCGGCCGTCACTGATCCGCCTATCAGAGTCGGAGGATTGCATGGTTGGCAATGGATTGTATGTCTACGTGTTTTAAAACAGAGATTTTACTCAATTATGTTTTCCACTAGTTCTGCTTGGAAGGCATTGGTCAGTCGTGCCAGATCTGAGGTATTCCCAATGCTCATGTTAGACTTCAACCAGCCACTGTCCTCGTCGCAATCCCCTCTTTTTTCTACATGCATGATGTGAGTTCGTGATTATGCCGAGCCTTTCCCATGCTGATTTAGACCACCCAGTATCCTGAAACGGCCAAATTTTTGACCGAATCAGAGAGATCATACATCATAGATGTGCTCAAACAGGATTCCAATAAACTTTCCTCTCGCTTCGACACTCGATTCATCTGGCAAGCCATAAAAGATTACAAGACCTACGTCCAAAGTCTCATTTATTTAGGGTACTCAGTTTCCTCCTGTCATATCGCGTGCTTCATCTGAATCAATCATCAGGTTGCTCGTCCCTGGTTATGCCATTGCCCTATTCTCGCCAACCATCATCAACGAGCTTGGCTACTCTGCTGCGAATGCCCAGCTACTCTCCGTCCCGCCATTTGCTGCTGGCTGTATTGGAACAATCATATTTGGCATCTATTCTGACAAGCACAATCTTCGTGGTCCGTACATCATTGGTGGCGCGCTTGTTTCTCTTGTGGGATACATCTTGCTATATTGCAGCGTACGAGCGGGCCCCTCGTACGTGGGAGCTTGTCTGGCTGCTGCTGGAGTTTATCCAACCGTCGCGGTTGCTCTGGCTTGGGCAGGCTCTAGTGCAGGAGGCGATTTAAAACGTGGAGTTGTAATAGCAATGGTCATTGGTCTTGGTAATTTCGGAGGGTACGTCACGTTATCCCAAATATGCGACGTCCATCCGCTCATACTAGTCTCAGTATTTGCTCCTCCTTCATTTACATTGATCCGCCACGCTTCCACATCGGGCACGGTACGATCATGGGATTCCTTTCTCTCGCGTATGTCCCATCAGTCTTCCGAACCGGAACTGTAGCATGATAACATGAATTTGCGGCAGGATCATAATGAGTCTCTTTGCTATGTGGGACTATAATCGGCTGAACAAAAAGAAAGAAGCCCAGTGCGAGGCGGAAAACATTAGCGATGATAGAGGATATGAATTTGAGGATATGGGCGATGACAGTCCCCTTTTTAGGTGAGTTCTCTTTGAGTCCTCCGCAATGCTGCCTTGAGTAATGAATATCCAAGGTACACCATATGAGATCACAGCTAAATCGAGCTGCCCCTTTGAAGTGCTCTTTGATTGCACCGCGCGAACGCAAATGACGTAACGGATATCGATACCAGATTGGTGACTTGATGGACTGCCAGGATTCCAGGAAGCTGACATCTCGGGGTTCGGTGGAGTTATAAAGCAGTGAAGACAGTAACCATCGAGTTACGTCTCGACTGACAAACGCATAGGTAATTCTGGAGGTAAAGGAAGGACTCGGACAGCAGGCCAAGGACCATGTGATTCTGTCATGGAGGACAATACTATCGCTCAAATGTTTGTAATGTGTCCATAGTGATCTCATTAAAACGAATATAAGTTAGATAAAATGAAGTGGCGTGTGGACTCGTCTCTGAAACAAGCAGAAGGTCACTGAAACCGCCCTTCCGGCGCACAACAGTGTGGCGTCACTGCAGCTGTGTTGATTGTGCAGAGTCTACAAGGCATGTGACCAGATTAGATGAGATCTTGTCATATCTACCCTATTATCTATCTACCCTGTTGTTATTGGTATGTAGTTCTATGAAGTCACTGCTGCATATGATTTCGCCCCTACTTAGTAACAGGTATGGTATGTTATAATCGTTACTAATATGTACCATACATGGTGTTACCCAGGTGACTGAGGTTCAATAGGCTAACGTCACATCAAGTCTCATTAAGTTAGAGCGTTCCACAGCGCTCTAGATTCCCTTTTTAAATGTACTTCCAGAGACGTCGTGGGCTAAGCCCTTAGCCCTAACAAAAGTAGAGGTGCTGTGCCATACTACTGCCACGGTCTCATCCATATAAATTTATCCTACGCGACACCATGGGCTCCTTGCACAACAATAGCATTGAGTCCAATTCCGAAAAGCAGATTGTCTTGAATCTGAGCCCGAGCCTGAGCTCGAGAGAACGAGCGCGCATTCTGCGCAAAATTGATTGGCATCTATTACCTTTCGTGACTGTATTTTACCTTCTCTCGTTCTTGTGAGTATGCTTTAAGTTGTACTGTCTGATGTTGCTACACATTAATTGCTGCCTTCAGGGACCGGGCCAACGTTGGTAAGTTATCTACCGCATACTTCCTATTGATCATCAGCTGAGACTATTACCAGGAAATGCGAAGGTCGCCGGCATGGCCACAGACCTGAAGTTGACCGGCTTCAGGTACAACATCGCTGCAGCCGTCTTTTTTGTGCGTCTTGTATCACGCACGTTGCGTTAAATGCTGAGTTACTCTAGATTCCGTACAGCTTTGCTGAGGTCCCATCGTATGTACAACATTAAGAGCAGCGATTCTGTACTCAGTGTCTGCGTAGGAACATAGCAATCAAGCTATTCAGGCCATCGCGCTGGAGTACGTTTACCCCTGCCTTGTGTTTTCTCCCTAGCTGATATCGATCCAGTACCGTCTATCATGGTCGTGTGGGGTGTTGTAATGACCCTTATGTGTCTTGTCAGATCATATCAATCTCTCGTTGTGTACGTGGGGTATATTTGCATATTGAAAATAGACACCATGACATCTCAACGACAGAGCTCGAGTGTTCCTAGGTTTGACCGAAGCAGGACTATTTCCTGGAGTGAATTACTACATCTGCCTTTGGTATCCGCGTTCTGAACGGTCGAAACGCATTGCCATATTCTTCTCCTCAGCATCACTCGCAGGTATGCAATATTCTGATATGCGTTGAAATCTATCTTTGTTTAAACTTCTGTTCCATTGTAGGCGCCTTCGGTGGGCTTCTTGCGTAAGTCGCTTTGTTTCCCGATCAACTTGACATTGACCCTCATGTTTCACGAATACAGGTATGGTATAGAGCGGATGGAAGGGTAAGCAAGTTGCTTACCTTGTCGGCCCTCACTGATGCGCCTATCAGGGTCGGAGGATTGCATGGTTGGCAATGGATTGTATGTCTACGTGTTTGAAAACAGAGATTTTACTCAATTATGTTTTCCACTAGTTCTGCTTGGAAGGCATTGGTCAGTCGTGCCAGATCTGAGGTATTCCTAATGCTCATGTTAGACTTCAACCAGCCACTGTCCTCGTTGCGATTCTCTCTTTTTTCTACATGCATGACGTGAGTTCGCGATCATGCCGAGCCTTTCCCATGCTGATTTAGACCACCCAGTATCCTGAAACGGCCAAATTTTTGACCGAATCAGAGAGATCATACATCATAGATGTGCTCAAACAGGATTCTAATAATCTTTCCTCTCGCTTCGACACTCGATTCATCTGGCAAGCCATAAAAGATTACAAGACCTACGTCCAAATTCTCATTAATATAGGGTATTTAGTCTCCTCCTGTCATATCGCTTGCTTCATCTGAGCTGATCATCAGGTTGCTCGTCCCTGGTTATGCCATTGCCCTATTCTCGCCAACCATCATCAACGAGCTTGGCTACTCTGCTGCGAATGCCCAGCTACTCTCCGTCCCACCATTTGCTGCTGGCTGTATTGGAACAATCATAGTTGGCATCTATTCTGACAAGCACACTCTTCGTGGTCCGTACATCATTGGTGGCGCGCTTGTTTCTCTTGTGGGATACATCTTGCTATATTGCAGCGTACGAGCGGGCCCCTCGTACGTGGGAGCTTGTCTGGCTGCTGCTGGAGTTTATCCAACCATCGCGATTGTTCTGGCTTGGGCAGGCTCTAGTGCAGGAGGCGATTTAAAACGTGGAGTTGTAATAGCAATGGTCATTGGTCTTAGTAATCTCGGAGGGTACGTCGTGTTATCCTAAATATGCGACGTTCATCCGCTCATACTAGTCTCAGTATTTGCTCCTCCTTCATTTACATTGATCCGCCACGCTTCCACATCGGGCACGGCACGATCATTGGATTCCTCTCTCTTTCGTATGTCCCATCAGTCCTCCTAACCGGAACTGTAGCATGATAACATGAATTTGTAACAGGATCGTAATGAGTCTCTTTGCTATGTGGAACTATAATCGGTTGAACAAAAAGAAAGAAGCGCAGTGCCTGGCGGAAAACATTAGCGATGATAGAGGATATGAATTCGAGGATATGGGCGATGACAGTCCCCTTTTTAGGTGAGTTCTCTTTGAGTCCTCCGCAATGCTGCCTTGAGTAATGAATATCCAAGGTACACCATATGAGATCACAGCTAAATCGAGCTGCCCCTTTGAAGTGCTCTTTAATTGCACAAGTCAGCTTTGAGAATAACCAATACCTACGTCCCATTTGTGGTAGTAACAGCATGATGGAATATCATGGAGACTTGGCAGTGTGCGTTGATTGTTCGCAAACCAGGCACATCAATATAAGATGCGCCCTAAAGCGCGGATCTCATCTCAACCAAATGACCAACGAAACAAACGTGCTCAAGGTGAGCACCGGAGCTGCCGCTCTATCTAAAATCCGATGTTCAATCCATTCAACAGCGTCAAAAGGGGACCGAGAAACGCGAGAACCTGCAGATCGGTCACAGGTGTGAACTGGTAGGACAATTTCCGGCGAGCTGCAAGTGAGTTGAATATCATACTTAGGTACCCGTCCGTTCTATCTCAGACACCGGCGATAAGCAACCTCGTGGGTCAATTTACTACCAGAAGATACAACGAACCCTTCACGGTTCGCAACGAGATAGCAACATATAATTAGGCGAACGGCGTTTCGAACGAGAATGTACCAAAGGAACTTCTGTCGCAGGTTCCTGCAGACGATAACGGTTAATCAAAGTTTATGAAAGACATTTAGGGGATGTTTTGATGAAGCAAACCATGGCAGGCGGGTACACTCGATTTAGTTTGCAAGATATTCTTCCGATATTCTTCAGCCATTAATTACTTTCACAGCTCACTCACTGGCAGTACCAGGGTTTCGATGAGTCGAAGAAACGAGCAGATATCGAAGTATGAACGACGACCGGGACGACGGGATACAAGCAGCGTGTTTGGGAACGTCAATCGACCGTCACACAACGTTGGCGGCGATGAGCCATCGAAGCAAAACCTAACCTTGGTCATGGCAGTAGGCTTTGGAGTAGTATGCATGCAACCACTTCTCTTTTGTGTGTATAGAGGCATTCTGCACATGCATCCTTGGGAATGTATCTACGTGGTTGATGATAACAAGAACCGTATCCCTTAACCAGGCGGCAGAACATTATTACATTTCATTGACAAGAATGACCGCTCACTCAGCACCACTGGGGGGCCCGAGGGTTGTTTGGGTCGAATAAAGCAAGCTTGAAGGAGATATTAGGAAAGTGGCGAGGACCACGATGATTAACGCATAACTCTGGTGCTGGGTGACGATACAGTCAAGCGGGTTACCATCAACCTGCGAGGCGTCATATGAACACGGCTGAACCTCGGTTATGACACCAGGCTTTGCAACATAGCGCCTTCCCGTCATATATAAGCCCTTCTATGATGCAGGGCATTCATCTATGTATGTGGTATTAGATGTGACATGTAAAACCGATCGTCCTGACGCAAAAAAATGTGAACCCGACCCGGATTGAACGGATGACCTTGAGGATACAAGCCAAAGCTCTGGAATCTCACGCGCTACCACTGTGCCACGGGTCCATCCGTAGCCGCCCTGCTTCACGGGCACCAAAACTTATTCACTTAAATATTATTGGGATTCGTAAATATATACAGGTCAAGTCCAAAAGCGAATCATGCCCGACTACTTCCTCGTGAACAACGAAAATCGCCGCTTTGACCCCCGCGCACTGTCCCCGTCTAGCTTTACCATTGATGATGCAGGACTGCTCTGCAGGTCCTTGCGCTTCCGCATAAGAAACAGGAGCGAATGTGGCCGTGAGGGCAGCGCAGGGGGGCGCGTAGCCGTCGGCGTGCTCAAGCCTGAAGGCGTTGATGATCCAGAAGAAAGAGGGTGCAGCGTTGGCACGTGCGACCGGGGTGTAGAAGGCGCATTGAGTGATGTGTGGGACCACAGTGGATCCGGTTGGAACGGAGGGAGAGCGAATGAGGTATAAGGCCCTGTGTCCGATTCTTCCGATGGACGGGGTACTCCTGTTGCGGGCTCCTCCTCCCTCGGCTTTAAGGAGAGACTTCTCTCTGGAAGAGTAATATCGTGGTGAATGAGATCGAACCCCTCTAATAGGTTCACAGCGTACTCAGGCACGCAGACCGAGTCCGTGTCTAGTTCCGCAAGGATCTCCGTATGTGAGCGTGGCGAGGAACTTGCGTAAATAGTCGCCACGCCCCCCGAAGGCGCTTGTGGTGGCGCCTCCGATGGCACACGTGATGCATGTGATGCCCCATTTGAAGACGTCGATGCAATGGATAATGGGGGAGTCGATGGCCGTGTGGAAGTCATCACGTCATCAGTGAATTCATTAAATGGCAGCAAGCGAGATGAAGGGGTCGACGATTGCGACAAGGATGAATTTCGTTCCGCATTAGAAAGACCCATATTTTTAACTAGTGAGGAGGGTCTAGATGGCCCGCTTGCGACTCGTGGTATGCTGGAGCGCATAGGAGGAACACATGGCTCACCACCAATCGATTTTGGACGGGAATTCAGTGTTGTGAACCTCCGAGTGACGCTGGTCGACGGACGGAGTCGAAGGGGTGAAATGTCGCTCATGGTTATCCGGCGTGAGAAGGTGCAGTCGACGAAAAGAGGCCTGCACTTATGGTGGATGTGTAATGATGTCCTCGTGGGTGATCGTTCAAAAAATTTAGTGAGATTAGCCCGGCGCCTTGCCTCGTTGTCGAGGGGTGTAACTGGAAGATTCTCGTCAAACCTTCCTTGCTCCGGCACACCCCTTTTCAACTTGAGCGAAGCCAAATGCTGACTCAGTTGGCTAACCCCACGGTCTGCTTCAAACTGCCGTCGTTCCTCCATCCAACGATCTAATTGCAAGGCAACGTAGCTCTTAGGATCGACCTCTCTATCCGCGAGACACACCCTTAACTTGGCAGCACGGTCCCTGGATTCATTCGCACGTGTACTCAGCGCAGCAGTCGCCTTTTCCAAAGCAAGAATCTGAAGTTCTCGAGGCGACCGTTCTCTTGTGCAACTCTTGAGTGCATGCTCCAAGGCCTGTTCCGCTGTAGAGTAACGCCGTTGGCGACGTAAAGAGTCTGTAGGGGATCCACAGATAGAAGTAGCCCTGTTGGAGCGGCTAGGCTTCATAGTAGGTCCGGGCCTTCCACATGCACGGCTAGAATTAGGTGTGCTAAGCGTTGCAGCAATGTATTGTTCAGATGCGGTTTGTGCGCAACGTGAAAAACACGTACTAGTATACGTTAGCCGATATATCTGGAGAAATGGCGACCTTTGGTGCAACTGTGGTGTTGGTACGCTCCTGGGAGTGAAGGTGAAGTGAATCAAAAAGTTTTCGTTTAGTTGATCGTTACCTACACGCAAAGCATGTTTAGTGTCCATTATGGTATCAATGTCGATTCGCAGCGCGGGTAGATGTAAAAGATGGGTCTTGGACGGCTCCAATGCATCAAGGTGTTCGTCATTCTGATCAAAGATCTTTACTTCAATCATGATGGGGATATGCTGGGAAGTCGCAGGCTATGGTGATTGCATAAAAAGTAGAGGAAATAAAGTTGACTGAGGGCAAGTATATGAGAATTGACGGCCCTGAGGCTGTGCAAGTCGCCGTGACACAACCGTGTGCATTGGAATTGCTAGTACTTGGATTGATGATGGTACCAAGACGGAGTCTGACGGACTTGGAAGCTTTACGGAAAGCCAGTGAAAAACACCTTGGAAGCACACTCTCGTACTTATGAGAAGCTCTTACGGATAACAGGAACAATGGTCTTCATTATGATGATCGCCGCGATCGGATGGTTTCAATTATATTCGTGACGTGGTGTCACTCCAGATCACATGAATAAAAAAAACGACCACGTGCCGCTGTGGTGTGCAGGATGGATACATATATCGTGACATGATCTGTTCTTACAGCTGTTCGTACATACATCATGATCTGCCGAGCACTAGATCTCGCAAGCCCTTCCCGAGCTTCCTCACTCTACCCTTTATCCCTTTTCCGCGGTGACCTGTCTCCTTGAATAGGTAGTCCCCTGGCTCATCAGGTCCATCTTCCTTTCGCCACCTCGCTAAGTTCATCCGCATCTCCGTCTCGCCGCTTAATGAGAACCCAGAGTACACGTTCACAGGTATCGCTTGTCCAGGGAGAATCATCGACATAGGCCGTGAATCTCGGCCGAACTGCACTGGTACACGCTCCCCACAGTCAAGAGATCTCGTGCCGCGTGGTGCATAATCGTAATCAGATGGGATGGGGGAGGGCGTACGAGGGAGGGAGCTGGGAAGCCCAGGAGTACCAGGTCGAGACATGTTTTTCCGAATGACAGTATAATATGGCCGGCTAGGATGGCCGATTCGGACGGGAATTTCCGCACTCATAGCAGTCGAAGGCGCAGGAGAGGGTGCTGGTGCTACGTGCATTGTATGCGACGCGTGTGATTCAGCACGATCATCAAATGCGGGGGAAGACTGCTGTGATCTTGACCGACATGAGAGTGAGGACATGCGTTTGAGTGATGGCACGCCTTTCTTCCTCCGTAGCTTCGGGGAAGATTCTGACAATGATACGGCGGAGGAAAGAGCGCGAGCGTGAGAGACACAATCGGGGTATACATCGCCGCCAGCGGCGTGAGCTGCATCGATCAAAACGGAACTACCGTTCGAGTGTGAAGTCGTTCCTTGTATCATGAGTGATTTGTCGTGAAGAGTGCTGCGCGCATGCGCAGATGATGATGTTGCAAGAAAAAGAGCGGGTAGTTTTCGACGATGCCGTATCGACTGTTTCTTCACGGTTTCGTGTTTGTATAGTCCACCCAGAAGCTTCTGCTTCACGCTGGCGGGAGCCGTCGAACGGCACAATGGCTGCGCAGGAAGAATAAAACAAAAAGGGTCAGCAATACAACCCTGGTTCTACGGAGGTATCAAACGGCATGCAATATTTACCAAAATCGGTGTTGCTGTGGTGACGTCGTGAAGCACGCCGCCGCCATCTCCTTGGGAATCGACTTCATCGTTGTGAATATCATCCACACCTATCCGCACAACATCAGGCTTGCGTGAACATGCGAGCTCGCTGTCACACGAGTCCAATACTGCCGTAATTCCGGGTGCCTGAAGGTTTTCCATACAGAACATGAGGTCACCTTGAGGAGTCACAGGCCCAGCGCTCGAAATTGTGGAATCAGCCGAGACCCTCTTTGGCATGCACTTGACTCTCGTTCGCTCGCTCGAGCCTCTCAACTGAGAAGCAGTCTTAGATGGTGCAGTTATTCTTCGCGGTCTCGGCAACCTCTCCTCGAACTCTTTCTTCGCCACCGCGGAACTCCATGCACACCAGAGACACATAGGAATGAGCGTATTGGAAAAGCCACATCGTGCACAGACAAAGAGAGGCCGGTTCGGGCAGAGGTGCAACGAAGGTAGCGAATCGGATGCATGCAAGTGCTGATGAGCACATATCCGCGATGAGTGATCATGATCCTCATCGATATATGAATGCAACTCACGGGCTTATTTCGTTTCCATTCCCTACGAAGATAACGTCGCGGAGTTGCTGATGGGTCCATGCAAAGGGAATCGAGAGCCATGTAAAAGGTCGAGATATCGTCTCTAGTGCGATCTCGAATGTGCGCGGGAGCAAGCAGTGTATCTAAAACTCTAGAGCTCTACTTAAAAAACCAAGTCCACGAGGCCGACGTCTGAACAATCTGAGCAATTAGTCTGAATCACAAGCACGAGTGTGGCACGGAGAGGTTGCATTTATCAAGGCATCTATAAAGCAAGCACAGACATATCGGTCATGCGACTGAAACCGTGATCGCTGATCGTTCTAGAGCATGCGTTTGGAGCGTGCTTGACGGCCTTTCCGAGCGACATCGTGGCCTCCACCAAGCCTTCGGGAAGGCTCAACGCACAAAAGGCATGGAAGATCACGCATGTCTGACGTAATAATGCAAATACCAAACAGCCACTTGGCAAGACTAGGTCACCCCCTACTATGTAGTCAAGTTTTGGTAGTGAGTACGTGGTGTGAGAATTGGTAAATCCATCTGCATGTGGCTCAGTTGGTTGGTATTCTTCCATTGATGAGCCTCCAAAGTTGGTTCCAGAAAGTAGAAGAAGCGATACCCCTTAAAATTGGAAGTGCTTATCCGAACTCGTGGCGAAGCTTAATCCCACAAATGGTCTAAGACATGCACGTACCTGATACAAACATCCGAGGCGGGACAACCTGTACAGGTGAGAAAAAATATGCGATTTGATGAATGCGAATCCAAATTGTAATGCCGGACCTATGAGTGAGAAAATGGGCGTGTCATGGTATATAATTCGCTAATGCTATCGAGATGGAGTGAGCATCGACAGAAAAAGACATAGTTTAAACCCACAGCTAAGGAACGGCCTTGTATCATACAAAGACAGTGATAGCCCCTCTCTTCTCGTCCATGACCCACTGCCCGTCAATGAGCTGGCTCACATGAACGCGCCCACATCCGCCAACAGGACAAGTCCATTCATATTCAGCTTCTACATTGGAGACCTTAGCTCGACCTTTCCCATTGGCTTTAGCTTTAACAGATGGGCGAGGAGCACCTCTAGCTCGCGCGTGCGATGGGCCAGGACCGGTGGGTAACAGTCCAGAGGAGTGAGATGGAAGGGGGGGACGGGGACGCAGCCGTGAGCGAATGGAAGAGAATTCAGGTTCACAGAAGATGTTAAAGATATTGGGATCCGTCTCCTTGCCTTTGCCTTTCACAGAGCGGGTGAGGTAGGCACCAGGTAACTCGAGTTCATCTTCCTCCCTTGCTTTGCCTTTGCCTTTCACATCAGCAGTGTCCACCGAGTCCGGGACAACAGGAGGCATCGGCTTCATCAATTCCTCCACACATTTTCCGTCCAAAAGATGACCACATCTTAAACCCCACAATCTTCTCTTTGCTCGGTCCTCGGCAACGTCCGCAGCTCCCAGCATCAATGGGTCATGGCACCGAGGACAAGTAAGTATGGTCTCGCCAGAACGACTATTGCTTGAGCTGGAGGAACCGGGGCTATCGATGTCGATAACCGGTGTAGGTGTCATAGACGATGACTCGAAGTCATGTGTAAAACCAGATGCAGGCTTCACCGGATGGGTATACTCCGGTTTATAATCAGGTTCTGAAGGCCGCCCTGGGGCATGAGCGTTGAAAAGGCGGAGATCACCTCGCATCAGCCGGTCACCAGGCTCATCATTAAAATCTGCAGCTCGATAGTGACGAAAGCCATCATCATCATAGAGTTCGTCTTCCTCATGACCAAAGAAGTCTAAAGGGTTCCACTGCATGAACACATCCGCGGGAATGCCAAAGACTCGGCGGCGGCGCTCGTTATTGTGTGATCGTGCGGGGGTTTGCTCAAAAGCTGCTCTCGCGCGTTGAAGCAGTGCGCCGCCGAATCCCATCACAGGAACGTGGTGAGATGGTGCGGCGGGAGGTGCAGGTGCCGGAGGACGCTCGATGGGCTCAGGGGGAACCCTGATGTTCGTTTCAAATGGAAAGGGCTCGGCGTTGGGAATCACCAACCCGGGGGCGGTGGGAAATGGAGGCGGTCTTCTTCGCATAGGTATAAACCTACGCGGTATCTGCGGAACCGGTGGTATTGCAGCAATTTGGGGTGGAGGCGATGGTGAAAAAATGCGGGCTCCTAGCAATTGTTCAGAAAGACATGCTGAAATGCATGCGTAGGACTCACTGTGAGATCTGGGAGCAGGCCTGGCCCTGACGAATTGTATATCGTCATCATCGCTGTCGTTTATTATTATGACCTCTGGATCGATTGGCACAGAACGACCGCTCTCCGATACCCTTCTTCTCTGAGTAGGTGGTCTCGATCCGATCCGAGCTACCTCTTCCACATCGAAGAGGTCGACGTCAATGATTTCAGGAGATGCAGGACCCTGTTGCTCTGAAATAGCAGATATTGGACGTTCAACCTCTGTTAGGGACATCTGGAACAGCAATATTAAGAATCAGATGGACTTTGTCGTCGTTCTAGGTTAACGTTAAGCATTGGCGGCCACTGTCACAAAGCAAATATGAGTATTACATAAGCATGATGGGTGCACGGGCCACTGCCAAACAATTGCCAAATTGTGGCGGTGTATAAATTCTTCCTGTAGGTGATCTTCTTTTCTTCATCTGCCTCATGTCCTGTAAGTATTATGTCCATCGTTTTCTTATCCAACGGATGACTTTATTCTCTTCCCCGTCCTACACGACCATGCCGAGGAATAGAGCTGTTCGTTCGCAACGAACACGCGCTCTCCGGAGCGCACAGTGTACTTGCCAGTGCCATTTTGTCTGATTCTTTCACTTTGTTCTACTTGCCTTAAAATCTCTGTTCTGACCAACTCTCCAGCCCTTTTAGATTGTCGCTCAAGATATCGCGTCCGTCGTCTTCAGGTGAGAATCGATATACCTTCAAATTTTACACCGCTGCGCCCATTCATGCACGATGAAAATTTTTCCGTTATTCGCAGTTTCCACTCTAGCGCCCTCCGCCAGGAGTACTCCCCCAATACTGAACGTTCATATTTCCCCTCGCTGTGTGAACCCAAAAGCACAGTCGGGTGTGGACCGTCCTTGTGGTGCGCTGAACGGGAGGTGGGGGTCGGCGCAATGAGGGTATGCAGTCCTTCCAGGATGTCTGATCTTTCATATGGCGCAGCTTGTATTGTTTCTGTTGAATTTCAATGCTGACGATCTTCCTAGGTTTTAGTCACTGTGTTTGTGTGTCGTCGCCCTATCTTGTGTAGTTATAGCAGTCATCAGCTATCAATTTTTTTGCCATTTTTTTTTTTTGCGTGTGAACCATATAAACGCTTAGATGAAGCAAGATTCAACGGTTAGTTGCGTATGCAAACACTACTCGTGATGCATGATGGCCCCCCAAAGTGTCATGATCTCGCGTTCTGTCTAGTTATTACCGGAAATTGGCGATGTGCTTCAACACTTGGACATCCTGGTCCGTCGCCGTAACTCATCTGATTATTTGACTGAGAAAAGACCCAGTTCACGGCTTTCTGAGAATCATGCTTGTCATGTGCTAAGTGAACTTGAGAGCGTCCAGGCACGCAGTTGTTTTGGTCCCAGGCATACCAGGCAGTGAACTGGGCCATCGATCCATACTTCTCGACAGTTGACTATGATATTAGGTATCTTTAAACTACCAGCCCCCCAGGGTAGACATGATAGACGTGACCTCAGAACAGATCGATCTCCATTCACTTAGGGCTTCCATCGAAATTATTGCTTTCTGTAAAACACGACATCACACTGCAGGGTTGGACACCTCCGGAGCGAGCGTCGAATGATCAAATCTCTGGGGAAGAAATACGACAAGCAGCCAACAATTTTGACTCCCCGCAAAGGTCCGACCTGCCAGTGTATCAGTGTTGTGTGCACTGCCAGCAATGGGGTTCGTGCCGCTTCGTACGTCGGTATCCAATGAACGAGATCCGAGCATCCCATGATCAAATCATTGGGGAAAACATATGACAAACAGGCAACTCAAGTTATGGCTCCCTGCAAAGGGTCAGCCAGTGCTAGTGTCGTGTGCACTGCCTTTAAAGAGCGGGATTCGGATTTTCGTACGTTAGCGTTCAAGGAACTCATGATAACAAATGTGAATGTGCGTTATATCGCACTTAAAGAAGGCGCCACCGACGTAGAGTCTAAAGGGTAGCGGAAGGTGAGTGGTCCCTATCGTCATTGTAACGCAGACCCTGCTGATGCATCATGAGGCTGTATTCAAAGGAAAAACACGTGTATTAGTGTGCATGAAGCAGAATCGAATGCAAGCAAAGTCATTTCTAGCGATCGGTCATCAATCTCACCAAGGGGGCGGTCATCGGGGTAACCTATTTACATGCGAGGTACGACGCTAGTTAAGCTCTGTGATAGACATTCTGTTGACTTTAGTAGACATAACGCTTGCAAGCCATGATGGTGGCGTTCATCACCACAAGGCTGTACTCTGAGGATAATGAAACATTGTCCTCCCTCTCCGGGCCGATCGTGTGCTCCTTTTGCAAAGTCGTTGTGGGTCCTTATGTGCTAGTTGACACACTCCTGGACCGATTGGTCCTTGCTCATCTCAATACGATATCAGTCCCATCAGTCACTGCACGAGTGCGGCTTATGCCTCGTGTCTTGACAGTGCCATAACGCGGATCTGAAGAAGCATCGATGACAGCAGGGAGTTGTGTAACTGTGCCACGCTGCACGGACAAGTTGCTTGTTAAAATTTTGCCTTTGTGAGTGCCAGATCCAACTTACTTACTCTCACAACAATTTGATCATGTAATTCGATAAACACGTATGTAACTCGCTCCCGTCATACCCGTTCCTGCCAGCCTGACTGCACCATGAAAGACGGCATATTGTCTCTTATCTGAGCTTCCTTGGAGACGATGCAAACTTCGTTGACATCATTCACGGATCGTGTTCCGGTATCATTGTTTGCATTTTGGCTTTCTAGAAGTGCCTAGAACTTCACGTCATCAGATTCAATGATCCCTACTCCGAATTCAAGACCTGAGGCCTGAAGCCTGATTGGATGCACAGGTGCGTGGCTCGCTCGTCATGCTTGTTAGATTGTCAGTCAGTCCGTTTTAGTCCCCCGACCGGATCTTCCCTTGGGGGTGGCAATAAACCCCGTTAACATCCATTCTTTGTTTGTCCTAATGCACTTTGGGCGCTCCGTCCAATTTCACTACTCGGAGCTTGGGCGCCAGCCACATGCAGCGGACTCGAATCTTCGCCATTCTACAAGGATCCGAACTACTGGTACTACTTACTTTGTGCAGCTGTTGGCTCTGTGCACTTTCCCCCGCCAAATTTATCTGTCTGAGAGTCCAACAGAATATATTCAACAATCACCAGCTGTACACCAAGGATCCCATTTACCCAAACCTTGACGCAATGGAATGGACGCCACGGTCTATCTTTCAGCAGTGCCCTTCGTCCTGAACGTTCAGTTCATTCCCCTTGACGTCACTCCCCAAATTCCATTTGCCTCGCGCTTCAATCCACACTGGCTGGTTTAGCTGATCGATTGGCGCTCGCTCTGAATGAAAAGTGCCGACAAACAGTTCGTTGGCCTCGAGGCTCCTCGAGGCCGGCGCACTCGCTATGAAGAGTATGGAGAAAAGAAGTTCCGCGTGATGTTGGATGGCATGGTTTCTCGTCGAGCCTTGATGATTAAAGCGACTTCCATCCTGTTCAGCAAGCAGTTGCGCCACAAACGTACTATACCATCTTAAGGCATACACTGGCACCGGATACGATTGTGGAAACCAACGCTCGCCCGCCTCTTTTGCGGCGTATTGAACCCGATGATATTTGTTTCTAGTGGATATTTCCTGGGATTCCTCAGCCTTGAATGGGCTAACAACGTTTGCGGTAGGCTTTTAGTGTGATTTTCTATGTAAGTAAGATGCTTGATCACACGCGTAGATCGTTCCTGATCGTGAGTCATACCGTCGCGATACCACTCCTAAGGCTTCCTGAGGTCGCGTTCATTCTTTTTGAATGTGCGACAACAGGGGTCAATTGCCCCATTGGAAGTCGCCGATCACCTTGTGGTTCGTTCGAGATCTTACTGAGGCTAGGAAAGATTTGATGACGTGGTCGAGAGTAAGTCTACATACCCAGGACATGTTTTCATACTAACCCATTCGATGGAGAGCCAGCCTGAGTGACACGTGATATGATATCCGAGACGCGATCATGAAGGAAGCTATGACTTGAGGTCCGCCGTCGATCTCACTCGCCACTCATGGAATGCCTGTGCAGGTAACCTATTGATGAAGAACGAGAGGCTCTTGCTATATCATCCGGCACTTGTCATTGGTCCTTGGTTTTCTTGTGGAATAAACATGCGGTGACTTGGCGGGACTTTTGTCTTCTCATCGGAATGCGGACATGCGATGCCCCGGAACAACCCAGAACTCAAACTGCGAACCGTGGTACCTCAGCAACAATAGCGCAAGTCCATATAGGCATGCTGTGTTTCGAGTCTACGATAGGATCAATGCGAACGGCGAACTGGAATCTTTTTTGGCTTTGACATCATTCATCAGATAGCCATCCACATGAGGATTAGACTGGTCAATTGAATCAGCGCGAGGCCAGCGAACCCGTGAAAGAGCGCTCAATCGTTGCAGGTTAGCCTTACCAGTACCCTTTGGGTATACCTGGACATAATTTTTTTTGCCTATGTAAGTGACACCTATACAATTCAGAACCCTTCAATGTTGAACCCACCGAGGCCCTGCATAAGGGTAACGCCACACGTAAACGGCACTTTATTGAAAAACCAACAAACTTCATTCAAACACGGTACTATTTGAGAAAAAAGGGCCAATGTCGGAGGGTATATATGGTCATCACCTTATTTCCAAATTTCGCCGAGATGCAGTGTCGCATGCGGCACATCACAGGCAATCTATACACTCATCCATTGTCACCGATGCTCATCTTTTACGTGCCGCAACATCGGTTTCCTATGGAAACGTATGAGCGAGTATACCATACATAGTGAGACCTGTGGTACTTACTCGTGACGAAGTCGCTTGCCGTGGATCACAAAGAATCGATGCCCGCGGGTGCGGGCAATTTACGCGGATATGAACTAATAGTTATGAGAGGCCGGGCAGCCGCACACTCGTGAACTGTGATCGAGCTCGGATCAGATTCAGATACCTAGCGCAGGAAACTATAACGAAAACGGCACCAATTGACACGACGAGGGGAATGAAGTCTTCAATCCTTCGGACAAATGCGGAAACGTGGATTGGTGCGCGGCTGTGTGCGGTGAACAAGTCGAAGCCTAGCCCAAAGTATCAGATAAATCATTTAACACGTTACTCAGAAACTGCGGTACACCGCTGGCATCGCGGGGCCGGTAGAAGGGAGAACTATCTGAAAATCAAAGCTGGCCAGTGCTCGACCGTGACTGGACTCAATTTGGGTCGGGTCTTTCCACGGAAGTTCCACCAATCAGAACGCTGGTTTCATTGTACTTCAAACGAGCGTCAACGTTTTCAACGTTAGTACTACCCACCATTTCAAACACTTGAACAATAGAGAACCAAACCACGCGGATTCATTTGGACCAGAATAAGCTGTCTATAGGTACCCGTTGAGAAGAGTTCGAGGAAGGATGCTGCCGCCTTATTTGGGAGACACATGTCCCCCAAAACGGTCCGCTTTGCACTGGTGTATCTCAGGCCAATCTCACTTGGCTCCGCCTCTAGATCTTTCCAGATTTTCGTTGGAGCTGATGGGCCACCGTATCAATACACGTAGAGAGTGTCTTGAAATGAAAAAGACCGTTGGTCAGATGTAATATCCAATTCTTCTCTTGTTTTGATGTTTTCTCGCTCGTGACGCTATCCTATTTCCAGGAACTGTTTGTCGGCGTTCTCGTAATGATGTGGTCATTAGTACGGACTCCCACCACAGCCGGGAAGAGATGCGAAGTACGCGGCGATCACACATTGTACGTCGATTTATCACCTTTAAGTATCTCGCCATTGGCGCCGGTATCTGAGATGAAACACTCAAATACCCTTCTGCGATTCTCGAGTGCCCACTTGAACATCACACTCACCCGACATGCTAGCTCAACGCATGCTTGCAGGACCTTCCGCTTCTCTTCGCTCTTTGTCTCCCTTCGAGCTCCTCGATGTTCCCATACTTGAACGTATCGCGTTTTACTTGGCCACGAGTCGGTTCATTGGACCACCGTCGGAATTGGTCCCTCTCTTGTGCACTTCTCGTACTATCAACGCATCGCTCAGATTCCGTAGTAATCATCATCTATATTCCCAGATTTTTTGCCAAAAATTCGACTCGGCTGCAGTCACACGTCGTCTGTCGTGGGGACGCACTACTGTCGAGTGCTTTTCCGAGGAGCTTCGCAAGCGCAGTACCATACTGACTCGTATGCGTCATCGGAATGCGGAAAATTTCGCCCATCTTCAGGAGGATCTTTGGGCAGTCTATCTCATACTACTCGAAAACGATGGCAAAAACATGGCCCAGCTGTGTCTGTGGGCAAAGCTTCCGACATGGATAGCAAGTGTTATCGAAGACAAATGCCAAGTTCCTCGAGAGCATCCGCTCTCCTGGGTGAAAGATATCGAAGGCACTTCATTGGTCCTTTGGCTCCTCTGGATGAGCAGTGACGAAGGTGCGTTTTTGGTATGCCAACTCTTACATATGTTCTAACATTCCCATCAGAAAGCGTCAAGAATGAAGACTCCAGGGTACGCAATAAAACATTGACCTAGGCTAGAGCCTTTCCTTGTCCATGGACATCGAGTGCGTATTATAACTCATTATTTGTCCCTGAGTGTCATAAGTAACATTACGTGCAGTTCTCATCTGCGTACGCTCCTGATGCATTCTTCTATCTGCCTCTTTGTGCAGAAACTGAGGTTGCAATCCCATGTACGACGGGTCTGCCGCTTCCCATCGCCCGCGATTTTGTACACTATGGTCGAAAAATTAAGCTCGCTGCACCGCCTCTGATACCAGCTGCCCTCCTGAACTATGTGGTCAGGCTGGAGGTGCGTTTAGACGATAATCCATTGCCGTCTGCAGTCGCGCAACTTCCCGAGACGAGGGCGCAAGCTGCTGCAATGGGATTGTCTCTTCCGCGGCTTACACAAGAAGACATCATAAACTTCCACTTTCACACTCGCACAAGATTTTTCGGCGACTATAACGGCCTGGGCAGTGAGCGCCTTGATAACGAATGGTTCCGAACTGTATCATGCCATGATCCGTGGGCTGTGGATCGACCACTTCGAGGAATCTTTTACCATCTTGGATCATTAACTGGGCACTGGAATGGTCGCGCTTTGGTACGTTTGTGGCCATATTATCGCCCGGCAACTCAATCATACTCTGCCACGTCAGATTCCATATTTGCAGGCCCACATTGATGCCAATATGCCAAATCGCCGACCCTCGGTACAGGGTGTTACTTGGGCACATGAACGCATATCTTGTGTGTTCAAAGAGCACCATTGTTTGACCCCCGATGAACCCATTTCTGCACCTGCTGAAGCTCATGGGTGGGGCGAGGATATCCTCAACGTTTGGTTGCCCCGTCGACTGGAAATTAAACATGGAATTGTAAGTTTCTCTGAGTTTGGTCTTGTGTGCAGCATTAAAACATAATAAATAGGATGACTTAACATTACATGATCGGGAAACTGGGAAGACTGTACGATATGAAACATACCATGCCGACCGCGAGAACCCTTACTCCAGACCGTCCAAGATGAGCTCCGAATGGCGTTGTGATTTGCCGCCCGTAAGCGAGGATTCACAATATGAAACGGACGATGATTATGAGGAAGTTTTTGAGCAAAGAACCAGTGGCGTCACTGACATCATCATCACGGGAGAGGTGAGGGCTCCTGAATCGCCTCGAGTTGATGGAGCCTGACAGTCGGCGAACTCTTGCAGACGTACGATCGGGAGAGCCCGGCTTGGGGTTCTTTCTCTTTCATTGGCCGAGTAAGACCATGGGATGGCTTCGTTGTTCTGCTGCGACGGTCGGTACGTGAAAGAAGATCTGATTTGCGTCATTCATTTTAACAAATTCTTTGCCATCAGACACATGCTGCCCATGCGTATCACGGGCGCTGGATATTCAAAGGTTACATACACGAGCGTAGTCTTGTTGGGCGTTGGCGCGAAACTGGCACTGCAGTTGACCAACTAGGCTACGAGGGCGGATTTGTGCTTTGCAAGGCGGATGAAACTTCATTGGATACAGTTTGAGTTTGCGATGTCTCGCTTTACTATCGGGCATGTGTTGTATTATGATTTGCATGTAGCCATATACTGTACATTGTCACCTAATTGTATTGGCTAAAGTTGTATTAGCATATGGGTAGATGAACGCCGTTGTGGCCAAGCATTCATTTTATGGTCACATACCCATTTGAGTCATAAGACTTTAATAGATCACTCAAAAATTAAATCCATGAACACATCAAACGCAATACATTTGTCGTGGTATCTGACACCACTAAACGTAATAAGCGCCACAATTGATGACTCTAAACTGATCCTGTCCGTCTCTCGATGAATCCTCTGACGTTAGCATGTCCTTCAAGAGTACCGAAGAAGCATCGCTTGCTCGCATTCTCCCAAAGCACAACATCTAGCTGCTTCGCATACGCTAGCACGTATTCATAATCGGCTTGCGATGCGAAGTCTTTGTACAGATAACCTTAATTTGTGGTTTGGCCGGCGTGAGAAGAGTACCAGAACAAAAAGATAATCCTGACCTTCTGCAGATTTCAGCCGATTCCTCTCAAGCTCCCAGAGCCTTATCTGGTCCTGTACAGTCACAGGTAAAAGGGGGTTCTATTCAGGGGCGATGAGCAACGAAATCGGCCTGTGAGGATGATTGAATTATACTCACGTTCTTGCGCATCTGTGGATGTGCGTGTGTCGTTAGGTAGCTAATGATCTGTCGGCGGCGATCAGGCTCATTACCCAAACGCGACTACAATCAGAGAAGAACGTTTTGATACCTGGTCAGCCGAGATTCCGTTGCCCAGTGCCTTGCGTACACTTTCACGCGTAAGCATTCCCACAACCAAGTTCGGAAAACGGTATTTCATCGTGATGAACAAATTAAGGACAGCCGTTTGCAAGGGGTTGTCTTCCGGCCGCCGAGGACATATGAACTCAAATGCCAAAGTTGAAAAAGAGATAACATACCTGTATACGCATATATCCTATAATTAGTTTCTAGAACAATGAAGCCTTGTTGCGCGGCCCCTGAACTGAGAGCAACCGCCCCTGTACCGTCCGCCGTATGAGACCCACCAGTAGAATGTGAGCTTGGTAAAGGAGGTGACGACGAAGTCAAAGTTGTTGCTAATCGTGTGGGACTAAAACGTTTTGATGACGTCTGCGGGTGGTGGAGTACATTTAGTAAAATGTGCTAAAGATGGTAAAAATAGAAGGCTCCATACCTTGCGTTGCCACACCAGCCCATAGTCTCGAAGGTCTTCAAGCATTGCTTTCTGCGTTTCGCTCAAGGGTTCTGTCGAATATTCCTGGTATCAAATGAACGGCGCTTCTTCAGCTACGTAACGCAACCACATTACATTTGCCTCACCCGACCAAGATCCATGGTCGACAGCATGAATAGAAAGCTAAGCACTTCCACGAGGTCCATTTGCCTCTCCTAGGGATACGTCAGCATCACCGAACACAAATACCTCCTATCAGCTAGAAGCGTACCTCTGCCATGTGCAAGTACTGTAATAGTAGATTCCAAAGTTGATCATGAGGTGAGTGAAGAAGGAACTGGAAACCCGAAGAAGTGATTTGTAGAGCTGGACCGCTATGGGCAAAAATATAAGAGGGGGAAACCTTGACACATATGCACTCACTGAGCGTTGTTCATCAAACCACTCCGTTGAAGCAAGTACAAGACTCCTTGGGAAGGCTTGGTGGGATTTTGACCTTGACCAGACGACACCATGTAGTGAAGAATGGTCTGCGAAGTTGTGAGATTATTATTTTTCACCAGTCGGTCACTAGCTCACCTCCCATCGTTCGAGCGCGTATGCGTCTAAGTTTTCAATGTTCGCTGACTGTCGTTTACCGTCCTTGTCAGTAGGAACTCCAAAACTTCCCGTGCTACCTCTTCAGACATTTGTTAGCATGAGGGATGTGCTTCATTTATATTTCAACGCACCCTCCTGTGATAGCTTGCCTCAAGCTAGATTTGAAAGTAGGGTTTAGCGCTAATTTGACAGCCGAGTTTTGGGCGATGTGCAGTCCAGTCATGACAGCGAGAGCGGAATCGTACGCGCTATGGGTATATTTATGAGGTTAAAGTTTTCATAACGCATAGAAACTCACTCCTTTCCCTCAGGAAGGACCCAAGCTGATATCGTCGCTACGGAGAGGGCACTTTCTAGCCAAAGTAGATTCATTATCAGCTGCCGCTCGATTGGCCCGAGCAATCTAGAAAAGAAGTCAGCTTGAGAATACACATAGTACAGTGGCAAATCACCTAAATATTGAAAGACATGACGATGGGCGCTGATAGAGGCGGGTCAACGTGGTTTGTGACTGGGATTGAAGAAACGGAAGGAGTGGGTGAGGCGTATGTTGAGGAACGATCACATCTGTGTTTTGCAGCGACTGGACAGGCATCCTCAATTATATTTTATCTCGGGGTCATGGAAGGACCCAAGCTTGAGCCTGAGAGGGAGTCACCGCGATGAATGGCGAGCATGAACTTTGAGGTTAGGGTCATGAATGTGGCAGTTCCCACAATCGGGAGACGAGTCAATCACCGATTTCCGTGTGGGACCTTCACTGACAATCACTGACTCGCTCGAGCCGCTCGTTGTGAGTCAGTGGACTCTTCGAGTTAATCCAAGATATCAATGACTTGTCTATTCCATAGCCATATAGCCATATTCATCGCATTCGAGAGAACTTTGAATCTGGCTCTAGCACTGAGCAGGTAGTAAGCTACCCTACATCTTGACTTGACCGGATTCAAGCTTGGATATCGAGCAGTCACGGTATCACTGGCAGTGCACACCAGCCGCTCGACGCTCAGCAAGTGAGCTTATACAACCCAGCATAACATTCGAGATAGCCTACGAAAACAACGCCGGCCAGCACATCGGACTCATACTGTCCGTTGGGACAGTCTTGTATTTATTCAAGAGCTCTCCATGAGTCATGATGCCCCCATCTTTCAAGTCGGAATGCCTCGTTTCTGGGCGATTTTGTGTTGTTACCGTCCTCTGCCGCAAGCCAGACTCGGAAGCTTTTATCATGAGGTATTTTTCTGACTGCGAATTAAAATCAGACGGCGTATTGATATATAACACTAGCTTTCCCATTAATCAGTACCTCCGTCCGAGTCTATTCGCCGAAATTTATGGAGCTCATACACAAGCAACCGTCCGGAGCTGAACAAACCTGCCAAGCATGTATAGTTTATCCATTTCGGTTGTCAGTCTATATTTCTTATAATGCGGGCTACTTGCGTCTAAATTGATACTGCCGCTTCTCGGCTTGTCAGACTAGGGCCCAGGCTGGAAACGTTTTCCTCACCTTTTGCGGTATTTTGTAAGTCCAATGCTTCTAAATTTCCTATATATTATGATACAACTCTAAAGTAATGTAATCACGCCAATTCATGGTTCAGACTTTGTATAACGTCATGTATGGCAAAGAACATTTTGGTTTGCAATTACAAAATATGCGTTTACTGAGAGTCGCCGCCGCCGCCACTACGCATTGCAACAAAACACTCCACAAGGGCTGCCATTGTTGCTCTAGCGCATCAACAGAGATCTGGGGTCACTTCCAGTACATATCTCGCTGTACGAATCATAATTTTTGGAGTGTGCGCCTCTCGGTCGAAGGGTACCAATCTAATGAGCTACACTACGATTGTAAATGGTATTTAAGAACAAATGCCTGCTACGCAAGTGAGTGGATTTTAGACCGTCAATTTACTCGCAAGTACGGCTCAAGTGCTACTCGTGGTCGAGTGGTTTATAAGGCACCCTTCATTGTTATTCCATTCGTAGATAGGGGTTTCAAACTTAAATGCTTCGGACACTAACTAGAGCAGCTGAACAGAAGTCGCTTCCATGCACAAAAGACTGGAGACAAATACTTATGTCAGTACCCGCTGTTGATATGTACATTCAATCCGATAAGTTCGCTTTGTTGTTTTGCTATTCAAGATATTGACAGCAAAAATCATACTGGCTATGCTGCAGGGTATGAAATAATGTACTGACGCTGCATGTGGTACATGAATCCACCAAAGCACCGATTGACCTCAAGATGCCATGGTAAACGCCGCAAGTGCGACACTGAAAATGAGAATCGACCAGTCAAACAAGAAGTCTTGTAACACTCAGTAGCCCGCTCCGGCGTTTTTCACATTTTTAGATACAGGTCTATATAGTAGGACGTATATCTGGGGGAGGGGACACCCATGTCCCCTCCATTTCTCCGTCCCCCTACCTCCATTAGTCCGCGTTCCTGCCGGCTGCTTGAGCATCTACGCAATTCAAACCACTATTCCACGTGAGGTTTCCCCCTACCCATCAGTCCGCCGTTCCTGCCGGCTGCTTCAGCATCTACACAAGTCAAGCCACTATGATACCACCCGTTATTTTCTAAAATTGAGTAATCAGCGTCGGTCATACATGAGGGAGAGAAAGTCCTGACATTAAGGGCAGTTTATCTGATGCACTTCCAGGCCGTATCTACGCGTGAATACCCGGCCGCAGGTGTTGCAAGGATACCTGATCCCGAGATGCGTTCCTTGTACATGGCGCGTAAGGCTTTCTTTGTTCATCGGAGCGTTACAACCCTCCCAACGGCAAAGGACGGGGAGGTTATCCGGGCCCCTAATTCCGTGAGCTTCTCGGAGATGGGTTGCCATATCGCCCCCATGTACAAACGCGTTGCAATGTAATCCGTATGCATCATCCCACATGCATAGGAATAATTCGTTGATAACATGGTATTGCTGCAAGAAAGGTTCAGTCGCCGCGACGTCCAGTGAGAAGGCAAAAATGACCTGGTTATGTGCCATAGTAGTATTGAGGTTGTGCCCACTGTTTCCAGAAAGCGAAACGCCTTTTATTAAGTCAAGCTTGCAAGGAGGCCCACCGTCCCAACTCTCCCATTCCTAGCCTGGAGGGCATAATATGGGCTGGCGGGGAGCCACTGGGTAAATGCGCCTGGACGGTGAACGTTTCATTGCGTTGATAGACAAACCATATGTGCCGGTTGGCAGTAGTACCGGTCCCTTCGGGCTGAGATCTCATCCGTGTATGAAGGTGTCAGACATGGCACCTGGACGGTGAAGTGATGGGATATGTGTCAGATGTCAGACATGGCGCCTGGATGGTGATATGTATCAGATACCGCATCAGCATGACATCAAAGCGTGGTATTGGTGTATGCCGCCGAGTGTGGTATTACAAAAATTCGAGAAGCATCGAATATTTTCATTCGTTGGAAATATGGTTTGAAGAATTGAGGATGGCCAAGCGTGCCATGCCAGGATTGGAATGCAGCTTCCATTGCGATTTCCACCCGCCAGCAGGCCAAAGGCCAAGGCCTTTGGGCCGAAAATGTGAGTGAAAAGTCGATAGGGTTCAGGACAAACGAAAAGAGAAAAGTTGGCCACATACGTAATACGCGGTAAATTTAATATTTAGCGTTCCAGTCTGAGACGCTAATTTAAGCGCTCGAAGTCTTAGACGCTACTAATACTAGTAGTCACACCCCACACGAGCTGTTTATGAATGATCAGTGACTTTGGTAGCCCTACGAGCAATAAAGACAATCGGATAATGGCATCTACGATAACTCCAGCGAGTGGTCTCATTAGCTCGGGAATTGTAGAAGGCAGGCGCACCATCATTGTGTCACTACAGTTGTGTGCACTATCATAATGCTCCTTGTGACACCGAGACGCTCTTCGCGAGCCTTTGTTGTAAAAATGCAGTACGTCAAACCTGCATCGTCTCGTATTACTTTATGATAACAGTGAATGATTCACGAAGACCTGATTGCGGGTGAGCATCGCCTGATCCTTAATGACTGACGATAGGGGATGTTCATGCAAGAATAACCCTGGATCCATTACCTTGCGGATAAACCCTTGATATCTGTGATTCGTTGAGCAAGCCATTCTGCGATCCTACAATGTCAGGATGGCCAAAGCTCTTTTGGAACCTAGCTCCTCGTTGACCAATAACATCGAACCACCCAAGAGATTGTCTGCGACTCGGAGATTGTCGCCCTAGGGTATTGCAAGAACTCTTTTATCACAGGGTAGAATCAACAGAGGCTTCTGTGAGACCGTTGTCATCTGTTCTTAGCGTTGTCATCTGGCTGCCCTCAGTCGACAAATAAAGATTGTGGAATATTGGATCTTTGACAGGCACCTGTAGTTCCGAGTTTCGCTAACCCGTCTTCAGAGTCGCAACCTGCACAGGTTTTCCAAAGGGTCGATGGTCTCTCAGAGACTCAAAGGGATCGTCTGAGCTCATGATCATCGTGATAGTATGTTGAACGACACCAGCAAATTTGTCATCGTCGCGTTCCATCCGCAATATTGATGCTCAAATTTCAAATTGCAACTCCGAACAATAATTCAGACGATGCGTATAGAGCTAAGAGCACGGCGCACGCCAAGGCTCGAAGCTTGAATATTTGAACGATCAGATGTATCTCTGCGCCCCACAGCAGCTGTGACCACATCTGTTCAATGCATACTGCACAGTTCATGATATTGCATGAAACACCCGGTTAGCGGTCGCCACTCCAAAAACACTCACTGTTGCAGTCATTCTGCTCAGCTGAGTTTAACCAGCGTGACGATCTTACTCACCCCTACATATGGGTATAGTTGAATTGACGGGAATAGGAGGCATGGTTGCAGAATACTCGTTGCATCTATCCCCGGAACTGTCAGAAGGAACACCAGGTAAGCCAAATAGAATACCTCCAAACGCAGTACCATTAACTCACCTCCCCGCTCAGTCAAAACCTCGAACACCTAGTCTTCATCCAATGCGTTCATCTGTCCTCAGTATCCGTCACCTCATGTACTCTTCCTCCCTCTCTACCGCGGTCATCGGACGATAATCCGATAAGGATACACGGTAAGGGTAGTGGGACGCTGATGTAGAACTAATGCCTATTTAGTACATCCACCATACATTTCCTGATCGGCCTGGCATCGATTTGAAATAGGCTGCCTGACGCATCCTGACGGGGTCGACTTGCAGGTGAGCGTATGACGCCATCCGTAGGTCAACACAGTAATTGGAGGCTAGAAGAAAACTCGGACGCCCATCTCTATGGCTGCATAGCCACGCAGGTAGCCGAATTCGCCGGCTCGTATCATGAATCCTCGATGATCAATGAATTTCTCATCTTCCGTCCTGACTCAATCCGGTCCACGCACATTGAGAGAACTCCATCACCAGAGTCGGCAATACCATTATGGGCATGGCACAAAGGGCGCGCAGGAGTACAATAGCCCCATCCCAGGTCACCAGCCAAAGTAGATGGGACAGGATTTCATCAATGCGCACTGTCACAGTTTTCTCGAGAGGTAGACGATTCAGAGCTTACAGCTTTCAACAAGTTCGTCTTCGAACTTTGTGATGGAGTCTGGGATCGAAAACATGACCTGCTTGTACTAAGGCGTTGGCTCAAGTATTGCGTATGTTCGGTTCGCAAGTAGTACGCCCTGCTGACAAGGTCTGTCCTCGAAAGAGTCTAAAAAGTACTGGTTTGACCAATCAATTTTCTCAGAGCCGTATGTGACATTGGTCGGTGGAGGTACTTGTGAACGACTTATTGATTCCGGCGGCCGACAAGGGCCTGCGGTTTGAAGTTGGTCACAGTGTCAGAAGCCACTGTTGAAGTACCTGATAGCGGATATATATCCTGGGTCTTCAGCACAGCACTTGGACCATTGTACAAGCGATACCGGCTCTTGAGTCCGACCCTCCGAAGCTCCCTGCTAGTGTTACGGGGACCAGCCATGAATAGACAGAACTTGAGTACTGAGTACTGAGTGCTTGGACCCGAAGTTCCATTCGAATCATGGAAGGTGTGAAATGCACGGCAATATCCGGGTTTAAACGTTAAACTCTCGACGTCCACAATATCATGCATATCTATATCTACTATTGGCGTGCTGTCGACACGTCCACTGATAGCTGACGGGGCGTCGCATATGGTGAGCTAATAAATTTACACTGATCTCTATAGCACGCGATATATGACGGTGAACACAGTTAACTGTACCAGCGACTAGCCTCTCCAGGAGTCCAATTACGACCCATCTATAGGAAGCCTGCAACTAAGTATCATTAGCATGAGCATATACGCCAGATACTAGTTAGTGGCTCATGTTTCTTGCAAGAATCAGCGGTACCATTAACTTCTAATTGGAAAAGAATTGGCCTATCTTCCAGAACGCTTCCCCTCGCATAGGATACTATCTGTCTTTGCTGCGAGGCAGAAGGTCAGGCTGATTCTTGGGGGGAATCAGCTAGCTACTTCACGATCGATTTCGATCCGTCAAGAATATTGATATTGATATTCTGTTTTCATGGACGGAGGCGTCAATTAGAGTTATTTGACGCCGTTGAGTGAAGTGCGTGTCAACGTTCTGGCGCTCGTGGTTATATATGACGACATCCGAACGCCTCGGACATGATAGTAGAACTGAGAACAGAAGGCTACCCGCATCGTATCACTTCATACACCGTAAACAAGGCAGGCTGCCAAGGGATCAAATACAATTTCTTAAACGACCGCTGTCGTGTAACATGCAACTTTAAAATATGGTAACTAATACGTCTTATCACCAACGTAAATGTCATGGAGCTCGAGTATACAAATTCATAGAAGCACGAGCTGAAGTGAGGAAGACAAGAACTACTCAAGCGAGTCAAGCATGAAGACCTCGAACGCCATTGAATTTCTTCCGGCATCTGTTCAACTTATGAGACTACCGAAACAACGCTGAAATAGCGAATCAGTCAGGCGTATGCGAGGAAGGTGATGACCAGGTCTCACATCTACTGCCTGCTGAACCGAACAAATTGCCTGGTGATTGTTACGATTGTATTCGCGCGTGAAAGTCTTGTTGCAGGTGTCGCAAGGATATACGACCTTGAGGTGTGTTCCCTCCACGTGCCTTGAGAGGTTTCCTTTATTGAGCTCTTTGGTGCAATCTTCCCAAGAGCAACGGACGCGCAACTTGTCTCCACCACGAATTCCATGGTATTCACGGAGGTGAGCAGAAAGCTCGTGGCCAAAAAATGGGTAGCTGCAGTGCGAGCCATCTGGTCTGCTCCATCGACACTCATTCATCTGCTCAAAAGTATAGCCCGACTGTGAAAGTCAGTTTGATGGTTATGATGCCTTGTCTGGGGAGTCGAAACTTACAGGCTCAGGCTCTAAGAAAACAAAGTCGTTGCTTGCGAGGTTGTCCGACATATAGGTGCGGGAGGCGATGGTTGTGACAAGTGTATCTGCTTCAGATTGAAGCGTTTAACAGGGGGCTTTATAGATGAATTTTTGGGGGAGGGCACCGTTCACAAAAAGCCCCGAACCTCATGGGTTGGCAGCCTGGTGGGGTGCCAGGAAGTTACCTCTCGGGCTGCAAACGTTTCCGATTGGTTAGAAGACAACCATAGAATAAGCGTCAGTTGCCAATGGCCTTGGCATTCGGCAAAGCGCGTCATACACGAGTATCGATGTCGCTGGCGAGTACGCGTGCATGATTACAGAAAGCCAGAGAAGTAAGTTCCATCCGCGAAAAAGTGTGACTTGGTTGAGGGAAGGCCGATGTGCCATACCGAGACTAGAAGTACTTCTATGCCACCCATCGACTGGCCAATGACCGGCTGCGGATTAACCAGAAGCTAATGGAGGTGTGCAGATATCGTATTTCAAACCAGGAAGGAAATGAAAATAAATAAAAAAACTTCAGATTGCATACAATGCGCGTGGTAAAGTTAGTCCCTGACCGTTGACGTTATCGGGGCGTCAACGCTTCACTTACGCGTTAACGCTAGGTTCTTGAGGCAATCCCGCTTTTATCATATCCTCCCTGGTTAACAAAACCATCAGATACAGCATCGACGGAACTGTGGCGGTTCAATCAGCTCTGTTATTTTTTGGGGAAAAAAAAGGCACCGCCATGCCACTGCGACTACACGCCCCAAACGATGCAAGATGCTCTCCATAAATGCCTGTTAGATCAAGTTGTTACATTGAAGCAGCACTATCTCGGAGTGGTCTATGAGGGACGTACAAAAGACCTAATCTGCAGGTAAGCATTGCTGGTTCCCCAGCCGATTTCAGTTGAGAATAATAGGTCGAGCTTCTCCCAGAATCTCCCTACAATATTGACCGTGAATTCGCATCCCCGCAGACAGACCCTTGACCCGAGTTTGCGCATCGTGAGGCAAGTAACTCTCCCGCACTACGAAGTTAGAACGACCAGAAGCTTTTCTAGAGGCCACCTTGTCGCCGCCGCCAAACGTTGTAAGCGTGTATGCAAGGTTACATTGGACTTGAGAGAGAAGAAACTTGTACATGGTGAAAGGGATCATCAGCTTATGAATGTGCGCGATTGTCCCAGCAGTCTCATATGCCCGTGTTAACTGACTTCCGGGAAAATGGTAACGAGATCGTCGTAGACCGTTCTCGAACCTGCATCGAGATCCATCGAACCAGGGGAGAATATCGACGAATCAAGATTCGGAACCTGGGAAATACTCCTGCCAGCTCCACGAGTACCTGTGAATCCTAATCGTTGCTGGGGTTACAGTTTTTGCTGAAGGGTCTATGGCCTTGCAAAAATTACTAGCAAAAAGGGTCACCATCAGCGCTCGTGTACAGTCCAAAAGTAGCCCGAAGCAGCAAAAGGGCTCTGCAGACGCCTGCTACTTACTACTCCGAGAGGTATCATAATAAATGCAGGAAATTTGACATCCTCAATTGCAATCCATCCGCGAAATCGAACGTTTTGTAACTCCGAATCTCTTCCCAAGAAAAACTAGCATTTGAAAGAGGACAGGTAACGAGTCCATCTTCAGCTCAACACCGGTCGTCGGCGGGCATTCAAATATCCATCCATCGTCCTTCGTAGCCTTGCAATGGCATGTCAGCAAAGTGGCGTTGCTCTTGAGGTTGCAACTTGAACTCGTGCTAGGAAATTCGGAATGCGCAAGGATCGCGGGCTCATTCATGGATGCATGGCCGCCCAACGATATTGATGACTTTTATCATCGCTCCCTTGGAAGAAAGCAACTTCAGTCTCCGAGCGTCGAAGCGTACGGTAATGGAGTGAAGCGAAGAGAGTTGGCGATCTCCACCGAGCTTGCAGTCTCCAGTGTCCACCGATTATGTCACATTCGACAAGCGACTACCTCGTTCGTTAGAATGGGAATTAGGTGGATGTGCCTCGTTAGATACGGACGTTGAAGCAATAATTGAACATAGGCCACAAGGATGCCGGCACCCTGCGCGCGCCAGCCAGACTTCGTTAAAGCTGGACGTTACAAATGCATCCCAGGTTCCAAGAATGCGTCCATAAGGCAATTGTATTTGTTGACACTATTTGAAACAACACTGGCTATACCATCATGTGTTGATGAAGCTTTCACGGTTGCCAGAAGTCTATGAGTCGTCTGCGAATGAGTGTCCGAATATTGGTATCATCTTGAACGGGCCGAAAGTATCGCAGTCTGACGTGATAAACTTGAGCGCTTGAAGCTTGATCCCGAGGTTCGGTTATACTAACTTCTAATTTGATGCCACGTTCTTCACGGTAATCACAAACTAGGTTTAAGTTGAGATATCTTCCGTAAAACATTTGCATCCTGCTTCGATCCATTTGAAAGAGATCGAGCGTGTTCAGAGGACAACAGATGTGCATGAGTTTTGGTCGAGTATTTTATTTCAGTTTATCTATTAGCTACTAGTACTCTAATGATCCTCTTCCGCTTGGTTTCTGTTTAACCTATTTATAGACATACAGATATGAGGTTGATGCCATGCCGCCATTGCTACAATTAGAATGACGATCATGTCATAGTACTACTCAGACTATGGGCGTGCAACGCTGTCAGACACAATTACACAATAGTGCGCATAGTAAGAGAAGCCGCCTGGCCGTCATGCATCATGTCTAACTCGCAAAATTGACAAACTGCTATCAATTTGTTATAGGGTTTCGTACTTCAACTAGAATATAATATCGCCAGGATAAACAGAGCTAGTAAGTACGTCGGAAGCAACATAGACAACAGATACTTAAACTGAAGTCATGGGATAGAAGATAGATAGAACGGGATCCTTTGTCAAAAGACTCCCTATTTAATGCTGACTACCAATAGGGCATGTTCCACTGTGTCTGTTGAGACTGTCTCTGCGCGCGAATGTTTTGCCGCATCCGCACGTGTGCACAATCTTCATGTGTGTTGCCTCTATATGTCTCGCAAGATTCGACTTATAGACCTCCATATTACAAGATCTCCATCGGCAGATAACGCGAGCCCCGCCCGGCACGTCAATTCCATGTGTCTCACGTAAATGACGAGAGAGATTGTAGCCGTGAAAGAGGTCGTTGCAATGCAATTGGTGACATTGTGGCCAAGGCCAGAAACACTGAAACATTTCATTGATAGAATGTCCCTGCAAGCGTGGATTTAATCGCAATGATATCATGTAAGATTTACAACTCACAGGTTCCGAGTCAGGTACTTCGTTGGTCTGGTAACAATGAGAGCCCCCCGACATGATAGTAATGACGTGGCGATTGTGATAGTTATGCTTGCAGACTTGAGTATCTGAGGGACCGATGAATGATTGCGAAGCCCACTGTAGTATATAAGTGTTCTGGACGACCTGCAAGGAGGGCCATCATTCCAGCTGTCCCAATATCAGTTGGTAAGGACTCTGGCCTCGTAGGCTTGCGAGGTGCCAGCGCCTAAGCGGTGAAATTTTCGTTGGTTTGTAAACGGAACCATGTCCATCGAATATGAGTCAGTTTCCAGTGGCCTTGCCCTTCAACGACCGTCCATGAGATTGAGTATCAATATCCCCTACCGACTACACCTGTAGAATAGCAATACCACCTGCCAAAGGTGTGATTGAGACAAGAGGACGATGGACAAACGTGCCAATATGGTCAGAATTGGGTACGTAGCTTCTATGACGGCCTCCACCCGGTCAAGGGCCAGTTGCGGAAACAAAGCACACCCGGAAGCCAAAGGACACCAACTTGAGATGAAGTCCAAGAGTCAAATGCAATGCGACGTCAACTGATCCTGTCATATGTAAGGCACGGTAAAATTGACATCCAATGCTAATACTACAGCTTCCATGCAACGGCATTTTCTGTTCTTGAGGTGTACGACTCGTTTCGAAATCCTTGCTTGGCCATCAGGACAATTAAAAGAGTATCAATGGGATTCTGGATAGTCTAGAACGTTCAGCTCAAATGTTATCGAAAGAAAGACACACTCCGAATCTCTTCTCAAGAAGAACTAGCATTTGAAAGAGGACAAGTAACGAGTCCATCTTCAGCTCAACACTGCCGGTCGTCGACGGGCATTCAAATATTCATCTATCGTCCTTCGTAGCCTTACAATGGCATGTCAGCAAAGTGGCGTTGTTCTCGATCGACCTTGAGGTGGCAACTTGAACCCGTGCTGGAGCTTGGGAACGCACAAGGATCGCGGGCTCATTCATGGCCCCCCAACGGTAGTGATGACTTTTATCATCGCTCCAGAAAGCAACTTCAGTCTCCGAGCGTCGAAGCGTACAGTAATGGAGTGAGGCGAAGAGAGTTAGCGATCTCCACCGAGCTTACAGTCTCGAGTGTCCACCGATTATGTCACATTCAACAAGCGACTACCTCGTCCGTTAAAATGGGAATTAGGTGGATGTGCCTCGTTAGATACGGACCTCTTCATTCCCAAACCAGTGTTAAAGCAACAATTACCGTTGCCCAGACGTATCAGGTTGTTTTTGGAATTTTCAATTTTAGTGTGAGATACTTTTACGCCGTTTTACCGTCACGTGACGTCCGGATTCGGCCGGATTTCTGGAACCCTTCTGCTTTTGGGCAGGCAAGTCTTTGCATGCCGCTTTGCATTCTTTCTAACCAAACATTAGTTTATTATTCTAGATCTACTATTAAGTCATCTGTCGTTCCAAGGATGCAGGTCAATAATAGTGAAGACAAGAACTTTGAGGACAGATATTATACATGCCATAAAGGCATTTATAACGAGTGAGAGGGTCACAAGGAGTCTGATAGGTAAGAGTCTCAGTCTCTGGAAACAGAACTCTTTATTAATGAAACATGTACCTGATAGGTAAGACTACGTCGTGTCAGCATATGTTTACGATAAGGTATGGTATAGGTACTCATGTCTCAGTCTCTAGAAACAGAACTGAGACGCTCGTCTGTGTGGGCACTAGACTTTATACTGTGAGTGTTTTTCTCGCTATATTAGAATGAAACTTGATACATGTGCAGCTTTGGGCCCGATGTCAGCTCTCCCTTGTGCCTGCCCCTTCTCCCCTTGTGCTCGCACTCTCTATTTGACATCTCATGCCTTGCCATTGGCTCTCTTGGTCTTCTTCAACTCAGACAATTCGGATGACAACAAGCCATTCAACAAATCCTAGCAGGTGAAACCAAGATAAAGACTGTTGTAAGTCTTTCCTGCTGTACTGTACTGCAAACAGGCCTTTGACAGCATGTTTTTTTCAGCTCCCAAGGATGATCATAAAGTGAGATGGACAGCACGAGAGTAGTGTTGAGAGGCATGTCGGACACATTGGATTAGGTGCGAGTGCATCGTTTCTCAGACATTTGCTCATCATCGGCCGAACATCATATCAAAAGGTCTCAGATTAATTTTCATTCATTCGTGCTCTACCTGCACATAAAAACAGTCTCTCGTAGAATTAGGCATCTCAGTCTTCCTCCCAGATACTGAGATGTAAGTGCTATTACCTTCGTATAATGTACCAGCTACTAACAAAGACTTAGTACATATTTGTTCTAGGTACTTATAGCACCTGGAGTCTTCCTCCCGGATGCTGAGATTACATATTTGTTCTAGCTCTCGTCTCAGCTGTGTGACCCTGTCTAAGAAACCTACAAGTAGAGATAGGTGTTTAAGTGTGTCAGCTCTTGGGCCAGGTGAAATTGATGCATGTATGGTTGTGACAGCCCTGTGACACTGTAACAAATTCTAAACAACTTTGGATTTTAGTTAATGATCAACATATGAGTGTCTGCCTACATGCGTACAGGCTCTATAGTGCTGTATTCACTTCTCACCAAATTTGCGGTGCTTGTCAAGTTGTCCTCTGTCCATACCACTAGTATGCATCTTTCCTGTAGCATCTGCCTCGTGCTGACAATCACTAGTGCTGCTGTGGTCCAGTCCTGAACCATGGTTCGAACCGGACTTTTGGTCCAGTTCTCCTGTGATTTGGTCCACGGTCCAGGTGTCAGCCAGAACCGGACCATAATATGGCTCTCGGTTCTGGCATTGGGCGAACGGTTCAACTTTGGTTCAGACCGGTCCCAAACTGTTCTGAACCGTGAACCGAAAGAAGCTTGTTGAAGTGTGCTTTGACACTTCCTTTGATGATCCACTTTGGCCTCAGGGATTCTCAAGCTTCAAGATTTACTTGTTTCCATCAAATGCAGAGGCCCATTGACAAGGTAAGTCATGATATGCACTGTTCAAACTGACGAATCAGACCACACATCTCATTTTGCAACTCCTCCTGCAAGCCCATTGTCCCACTCTCACGAAACCACTGCCTCCACCCCTAAAATCAATGTGCCAACAAAGACAAAGGCAACCAAAACCATTGAGTTTGAGGTGTTAGGTGAGTAACTTCTTCATCTTCAATTATCTTGCACCCATTTTCTCATGCTTGCTCTCTTGTACCTGTCCTCTTGTGCCTGTTCTCTTGTGCTAACTCTCTCCCACCTGTTCTCTCATGCCATGCCCCATCTTTCATGCCCTCCTACTTCTTGATATTGAGACCATCGACTGCGGCACCACAACAAGTCCTACCTATGTTTTTTTTTGCTCATTGTAAATAAATTTGGTTCGATTCACATTCAAACCTGAAAATGACCAGACCTGACCATTCTGAACCATTTGCCAAGGTCCAGTTCGAGGTTCGTTGAGTCTGGTAGAACCAGACCTAGGTCCAGTTCTTGGTTCTCGCTCGACCCTCTGTGAACCGGACCGAACCAGACCACAGCAGCACTAACAATCACAACCTGCATTCAGTCTTCCCAAGTTGATAGAGGAAGCCTCGTCCATCCACGCACACACACACTGATCCATAGCACAACCATCCAAGACTCACAGACATTTCACCACCCCCACACACGCACACACACAAACTAGCTTCGAAGTTCTGTCTCTTAGCACTAGCACTGTCCTCCTCATAGATTTGTTTGTTTGTCGTGGATTCACATGCAGCTGGTGGGACTCAACAAGATAATTTGATTTGTTTGGCAAATTGTTCATCAAAAGGAACTCGAAACATAGATTGCATTGGCCGGCAATGAGAAAGAATGCAAAAGCAGCACACAAAGACTTGCCTGCCCAAAAGCAGAGGGGTTCCAGAAATCCGGCTGAATCCGGACGTCATGTGACGGTAAAACGGCGTAAAAGTATCTCACACTAAAATTGAAAATTCCAAAAACAACCTGATACGTCTGGGCAACGGTAAACAATTGAACATAGGCCACAACTTGGTTGCCACCACCCTGCGCCAGCCAGACTTCGTTAAAGCTGGACGCTACAAATGCATCCCAAGTCCAAGAATGCGCCCACAAGGCATTTGTATTTGTTGACACTATTTGAAACAACGCTGGTCATACTATTATGTGTTGGTGAAGTTGTCATGGTTGCCAGAAGTCTGTGAGTCGTCTGTGAAAGAGTGTCCGAATGTTGGTATCATCTTCCAGTAATATTTGGTGAGACTTGAAGGAGCCGAAAGTATCAGTCTGGTTGAACTTGAGCGCTTGAGCTTATGTAAGCTTGATAACAGACACTCTAACAGAAGTCATGGGATAGAGGATAGATAGTACGTATACGGGATCCCTTGTCAAGACCCCCTAGGTTCAGTGTGGACGATAAGGACACGTTCTCTTGTGTTTGTTGAGAGAATCTCTGCGCGAATATGTAGATCCGCACTCGCACTTGTGCACAATCCTCATGTGTTTTTCCTCGATATGTCTCGCGAGACTCTCCTTTTTGAGCTTCATGCTATTACAAGAGATACATTGGCGAGTACTGTCTGACCCGTGAATTCCATGTTTCTCTTGTAAATGATGGGAGAGATTGCGGCCGCAAATCAAGTCATTGCAATGCAATTCTTGACATTGTGGCCAATCCCAGAAACACTGAAACACCTCATTGATAAAATGTCCCTGCAAGCGTCGATTTAATCGCTATGATGTCATGCAAGATTTACAACTCACAGGTGCCGAGTCAGATACTCCTAGTGTTGAAAGCGCCCTGACATGATAGTGGCGATTGGCTAGGTGTAAATTTAAACTTATGACATCAACCTGGGATAACTTCACCCCCGTGATAGTAACTTGCAAAATCGACAAACTGTTACAAATTTGTTGTTCAAAAATGGAGTTTCGTACTACATGAATATTATACCACCAGGATAAACAGAGCTAGTAAGTACGTCGGAAGCAACATAGACAACAGATACTTAAACTGAAGTCATGGGATAGAAGATAGATAGAACGGGATCCCTTGTCAAAAGACTCCCTATTTAATGCTGCTTCTCTCTCCTGTGTCTGTTGAGAGTATCTCTGCGCGAGAATTCTTTGCCGCACCCGCACGGGTGCACAATCTTCAGATGTTTTTCCTCAACATGTCTCGTAAGACTCTCCTTATTGAGCTCCAAATAACAAGAGTTCCATAGGCAGAAAACGTGATCCTTGTCTGACCCGTGAATTCCATGTTTCTCTTGTAAATGACGGGAGAGATTGTAGCCGTAAAAGAAGTCGTTGCAATGCAAATCTTGACATTGTGGCCAATGCCAGAAACACTGAAACGTTTCATTGATAAGATGTTTTTCCTGCAGGCGTTGATTTAAAACGCAATGATGTGAAGCAAGAAGATTAACAACTCACAGGTGCCGGGTCAGATACTCCGTTGGTCTGGAAGTGGTGAAAGCCTGACATGATAGTAATGACGCGGCGATTGTGATAGTTATGCTTGCAGACTTGAGTATCTGAGGGAGCGATGAATGATTGCGAAGTCCACTGTAGTATATAAGTGTTCTGGACGACCTGCTAGGAGGGTCATCGTTCCAGCTGTCCCAACACCAGTTGGTAGGGACTCCAGCCTCATGGGCTGGCGAGGTGCCAGCGCCTGGACGGTGAAATTTTCGTTGGTTGGTAAACAGAACCATGTCCATCGAATACGAGCCAGCTGCCAGTGGCCTTGGCCTTCAACAAAGCGTGCCGTCCATGAGTATCAATATCCCCTGCCGAGTACACGTGCAGAATAACAGGACCATCAAATTTCCGCTGCCAAAAGTATGACTCAGTCAAGAGGACGATGGCCAAACGTGCCAATATGGTCAGAATTGGGTAGGTACGTAGCTTCTATGACGACCTCCACCCGACCAAGGGCCAGCTGCGGAAACAAAGCACACCCGGAAGCCAAAGGACGCCAGCTTGAGATGAAGCCCAAGAGTCAGATGCAATGCAACTGGTCCTGTCATACAGTGACTCAAAAAGGAAATGCACAGCATCGACATTTCTCCTATTCCTCCTCGTACTCGAGCAATAGACCATTTTGTGTCGTTCCACTTGTTGCAGTGTAGTGTACTAGGTCTATATTTTCAATACCATATGCTTTTATTGTGATACTTGGCTTTCTGAGAGAGCTGTCCAGATATTTGTGAAGAGAATGCTGTGCATTTCATTTTTAGGTTTAGTGTGACTTTACAGAAAATGTGTTTGTCGGCTCATTGCCGCACAACGTCACACTTGCACCACTTGCAGACTCATTCTACACCCTTGCTGTCACTAGTCATCCATGACAAAATACACAACTCCTACAAAGAAAGCTCGAATTTGCCGAGACAAAGCTGCTGGCATGTCTGATGGAGACCTCGCTGAAAAGTTTCAACTCCACCGCACTACAATTGGCCGCATCGTGAAACGCTTTGCTAAAAGTGAAGCTTACTATGATGTCAAGCCTAAATCAGGTCGTCGTCGCAAATTCACGACCAATGATGCTCGCTTCGCAGTCCGGGCACTGGCACGCACTCATGCACATGATGTTGCCGACCTGCAAAAGAAGTATTTCCCCGATATCAATGCTCAAACCATCCGAACGAGACTTCGGGCATGTGGCCTCAATGCCTACGTACGCCGTACAAAGCCTCTTTTGACAGAAGCTCACAAACAGAAGCGGTTAGCATGGGCGAAAGCTCATGCTGATTGGTCAGCAGAAGACTGGATGTCAGTTGTCTTCTCAGACGAGTCTAAATTCAATTTATTTGGCTCCGACGGCCGTTCGTGGTGTTGGAGGAAGCCTGGGGAAGAGTTTGATGAGCGCTACACAAAGAAGGTTGTGAAGCATGGTGGTGGAAATGTCATCGTTTGGGGGTGTCTAACTGCAGAGGGATTGGGCCGCATTACCCGCATCGAGGGCAACATGGATGCCAAGTTATATGTCGAAATCCTCAATGATGACTTGCTGGGGACCTTCCGCGACCTGGACATCAACAAAAAGAACGTCTATTTTCAGCAAGACAACGATCCGAAGCATACTTCGAAATTGGCGGGAGAATGGTTCCGGAAGAAGAAGATTGATAAGCTGGATTGGCCTGCACAGAGCCCGGATATGAGCATCATCGAGAACATTTGGGACTATTTGAATCGTCGAGTGCGCACTCGGACCCCTTTACCACGCAATCTCACAGAGCTATGGGCCGCTTTAGTGGAGGAATGGGGTAACATCGAGACGGACTACATCAAGAACTTGTATGAAAGCATGCCACGTCGTGTTGAGGCTCTTCTCAATGCTAAAGGGGGTCATACCAAATATTAGAAAGGTTTGTTGCATTATCTTTTGATTTGATCTCTGTATGCTCAATGTTTTCGCAGTGCTGCAACTGTCAAAAATGAATTGCACAGAGGTTTTCACATCAATTGCTTTACTACATTTCAGATGATACATTACACTACATTTCCTTTCCTACTCTAGTACATACGGACTTCTAGCTTTCTCTAGAGCCTACTATCGTGACATGAACTGCGCAGGAGGAGGAGGGAGACGACAATTCGTCAAATTAGTCATGCTGTGCATTTCCTTTTTGAGTCACTGTATGTAAGGCGTGGTAAAATTTCGGTAAAATGGACGTCCAATGCTAATACTACAGCTTCCATGCAACGGTATTTTCTGTTCTTCAGGTGTACGACTCGTTTCGAAATCCTCGCTTGGCCATCAGGACGATTAAATCAACGGGACTCTGGATAGTCTAGAACGTTCAGCTCAGATGTCGCAAAGAAAGACAACCCAGCATAGCCACAATGGACTCCACACCACCCATTCGCAAAGCTGCACTACAATATTGTCATTCCGAATACTGCGTTAGCAAAACGCTCTCTGCAATGAAGGCAACAGGCTTCAAAACTTCACCTTGCGACAAGCAGTCGAGTCTCTGAGTTCGTTAGAAAAGTAACTCCTACAATGTCAGGATGGCTATTAGAAGCTGCTTTGGAACCTACCTTTGTACGTCAAACCATCCACCTTTGCCATTCGTTTTCTTTCTTATTAGCCGTACTGGGCTAGTAACTACAGACTGGGAGAAAAGTGATCGATCACGATCATCAGCAAATCCCAAAGGACGCAAATCGGAGCACTCTCGTGCAGTCGCGTTAATGACCCTGGAACCGCGAGGCATAATCAGCAAGGACTTCCAGCAGTAGTGATGAGATCGTCATAGTAGGTCATTTCCAGCATCGAGATCCAACAAGGTAGCTCAATTGAGGATTGGAAACGGAGGGGCTGGAACTTGGGGGTATTGGGCGGCTCGGCAGGTACCACTCATGTTTCAAAGTTTGATCGCTTGCAGATTTGCAACGTGTGCCAAAGGGTCGATGGTCTTCCAGAAGATTACTAGTAAAATGGTCACTCAGCACTCATTGCTCCCGTGCCAATCCAAAAAATCTATCCGAACTTCGAATGTGGCAAATCAAAATGACTGACACGGCACATTTGTCGTCCATGAAGCCAGCCCACCCATATTGCAACTCTCGAAAGCTTACTTCCAATTTGTCTTGAGACTCGGCGTATGCAACGGAATTGGAACCCATTTGTCAGCGCAGCGATACGGGTCTTCACGCTCGTTCGTCGTCGTCCTTGCTAGCATTGAAAGCAACGCAAGCAAGATGGACAGGCCGCAAAGCGGAAATCCTGGAACAAGGCACGAGCACCGCCTCGATTTTTTGCACTTGCGACGCATCCAAATCTGCCTCGTTCGTGACCGGTGACCGCCCATTTCAATGCTGGCAATCTCCGACCTTTCCGCCAACATCGGTTTCACGACCATAGGTGACGTATGACCTAACTATGCATTTGTAAACTTCTAAACGTTTTGAACAGGCCGCCTCAGGTGTTCTCGATCTGTAAAAAAAACATCGCTTCCAAATACAGAGGTTACGGGAGATGACAATATCACCAACAAAGCCTGGGATACACTGTACGCATGAAGTCGTTAGCTTTACGCATTGACATGTATTCCCTATGGATTCTTGGAGCGGTCTGTTGGGTTGATCGTATATGAATGGCAAGGGTTTAAAGCTAGTAGTGCCGAACGTCGTCCTTTTTCCTTGATTATATGTGCACGGGAGATGTAGCGATGAAGTACGTCACCTACACAACTAGTAACATGTATGGGATGCAACACGAGATCCGTACTCACACATGTTCCCCTTGCTTCCTGGACGTACATACCATAAAGAAATATTCGACTTTTTCTATGTCATGATAATGCGTTGGCGAACACAATCTGATAAGTGGATGCGCTAGATATATCCTCGTGACCATAGCATAGGGTTAGGAGTTAGCTCAGTAAGCCGCGTAATCATATCAAAGCTTGGTTCTGCTTCACCACCGCCTGAGCGATTAAGATGTCTTTATCCATTCATGCCGCCGCCCAAAAAAGTGCGCTTTTGCGGTGTCTCCTTATTCACATCTGATGGCCTGACTTCCCATCTTCTAGATCAACCTGCCCTTGTTCGTGCGTTGACAGAAGAGAATCCAAAGCTTGTGAATGCTGTCGATGACGTGAGCAAGCCTTCACAAGTTTTATTAGACCGCCTGATGCATGTACCCCAGGATGGTAGGACCCCACTGCATTGGGCCGCGTCGAGCGGCTCGACCGAAATTGTGTGCTATCTCATTGGGAAGAACTCAGATGGAATCGACAACGTGGATGAGAGTGGATGGACAGCCTTGCACATAGCTGGTATGATTTATTGAATACCATACGTGCATAACATGAACTCATACACTTCGAGTTCAGTAAGCGCAGGCCATGAAGATGTCGTTCGAGAGCTAGTGGGTGCTGGGGCTGAAGTAAACAGAAAGAACGACAAGGGAATTACTCCTCTGTTAGTAATGTTCCCGCTGGAGATCATCTCTACTACTGGTTTGACATGTGCTGCTCAGACACTACGCGGCATCAAAGTCTCGCATTGACGTACGTGGGCGTTGGTATTATAAGCGTGCATGTGCTAATAGCGTCTACATCGACAGATCGGAAGGTTCCTGATTGAAAGAGGAGCAGACGTATGTGAATCCATCGAGAATATTTTGCAACCATAAAATGAGTGACGACCAGATAAACGCCAAAGATAAGGCGAACCAGACGCCCTTGTGAGATCGATAACGCTTGCACGCCATAAACTTATTCACTCAAGCTCTCTTAGGCATCGAGCAGCAACGACAGGCTCTACGGGATTCGTTGCACTCCTGCTCAGTCCTCCTGAAGGCTCAACAACTGCCAAACTACGGCTGAACACGGGCGACCGGATAGGTGGGTTTATCATCACATTTATTTAGCAGATTAGATCAAGGCGCTATTCTCAGGCAATACACCCCTTCATCTCGCTATGGAGTCGGCTCATGCCCAGGTTGCGGTTATGTTAATCGAGGCAGGTGCTGACCGTGGGAGGGTGCGTCATTTGAGTCTGACTTCGCGAGGGTGTCGTGTTATTGATGGTGCCTTAGACTAATTTAGATGAAGTAACCCCTGAGAACGTTGATGGTGTCGGAGGCACCGAGCAGAGAAGAGCGAAGCAACATGTAATCGATCACTGCGGCGAGCCCTGAGGCCTGGTTACTGGACGAGAAAGTAGAAGTAGAAGTAGAAGAAGAGCGGTGCTACCAGTACCCGCCGACTGTAGGCATCCACAAACAACTTCTATTTGCACAAGCATACCAGATTATTCTACATACATGGTTACGCATGAGTAGTATCACAAAACCACACAAGGGTAGGTACAAAACATATCAAACTGCAAGGCACCGCATGAGAACCAGAGAACTCATAGAACTTCGAAGGTCCAAAACCTTTTGAGCAAGGTAGGTAGGCAGGATGAAAGAGTATCATAGATCCGAAGTAAGACATCTAGTGTTATAGTACATAAGAAGTAAATGATCTAGAATTCTTATATAAGTCGCAGTTAGAAATGTGCAGCGAAAGAGGTCAAAACGATCTCACCTAGAGAAACCGACGCAATAGGAATCAATTCTACAAGGGCCTTTTGGGAAGTAATTCGATGATTCGGTCTTGTTTGATGGTGTGCCCATTCTTCCCAAAATAACGGGTGGTATCGAAGGACCAGTGCAACGAACCAACCATCCAGTTCTGTAGCCCTTCGATATAGATAGCCACCTGCTTGTCAAGCTGTTCTCCCCATGAGGGGAGGATATCACGGTTGTCTTCAAAGCGCTGGATAGAACCCTTGCACATCCGGTCAACGTAGTCAATAGCGCCTTGTAGGTTTAAACCTTGTTCGCGCATAAGCACGACAACTATGTTATGTGTGTCATGGCGAGATTGCTCCACGTTGTAAGAGAAGATATCCTGTCAACAATGATGTTAGCAGTACTCTAGTATTCGACGACATAATGGGACATTACGTTGGACCAAGTAACAAGGTCGTTGGTTGCTTCCTCCATGTCCATGATAACTGGATGTGACATTACTTTATCGGGGAGATCAATCAGAGCTGCATATTCGATGAGGGCAAAGCAAGGCTTGCAGGCACTTGTGTCTCGCCTCGCGGTGATATAAGATTCAAGATCAGGGATATGTCCCGTGGCACGGTCCTCCGCCTGTTTTGCCGCGGCAATGAAAAATAGGTCCATTGCGTGGATGAATCGCTCAGTGCAGCCGGGGCCCCCGGTCTGCATAAAGCGGCTGAAGTACCTAGTATACAAACAGTTAATCTACAGTGAAGATTCGTGATAGAGTAGACCGACATACGATTTACACATCTTTCCGGCGAGTTTTTCCGTCTGGGAGTTGATCGGATCGCGAAACGCAGAAATGCAACATTCACGCATTCCCCACGTACCGTCGGCATCAAACTCATCCAGCCAGTCATCCATATTGAACAACCAGTTCAGGAAATCCGAGCAGACCCGGAGATGAAAAGCATCTGCATCGGGATAGCAGGCCGCAGTGAGTTCACCTGCGTGCAATCCCATAAATTTTGTCACTCTGTGCTCTGCAAGATGCGCTCCGTCAAGAAGCCATTGCTCAGAAGTGCGAGACACTGGATGACAGTCAGGATTCAGCCGCAGCGGATAGTGACAATCGCTGATAAGGTCAGGTAAAATAAACCTTGTAGTCTCAAAGTCAGAACGGGTGCTAGCATATGTTGTAGGGGGCATGGAACTCATCGTAGTCGTATCGAGAATGTCGAGATGAGTGACAGGCTGGACGGAAACAGGGGAGACGCAAGTGAAGAGACAGATTTCTCAGAAACGTTTTGAGTATTTATAGTGATGGAGGCTTTGAAGGGAATAACAGTTCAGGCCGTTCAAGAAAACGCGGTGTTGCATAGCTGTCATAGCGGCAGGTTTAAGTTAAGCGTAAAGGCAAGATGAAACGACTCAAATATAAACCACGTACTTAAAGATGCTAGCATGTACGTGTCGCATCATAATGGCATGCCCATGATACCCATGGTCTGCCATTGGAAATAAATGCATGATGTGCCGGTTGATTTGGCGTATCGATAGTCTGGTCAGCAATACCTAACAAGCTCTAGAATTTAATGAAACTAGGGTTCGATAAGGACCGAACACCTGGCTCCGGAACCGATGGAATTCGTGTGCAATCGGAAACTGCAGGATGACATTACCGGAACAAGAATGGTACTCATCTTGGATCGTGATCTATTGTCTCGACGTACAATGTGTCTGAGCTATTAGGTGGCTGGAATCGACTCGATTCTTAAACGAGGTAACGCACTTATAAGTTGTACCAAGCAAGAGGCTGCAGAAATGGTCAACCGTCCGAGTCGCTTCAGGACGAAGCATGATTTCTCCACGCTCCATAAACTTTATGTGTCAGACTCCCGGGAGGATTCAATACCCCGGAAAAGCACTAGTCATGAAACACTATGCATACGGTCAGCAAAATCAGCTGCACTACCTTACTTTTGATTCGGATCCGGTTTGAAGTATGTTGAAATAGGCCGGCGGGAACGGATCGTCAGTGGTCCGACATCTGCGGTGACATGTAACTGTACAGTTTTTCTGGCAATCATGATAACAATAAAATGCCAAGAGTACTGATAATCTGACTGAGCCATTCATAAAACGCCCCTACAAACACCAACGCCGGGTAATATTGATGTTGGACTCGAGCCGGAATATTGAATAGGTCGTGGAGAGAACAGTCAAGACTCAAATATGCGTCCAAGTCCGGACCAAACTGGGGTATTACGTAATAATACAACCCTGGAGCTGCACGTACTAGTAGTAGCCCAAGTGCTGCATTGAACAACTCCAGTGCTTGTCAAATGCCGTCGACTGCGCTCCCGCTAAAAGTTACTCCTGCATCAACACCCGCAAGAGCTTCACCGCAACCATCTACTTCAGGCTCAAAGACTCCCACAAAGCATGCCATTGCCACCAACCCTGGTGAAATATCTAGCCCCCATGAGCTAACAGCTTTTGTGCGTTTGCCGAGTTCCTGCTGCAGCCTCCCGACTTGCAAGTGACGATCAACAATTCTTACAGGTCGAAACTTTACTTGAACAACTTGATACCCAATTTGACACTATGTCGTCTCAGATTCTTGATCACAGTGCGTTTGCGACCTCCTGTGACCTTTCATTGAACCTACAGATTGAACCATCTCGCAGTGATGCAAATGTCAAATAGAGTGGATGCACTGGAGGCTGCTATACAGGATATTATTAGCGGGGATGTAACCACACCAAGTGCATCTATGTCGTCGACACCGCTTCTAGCTGCCGGTGCAGCGCTGCCAGGTATTCGAAGGAGCGGAAGTGGCGCCTAGTAATGGGGACATGGCACAGTTTCAGTTTTCGACTTCGTTTCATCACTCAACAGTGTGGCTCTATTTTTCGGTTGACAATATGTTAACAATATCATTTCATAATTCCATTAGCACATACGGACTGGCCGGTTATATTGTTTTGCAATAGCAAACAATTGTATCTTAGCCGGCTCGGATCGTCTCGCATGCGAAGCAACACGGCTTTATTCTGACCTGTTAGGTATGCTTTGGAGGCATCAGCACAGATACTACTCGGATACCCATCTATATCGCACACCGCGTCAATTCAACCACTCAAATCTCTTTTCGAACGCCTGAAGTTCTCCAAGCCACCCTTCATTGCACAGGACCATTGGGCACATAATATCTACCTTGAAGTTGAAAAAGATCAGTTCGACCTACAGCATACAAACTCGGCCGTGCGGATACCGTTTTTTCCCCGCACAACAAGCTTTGCATTTGTCCAGTACGCATTTTTATCGTTGTTCGTTCAGGAAGGCTGTATCCACCTATCCGCCTTCGAGGAATGCCTATCTTCAGCATCGCATCAAGTGCGGTATTACTGCGTTTTCATGCACCTCCCGCTGGGCTCACCCAGTCAGCAACTCAAACTTGAAGATAGAGACTAATCCGACCCTGGTTGATGACCCACTCCCAGCATCCGCGCGGATGTGCAACTCCTCGTCCTGATATCAGAGGGAGCTTAGCCCCGAATGGATCGTCAGGCTGGGTGTTGGCGTAGCAAATGCAAAGTACAAGGTTGCGATCTCCTCTAGTCCCGAAATAGTGGTTCCTTTTGTAATTTTTGATTGATTTACTAAATGGTTCGGAAATCGCAGGTCGGTGAAGATTTGCCAAATGATTGTCCAAATTACGAGATTAACACTGTCAGTGAAAGCCGCCCGAAGTTACCAACTGATCCACACCTTCACCATCCATCCCTCCAATACTTCCCTACTATCCTGTGCAAAAAAGGATAGCCGCACCGTACTCTGCCATCTCGTAACGAAGTCGGGTCACGAAGAACAGATGCACTTGATTCAAAGTTTTTGATGATTTTCTGCAAGTCTGTTTGTCTTATTCTGTATCTCCTTGTAACCGAAGATTATTTTCTCAAGGACTATACCATGATTAGGGGCGCAGTCAAAAAGCTTATTATTACCAGCAGAATAAACACAAAACTCACCGGTCTTCAAGTTTCAGAAGGGACACTGCAGGCGAACCGATGTGGGTCCAATAAGGGACGGAGCACTGCCACCGATCGATCAGTCTATAATGAAATGTCTTGAGCAAGTCTTGAGCACTATGTCATGCACATCGGGTGGGGTATAAGTGAAGCGAATTGCTCCTTTTCGTCGTAACAAACCATGTCAACCGCCAGGGCACCGTCTCGTTACTCTACCCCTGGGATGTTCAGCACATTCAAGCTGGACTGCAAGGCTGCTGCACTCGAGTTCGTCGGGACAACATTCTTTCTACTCCTAGGGCTCGGCGGTATTCAGGCGGCCAATGGCGAGGCTGAGTCCAGTGGTACCACCATCGAACATGTGATGTACATCGCGACGTCCATGGGTTTCAGCCTTCTAGTCTCCGCTTGGTTGTTCTACAGGATCACCGGTGGCCTCTTCAACCCCAATATCACACTCGCACTGTTTCTCGTGGGAGTGATGAATCCCGTAAGATTCGTGTTATTCTGCATCGCACAGCTGGTCGGAAGCATTGTTGCATCGGCGTTGTTGCTTGCGCTGACTCCTGGACCGCTGGCTGTCAAGTGAGTGGCTGTTGTGACTATCGATTTTGTCGACCCTGACAGACTCTGTTCCTTGCGATAGCACGTTCCTCCAAAAGGGAATCAATTCAGCTCAAGGCGTTTTCATCGAAATGTTCCTCACGGCAGCGCTGGTGTTAGCCGTTCTGATGCTCGCCGCTGAAAAATCTCAAGTCACTCCATTTGCACCGGTACGGATGGTTGACATGTCTCATCATGAATAATGTTGAATGTTATGCATCAGGTTGGCATTGGCCTAACACTATTCGTCGGACAACTGTGAGTTGTGTACATACCTCGCTATATAACAATATGGTTAAAATCGCACAGATGGGCTGTCTTTTACACGGGTGCGGCTATGAATACGGCACGTGCATTCGGGCCTGCTGTCGTCACCGGATTTCCTTACCCTAGCCAATGGGTGGTAAGCAAAAAATATTGTTCATAGACGCACACCTAAACTTTGCCTCCTTGTAGTATTGGGTCGGACCCTTCCTGGGCTCTCTACTGGCATCTGCCTTCTACTCCATGTTGAAATGGTAAGTAAAATCTGCGTGCTTGCTCAGACATACTGATTCCCATTGCAGGATGCACTATCAAGATTTGAATCCTACACAGGCGTCCACGCATGAGAATGACTCGCCAGATCCGCTTGCCGTGGCACTGAGTAGTACGGAGAACCCTTTGCCCGACAGAAACGGTGCAGGAAGGGGCGAGGGAAGCGGGTCTAGTGAAGTGTAGAGTCACTTTCAATCTCTGAAGACTTTTGCCCGAACTAGGACATGCAATCCAACAGTTTTAACTCGCACGCAGGCGTAAACGGTGTCTTATATTGGTAGATTGTAGTTAGATCTATGTCTATTGTGTGATGAAATTTACGACGAGCTTCCTGTATTCATGTGGTCTCGAATTCGAAGGACGTTAATAAGAGATAGAGTAGTACTCGAGGATGACTTACAACTCAGCATGCACTAGACAAGACCAAAAGCTTAATCTAGGGCACTCGCAATAGATGATCGTGACTGTACTTACCCCAGTGTCCGGTGTCAAGCTCTTTCAGCTGATTCTGTGGGAAAATTTGATCAATTAAAGGTATGTTGTGACGATTGATGTATCTGTCAAGGCAGTCAGGCTCCCAGTGGCGTATCTTTTTATGCATAGCTGACACGCACTTGCTCTTCTTTCCCTTGATAATCAAGGCACGACCATCCCAGGATCGTTCCCCAGGCGCATAAGGGAAAGATTCTATCTCTGCTCGGCCTTCTTTCAAAATGTCGACAGGGATCTTGAATTTCACGGGCGTTGCCTTGTTAATCTCGAGATTCGTAAGCAGAAATGATCGGACACTGGGATCCTAGAGGGCATCGTAAGTATACGGAAAGTTGCGAGTGCGGTCAAAGGCACCTGTTCATACTCAGACATTATTTCGTCCGCTTCCTTTCTGGTGGAGATGTTGCCTGCCTGTATTATTTCCATAGCACGTATGTGTTGTACGGTATCCTGCGAGACTTTGGCTCTGACGGGAGCGATGTCAGATACTATAAGGTCTGTGAGTAAGTTAGAGGGTAGTTCTGGATGCAATGCAAGGGCCATCGCGACCTTGCCGCCCCTCACATAGAATGAGTACTTGAACACAGCAGACTATTAAAAGAGAGCACACATAGAATGTCCCATGAGTGATATATTGCACAATGAGTGCTTCTGACAGAAACTAAAGACGTCCGCTGCCATGTGAGAATACGTCATCGGTCTAGCATGCGGTGAAGATCCGTGGTTTCGCAAATCCTGGTCTCAGGTTAGTCAATCCATAGCGCAGAGTGAGAGCCTCACTGACGAGTGTATATACGGGTCTGCTGAGGTCGCGCATGAACGCCTTGGAGAGAGACTGCCAGTTGCGTTTCGAACCGCTATCCGCTTTATGACTACGTGATGGAAGTGACAGCAGAGAAAGAGACTGACAAGAACCCGTGTAGGATGAGGAGTGGTCTATGAGACCGATTTCCATCTGCAGGTATGTGTTCGTCGTGGGCCAGCTCGACGGGTGACACGGCAGTGGACAGGCATCCTGTGAAGCGACGTTAAGCTAGACTTGGACTATTGCAATAGCGCAACAAGAAGTGACGTCATACTTTTTCGTAGAACTTGTGAAAGCTCAGTTGAAATGAGTGTTGAAGCTCTATGTACAGAAGATTTGAAGATCATCTTGATGGGCCCGAAACGCTGAGCTGAGCAGAGTCTAGAAGGGTCATTCTGGGATTTTGATTGCCGGTCAATTTGCCGGCTGGAACTTGAAATGGTTCGATTTAATACATAAGCTTGACCACTACTGCCAGCACCCTCCAATGCTAATATTTCAAGAGCCCCGCCGGCAGGCAAAGCATGTGATGGTATTGACATGATTTGCAAACGAATCAAAATGAAATTGATTGAACTAGTATTGGGTGAGTATGTTGATCCCACTGGTGTAGAGTCATGAGACGACAACCTCCAGGAACTCGCACTCCTTGGCGCCCTTTCGCAAGTTCGTACCGATACCCGGAGAGACTCAAATACAGTCTCGCCCCTGAGTTCATGTTTATTATAGCTTTTGTGGTAAATATGAATACCAGGGGCTGACCAGGTGATTGATGGTTTCATATTCGGACATTAGTGGCAGTGGGCCCCACGATATGGGGTTGAGCAGAACTACAAATGCGGGAACGCACACTGCTTCTGCCCGCACCATCTGCTTTCCACCATGGGTTTCAAAGACGCACTGGCAGATTTTTCGCGTCATCGCAATGCATACACCCTCGCCCTGTCTGCATCTATGGGATCTATCTTCTTCGGTTGGGACACCGGACTCATGGGTGGCATTTTAACCCTTACGTCTTTCCAGCACTACTTTGGTATCGATAAGTTGTCCGCATCTGCTCAAGCCAATTTCAATGGCAATATCGTGTCAATTATGCAGGCTGGATGCATGTACGTCATCAAGAATATAGAACGCTTTGCTACTGACTCATCCCATTGTTTTTAAATCACCAGCTTCGGTGTCCTATCGACTGGTTGGGCATCCAGTCGCTTTGGGAGGAAACGGTCTCTAATTGCTTCGGGCGTTATATACACCATCGGAAGTCTGATTCAATCCGTCGCTGGCCTCGGAAGCAGCCAGGCTGTCGCTCTTCGAGTACTATACTTTAGCCGCATCTTTGCTGGCATCGGAGTGGGCATGGTATCCGCCCTGGCTCCCTCATACATATCAGAGTGTATGCCCAGACACATCAGGGGGAGGTGTACCGGCCTTGTTCAATTCTCTGACAATATTGGTATGATGCTGAGTTGTACGTATTCATCTGTAGATGAGATATCCTTGGATTGATAAAATATTTGTCACAGTCTGGGTGAACTACAGCGCTTCTATCAATATTCCATATAGCGACATGCAGTGGCGTATGCCTTTCATGATTCAACTTGTCCCGGGTGTCCTCTTCATCCTCCTCATGATTCCACAACCAGAGTCACCCCGTTGGTTGGTCGAGCGGGAGCGCTACGATGAGGCCGCAAGGACGCTTGCATATGTTGTTCGAGCGTCAGTCGACGACAAAGCTGTTCTTCTTACTCTCGACGAGATCAAAGCGGACTTCATCGGCAAGCAGCGAACATCTTTGATTACTCAGTTCCGCATGATGGGAGAGTCACGTCAAATCGCGCTCCGCTGCTTCATCCCCTCTATCCTTACCTTCTTCCAGCAATGGACTGGTACAAACGCTGTCAACTACTTCAGCCCGCAGATCTTTGCTGCGCTTGGTATTACTGGCACAGCATCTGGCCTATTTGCAACAGGAATATACGGTCTCGTGAAAGTCTTCGCAGTCGGTCTTACCCTGGCACTTGCTGTGGAGAGTTGGGGTCGCAAGATGTGCCTCTTCGTGGGCGCCGTGGGGCAAGGTTTAACCATGCTCTGGATTGGCGCCTTCGGCGCCATCCACCCGCAGAGTACTTTTGTGCCTGCGAGTTACGTGTCAATCATCGCCGTCTACCTCTACGCAGTATTTTATTGTCTCGGCTGGGGACCTCTACCGTGGGTCGTGGCCAGCGAAGTTGCACCCAATAATGTCCGCGCAGCCACACTCACTGTTGCGGTCAGCATCAACTGGCTGTTCTCATTCACGATATCACGCTTGACTCCGGTCATGCTGGAGAAGATCACGTACGGGACATTCCTGCTCTTTGGCATCTGCTGCGTGATCATGGCAGCGTGGACATATTTCTTCCTCCCTGAGACGAAGGGGTATGCGTTGGAGGACATCAAGTATTTGTTCGAGAAGGATGTGATAGTAAGGTCTTTGGAGGATGCGCCTGGTGGACGCATGTTCCTTGGAGGCAAGCGAGCGACGCCCGTGGATGACATGAGGGGAGGGGCAGATATCCAGGAGTCGAGTGACAGATCCCAAAAGGGGGATGAAGAGTGTATCGAAGTTTCCAATTTCCAGATTTGATTGTTACAAGTTTAATTTCCTCAAAGCGCTTCCGTGTACGTCCCCGACTCCCAGAAGCATTTTGTACCCCATAGTTTTAGTACAATGAGGAATGTCATTATACCGGCTTACAGTATTTGCGCGCATCTGTTCCGATGTTTACCGCCCGTGTTTTGGTTTGCATGAGGTTGGACTCGGAGGTGCGCACCAAGAGTGATACCCTTGCAGTGATCTCGCCTTGTTTTCTCCAGGAAACTGTTGGGCAGAACAGAGACAAGTTTCCCAGGCATTCGAGGGACATGAATCGCCGAGGGACTGGCGGCCGCGGCACCTTTAGGATGTATGTAAATCACTGCACACAAGATCACATATCATACCGAACTTGAAGAATAATTCAACTTGACTGAACGTTCGCAAAATTGAGAACAGTAGCAACTATCGTGTTCGCTGTGGCATCTATTCCAGGCCAAGTATATATGCATATCTGTATCTAATTCGTAATTTATGTTCAGCAAGGGATTACTTGCTAGACGTTCCGGATCGTTTCTACTTACCACTTGTTGCAAGCGTGGGTGAGTAGCTACTTGCTTGCAGCAGTGGTACAACAATAAACGGGTTTACCTAGACCTGTCAAAAACACTACATGTTAAATAAATACCACAACAGATCCTCGACCAAATTTCTCCTCCCTGAAAACCACTTGACAAGCATTTCCCTACACAGTACTGCTAGTTGGTACATGTACACGCTCCTGGAAGACAATCGAACTCATGCTAGTTTCTGCATCGGAGTTGGCCACGAGTTTAGCGTAATGTTCTCGAACGCTAAGGATGAGGCGCGGTCCCAGTACAAACAACTGCACACTCAGTAAAATTTGAAGAACACCGACGAGTATCAGAGCTGAATGTGAATGCTACAGAAATGATGAGCAGTGGTTACAAGCAGATATAAGCGACATGTCAGCGCACCAAGACCTCTGGAGAAAGAATCGTAAGCTGGAGGGAAGACACACCAACAAAGCTAGCGTGTGCGGAACTTTAGAGAAAGATAGCCTAATTAGATTACGAGCTCACCTTGCAAAATAAAGCACGTGAGATTTTATTAGCACTCTGAAACAGTCTCCGATGGTTGATCCTGTCGATCGGCTGAGTCGCCGCAGGTCACGGAAGTGTTTTACAACAATCCAGACTGCAAGACATAACGCGAGAACCTCCCAAACAGTGTTGAGCATCCAAACCATTGTGGCCAGAAGCTGGGCATCCCCCTCATATTCAAAATTGCACATATACATGCCGGAGATTATCAACTCCCCTGGTGTTTGTCCAATGAGCTGTATCCTTCAAGCCAACAAGTAAAGCTTACCTGCTACAGTATGCTTGAGTGCTATTGCTGCGATTATTCCGCAAGCGATGTTTACAGCCAGGAATATAATGACAAGGATGATAAGAATAATTCTAGATCTCTGGTACATGGCATATAGCCGAGTAATCATGATGACTTGCATCATGTTTCAGTCGAGTCACCGAGGTATTGCAGCAAGGCATCTCACCGCACAACATGGCAGTTACGACCACAGTTATCCCATTTACTGGGTAGTACACCATGTTGCCTGAAACACTCTATTAGTGATCACCCTAGTATTAAACACTCCGACTCACACCTATTAGGTTATTACGTTGAGCCAAGTTCAATGACAGATCTCACTCACCCCTACAAATGAGTATATTCATTGCACTGGAATGAGATGGTTGCGGAATACTCACTGTATCTGTCAGCGAAATCATTGGCATACACACTACCAGTATGTGCCGTGGTCAGAAGAATCGAACACGGCGCATGTGAAACATACTCAGAATATTGGCACTAATCATCAGAGACGAGCTATCAGCACGGTGCCAAATTATTGGGCTCGACACATACACAGAATATGGTATTCCAATATAGCGTATCTAGAACATTTTGGAATCAGCACAACTGCCAACCACGCTATAGTATAACACGAGATACGAACAGCGATATACAGCACACTCATGAGAGACCAGCGTTGCCTCTGTCGCAAATTCATTGTATTCTCCTGTTTTTCTTCGGATACGGGATTCTTGTCACTCACCCAGATCAGTTCAATCTATGACAACATTCTTAGCGAGTTGGCCGCTCCAGGGATAACTTCGACCTACCTCTTGTCCGAGTGTTAGTACTATAAATATCATGAGAATACCAGCATTTTTCGAGCACTGTCCTACTCACCCCAATCGTATACCACCACGAGGCCAGCGGCAACTGCGAAACTGCAATTCAATGTTGGATCGATATATCACTAACTTATCAACAAACCGGTCCAATGGCTTAAAAAAATACGCAAACTGATGAACGGCCACCAACTGGGATCATTTGAGACTACGGTCATATTCGAGGGATGGGTGAGCGAGTGGGGGAATGTTAGCGGTGTATAACGATACCTTCATGCCGGCAACTTAAAAGATGCCGATTTATTCCCGACGCGTCCGAGGCTGCTTCCTGATCAGAGACTACTTAACACTAGTACTGGACCATTATAAACTTATAATACGCAATGGTCTCCATAAACGTATCCACAGCAGGGAAGCCAATTTCTCTGGCTCGTGGTCTCCCCATGGTCGTGGAACTTTCAGGAAAGCAACTCGAGGACGCGACTATTGCAGATGTCAAGAACGCGATAGCTGAAAAATATCCTAGAGTAAGTCTTTTCCTATCCACACAGCCGAACGTCTAAAAACATTTTCAAGTTCTACTTGGAACGCCAAAAAATTACCCTCAAGGATTCCAAGAATGTTCTAGCCGATGATATTACATTGAAAGTTGCTGGTGTGGCAGAAGGCGGGGAGTTGTCTGTAAAAGACCTCGGCCCGCAAGTGAGCTGGAAAACTGTATTCTTGGTTGAATATGTGAGTGTCTCATACAATTCGTAGTTGCGAGCTACTGACGTGTCATCCACAGGCTGGCCCACTTTTCATCCACCCAGTGATCTACTACTTCCCCAAGTTGTTTTATGGTGGTCCTGTGCAGCACAGCATGCTACAACGGTATTTGCATGCGTGACTTCCTAGTTTAAACAATGTACTCAAGCATGATCAGCTATGTGTTAGCATTTGTCATGCTGCACTTCGCCAAACGAGAGCTAGAAACGTTGTTCGTGCATCGTTTTTCGCATGCGACTATGCCCTTAACGAATATCTTCAAGAAGTACGCGTTTTGGGAATACTTGCTGTTTTGGTAGACCGACTGACGCGTGTTTGTTAGCTCTGCTCATTATCACCTTGGAAGTGGTATGTTTATGTGTATTGGGAGACATCAATCAAGCTGACTCCATATGAGGCCTTGCCCTTGCGTACAGCATTTACAGTCCTGTATATGGTGCCGCCTCGCCCTACATCCGCGGCACAGTTCGCAATGATCCTCTCTACATTCAAGTTGGCGCTGCTATCTGGCTGGTGCGTGTCTTGGTATTTTGGCATGCATTGTATCGCAGACTTAATACCTGCCTGTTTTTAGTTCTCCGAAATCTCTAATCTTATTACTCACATCAATCTCCGTGCCCTCCGGCCTGCAGGAAGCCGCAAACGCGCCATTCCTCGAGGGTACGGCTTCAACCTCGTCTCGTTCCCCAACTACTTCTTCGAATTCCTTGGGTGGTTGGTCATCGCGGCTCTCACAGGAAGCTACGCTGGTACGTGCTACTTTCTGTTTTTTGTGCTTCTATTTTGAAATCATGGTCCGCGCACTAGCATGGATCTTCCTGGTCATTTCGACGTATCAAATGTATGTCTGGGCCATTAAGAAACACCGTGGATATAGGAAAGAGTTTGGGAGCGATTACCCAAGGGATAGAAAAGCGATGTTCCCTTTCCTTGCGTAAGTGGTATATCTTAGTAGCATGCCATCATACGTGTGCGCTATATCCGAGGATGATTACTCTCATGTCTACGGGAACCACTATGACTCTCTGCGTGTTCTTACATTTCGCCTCGCGGACCGAAGGTAGAACGCCATTAAGAATCATTGATCATGTACAAGCCCGCACGGTTGCAAACCCTTTGCAAACAGCTTACTATTCATACCTGGGAGGCTGGTTCGTTCAGTTCGTTTGCAAGTGTTCCTGGGTCGGTCTTATCTGTTTTAGTGACCCACTTCTTATTGATCTACAGGAAGACTTTTTATCATGGAGGAATTGCTCCGACCTAGAAGCTGGGCTGAGAAGTCATCTGTCCTTTGTAACTCGACATATCTGCGGTGATCTGAGCACATAACACCTGAGAAGAGCCACTGAACAAGCCAAGCTCGCTCACACATGCTGATACTGATTTTCTAGATTTCTTTGCGTGAGGTTACTTGCAGATTTATTCTAGTAAGTGTACATAAACCTCCTTTCATGTGAACATGATAATCAAGGAATCCCCGAAAACACTCTAGCGACTCACAGCGATCGTTCGAAGACGAGTGTGCGTTCAAATAGCTCTACCTCGATTCTTTTCTTTGGGGGTGGGCAACCCAGTAAATGCAGCTCAAAGCTCCTTTTTCCTGCAAACGTCACGCCGCATCTCCGGCATGGATACGTTACGCCGAGATGTATGTCTTGGATGTGCTTCACAAGGACGCACTTCTCCATGTGTTGTGCGCAGCCATCCCACCAGCATGTCAAGGTGGCATCTTCAGCCCCCCGGCACCCGTGGACGCTACAGAGATGCAAGGATAGCGCGTCACCCTTGAGGATGTCGCGGCAGCGTACTCCGTCACCTCTGTCCCACAGGCAGATGATTTTGTCCTTCAACAGGGTTGGTGGAGATGGTGCCTTTTGAAAAGATGAGTGATGTTATCTAGATCGTAGGGAATGTGGGCTCACCAACCCGATGGTGTACTCGATGGCCATGATGTAGTTCTGGAATTAATGTTAGAGCGGGCTGTGGTAGCCTTTTTTTTTTGAAAGCGTGATGTGAGTGCATCGATCCCGACACTGCGCCTCTTATTAGAAATGTTATCTGCAAATAAAACCAATACAACATCTGAGTCAAGGGGAAACCCCAAAAACTGGCTGTCAAAAAGTTGTAGTTTGCAAGTAGGACATGTTGCTTGGATTGTAAATAACCCATTGTTTCGGTGTCAAAGCGAAACATCAGATCTCAGAACTCGAGACGGCTTGATCACAACTTTGTTACTTTCCTAATCCAGCATGCCCATCTGTATCACCTGCACTCACCCCATATCGCACCTCTACACAGTCTATGAATCCGCATACAACCTGAGACTTGAACAATGCGTTGGTGCGCGATGTTACTCATTTTGGTTTATTCTAACGCGAGTCACTGGTAGAGCAAATGCCTGAAGTTTGCAGATCCATATGTCGAACACGACTCTCTGACGCTCCTCTTGGACCTCATTCTACTGAAGCGAGAAGTGTATAGACATTTGATATATAATAGAGGGACAGAGCCGCGAAAGGCGCTCGGGAGTAAGGCTGACCTTGACTCGGAGGGAAGTCGGGAAGGTGAGCACACCCTGGCTGTTACCAAAGGCCGACAAAGGGAGAAAGTGAGTGATTAGTCTGTCGCTGATACCGTTGCTGAGTACTAAGCTTGTAGGACAGATGGTGGCTCATTTTGAAGCTTGCTTGCGGGCTTATCACTGTCGATGCATGTACGTGAACTCATCGACCACGAGTCCACTGTATACTCTGCTCATTCATCTTAGTTATTCGATGGGCACATCTCAGTCAGCTTTATTTTTTGTTCAAAGGCTGTCGGCGTTTTCATGGTCATTAGATCCACAGATATCTGCAGATGTATCACGGTGGACAGTTGAAACCAACATTGTCTTCCTCCGGATCCTCATTGGATGCATTATAGGTGCCATGCTTGTTTTTTTTATTGAGTGTTATGCTGATAGCTCGTGCAGAAACGTTTGCATTTCATGGAGGAGTGATGTTTGCATCGTATTTTGTACTCGCACTCTCAGATTTCATTCGTTCAAGGAGAAGTACCTCGCCAGTAGAAATATCAGGTGTTCGACAACAGTTCAAGTGAGGTTCAGTTTTTGCGCCTAGTGGTAATGGATACCTCAATTGAAAGCCTAGGTTCTCGCTCATCCCTCTGACAATTTTCTACTCTTCCCTCACGAAGCTTTTCCTTCTGTTCTTGCTCACGATATGGCGCCCTTCAGCGTCTAAACCTGGAGGTTCTCCATACTATTGGGATCCTTCATACTACAGCAGCTCTCTTGTTACACGGGCCCTCGAGATATGGGATGAGGACAAACTAGATCGTGAGTGGGTCGTTAGGAATGTTTTGGGTGGAATGGCGACTGGATTCGGACTTCGTGGTTTGTTTTTGCCTATATTTTCTACAATTTGCATTTACTGAACGATTCCCTTGCAGTTGTGCTCGACTGTCATCCTGTCTTTACGACAGTGGTGATCCTTGTTGGGTGGTTGGCGAAAACAGTTGTTGCGGGATTTCTCAAGAATTGGGTGGGTGGAGACGAACATAGTGGAGACAAATGGATGGCGTATAGTATCCCGTAGTCTCCCATAGTCCTCTGTTCCTCTTGCGTAGAATTGATTTAGACCGTGGTCTGGCAGGTTGGAGTAAGCCGGGCAGGACCCCTGACACCAACAATATTGGAACAACATGCAATTCAACTGAAATGCATACCCATATCATTCACCACTAGAACCACAGCGATGCCTGCAGTATCCGGTTCATCGTCTCGCGCGCTGAACGCGATCCTACCGCTTGTCGCGTCTGGGCAGCCCTACTGAAGCGCACCAGAAAGCACGCACCTTCGCTTCACGATACAGCAAGTCTGGGCAGTACGACACCGCCATCGACGTGCTCTTCCAGAGTGCGAGAGAACTCCTGAAGGTTGGCCAGCAGGGAAGCGGAACAGATTTGACGCTGTTCCTTTTGGAAGTATATGAAAGCAAGGGCGAGGCCGTGGATGATGAGTCTCGAGGTGTGTGCTCCTGATCCACCGCATGAAAGGGAATACGTCACTGATTCGATATGCTCAGGGAGACTAACACAACTCATCGCGCTGACTGGATCATCCGGATCATGGAGGAAAACGATCATTGATAGATCCATATCGTATGGTTGACCTCATATCAGATCGGGACCTGGGCTCATCATTATAATGCGTTTAGATGGTCAGCCAGACATGGTGATTGTCCCGCAGGTGACCAAGACCTGCATCACTATATCGGAGAGCTCTTATATAAAGGTATATGCGGCAGTATCTACAAGACTGACTGTCGTGCTCACGATGCGTAGATGGGGCTTTCGATGTGGCAGAACCTCACTTCCTTGCGTCAGGAAAAAGGGATAGCGCACGTTCACTAGCGAACATGATGATAGAATGGTCAGCAGCGGGCGGAGCTCTAGGGAACTTTGCCCTTCGAGGTACACTTCCGTAAGTTGGAACTCATGTCCATACCATTTCCTTCGTTTCCCAGTTCATGACTTCTCATCACAGATATCTACAAAATGGCAACATCATCGGAGCTCGCACATTCATTTCGCAGTTCATTGCACAAGTGATTTCATCTCGACCGAACCTGATTTCGCCCCTGCAATCATCTCCATTGCCTGTCACTCCTACGGGTGAAATCACCCATACGACTGAGCCTGCGCTCAACTTCTGTCAGCTTGCTGTCTTGACATGTCAACGTGCAAATGGGGAGAAGAATAAAGTGATGCGCGAGAGCTGGGTGAGGCTCTGTGGAACATATCAATCTAAAGGTGGCGTCTTAGCGACCAGGGAAGTTCGGACGGTGAGTCAAATGATTATTGCTTGCTTGATTTTCTAAAGACAAACCGCACCGTTTAGACACTACAGGAGATAGCAACGTTGTACTTTGCAATTCCTCCGCCACGCACTCAGCCTGATAATCCATTGGGAGCTATGATTTCCTCTATGCTGGGCGGTGGGATGCCGGGAGGAGGGGCGCCTCCGCGGCGGATGCTATCTCCCGCTGTGAGCGGACCATCGGCACCAGGACTGGATTAGTCTCCGTTCAACAGATTCTGATTGGGTGTAGTTTGGGTTTCAGCGGGACGGACACGAGAGGATAAGGTAATCGAAAGGGACGTGTTATTGGGTAACTTCGAGGTATCAAACGCATTCGTCGTACGTATTTTACTTTACATACAAAATCACTCTTTGCTATACCTGTTCTACCCGTGCACTTTCCGTTCTTCGTTCCAGGTTATCCTGGTATCTCCGTAACGAACTTTCCTCAGTCCCTCAATCCGAAGACTGAGGTCAATATTAGTATTTGCTGACGCATGATATCTCTCATTCTAACTACCTATATAGTCCTCCTCTGTGCCTAGTCCGAGCCTCTCTTCGTTTGAGATGAGGCCGTATTCAATGATCCTGACTTATTCATACAAGAGTAATAGTCTCATGTAGCTGGCGCGCATGAGAGTCGGTATGTCTGACCTACCGTACACGACGTGGACGTATGGATCACATTTTGATCATACGTTCTCGGAGAGTATTAGGCAGGGTAAATGAATTGCCAATAGTACCGAAGTGATACTGAAGATACACTATCTTCGCAAGCGGAGTACATCAATCATCCTAGTGGCCAGCTAAACGGTCAAAAGTTTCGGCATGTGAGATGAAGAAAGGCGCGGTGCACCATGTATAGTACCCGTGATACAGGTTCCAGAGGGATGCTCTTAGAGCAAGAATCTTCTAACTCCAAATTCCCCGAGTCCTACAAGCTCATTCGTCCCTTCCTCTCTTCCCCTTCGAAGCCTCTCTCCACCGAGCCTTCCACTCCCTCGTCAGCGCACCTTTTTGGGTCTCCCACTGAGAGTGAATTTCGGATGTAGTTTGAGTGCGGCAGAAGGGCTCCCCGTTATTGTCTTTCTCTTTGCTCACGTGAGGGAAGAGGGAGAATATATCTCGAGGTGTATTTCTTGCGTTGGAGGAACGCGAACGGAGGGTTGGTGGAAGAGGGAAAAAGAAGGGAAAATTCGAGTCCAGCGTTGGGTGCGCTTGTGGCTGTTCACGAGGAACGGAGACTACACGAGGAGGTAGCGCATGATGTGGTTGGGTGGGGTGGGAAAGGCCAGAAATCCCGAGAACGTCTTCCTCCTCAAAGTCTAGGTCGAGATGACCGAGTAATGAAAATCCAGCTGCGACAGGTCGCAGTCAGTCAAGATCGACGGGAACAAAAATGGGGGCATTAAAAGAGGAAGAAAACAGACAGGTGTAGCAGAATAAAACGAGGTATATACAATGAAATAAGCACACACCTTCCTCCTCCCTCGGTGCGAAGAGATCTTTCAGTTTTGTTTCCTTCTGACTCTGAGCGGATGGCTTTGACGCGGATGTAGGGTGAGATTGTGTGTTGAGCGGAGACATTGCTGTATCTGATCCCATTTCCATTTCCTTGTATTTCTCATGCGGAACTTCCTCGATCTCGCCCTCATCTACATCCATCCGTGTCCCAATCTGAGGGTCCCTCGCCTTACCTTTCCCCTCAAGATGCGCATCTTCAATATCAGACAAACTCTCCTGTCCACCCCATCCTTCGTCCCCGTCCCCGAAAAGAGAGCGAAGGAATGCGAGAGAGGTGAGCTTTTCTTGCGCAAGGGAGGGAATTGCTCCAGTCGTAGCTTCAGTTACGGGTGAACGAGCGGTGGGAAAGGGTGACAGCCCTGATGATGGAAGAGGAGAAACAGTAGATTTTAGGACCGGCGGCGATGAAGGCTCGTGGTCATTATCTTCATCAGGGTTACTAGGCGCACTTTCGGTGTCTTGTTCATTATTGCTGTCCTCGGCCGCCTCATCACGTCTTTTTCTCGGGATTGCAGGCCCACCGGCGTGCTCTGCAAGATCCACCGCGCCCGCTACCTCAGCATCCAACCACATACCCTTCAGATGTGTTGAGTCCCAGCGCGTCGGATCGATCGTCCGGCGGCGCGCGCGTGTGGGGGGGAGTTTGACGCGTTTTTTGCGTTTCCCAGTCACAAGTTTCCCATCTTTGTCGTACTTCTTTTTCCCTGCACTGGTAAGTACCCTGGGCGGCTCCAAGGCTTTCTCAGGTCTCATCCGCATGGTTCTCACCACACGTCCCATCTCGGTGACCTTCCAACCCCCTCGGGTACGTGCTGTTTCGGGCGTGACCAGTGACATATCAGGCGCATAGGTGCCTACCTTGGAATTGACACGCCGTTTTTTGGGTGGTGGAGCAGAAAGAGAGGCGAGTCTGTTGTTTTTCGAGGTCAGTGTGGAGTGAGTGAATTAGGGCGAAGACGGACCGTTCACGAAAATCAGGCTTTGCATCCCCAATACGAAGCTTGGCGCCTTTCCATACTGTTCCACTGAGTACATTTACACCTGGACAATTTCAGCTATGAAATTTACAAAAAAAAAGATAAAACTTACACCTCGCCAAGTCTGTTTTACGACCTTCAATCGTCGCATAGCCGAAAGGCCTCGGTTGGCCTAGTGCATCAAGTTTACCAAAGCCATCGAGCGAGATTACCTTGCCAAAGGCTCCGAGTCGCTTTGCAAGGTCAGCAGGTGTGATGGCGGGTGTTGTGAGACCAGATATGTGCAAGCGTTTTGTTATGGTTTCGGTGGACATGATCGTTTAGATCGAGCTGGGGCACGCCGAAAAATATAAAAGGAAATTGTGGCCCCCGAATCTGCATAAAAAGGTTGATAGGAACGTTGGTTTTCAGTAAACCAAGCCGCTTTATTGAATATTCGGGCCATCCGATATAATTGCTTATGGTTTTGCATCTTCACCATGACATGCATGACATTGACAGTCATGGATTATGCCTATGCATTAGACTTCCAAACGTGACTTGGAAACTGATCTTCCGTGTATAGATCATTAGATCATGCGTTGCCTGTATTATCAGTGGATAATATCTAGAAGCTTGACAGCTACAATTCTTTAAATAAAATACAAACCGCCATATATCTGTACATCGATGGAAGACACTGTTTACGCCCTGCGTATGGAAGTTATACACATTGGTACATTTAGCTGATACTTATACTCTATTCCGAAAAGATAAGCCTTGCTGTTTCGATCAAACTCTACAGTTTGCGTATCCCTACACTTCCCGCACTCCTTCCCGCAGCATCTCTGTTAGGCAAAGGGTTCTCGGTGTCACTCAATGATTTAGCAAGCAGATACGGCGAATCCTTCTCCTGCATGGACGATTCAGACCTGGATAAGGTACCCTATCAGTACATGTGAATGAGCATGTGGATCTCACTTAGTACCATTTCAGGATATTGTCAAAAGCAGTTCCCAGTAGAGAACCGAGAAACGGAGCGACCCGATACTACAATGATGCAAAGCTTAGGTGCACGTCCATGAAGAGTCAGATTTACTTACTACCCAATGGTAATGAAACCCAGTAACGATAACAGGCGCGAATGAACATGCCATTTTTATGAATACCAGCCCAGTGCCAATCTGATGTGTGATGTTCAGCGTTATTATAATGGGACATGATAATCATCCTTACTGGTGCAAACAGGATTTATCAGTAGCTAGCATCGGAGAGTGGCTAAATCCAGCGTCGCTGTGAGGAACATTTCAATGAAAACGCTTGAAATGAATTGATTCCCTGTTGTAGCAACGTGCTACCGGGAAATGCGTACATTTCAATAGGATTGACAACAACACTATTCGCTCCATCCCTTATTGGACCTCATCTTCTTCACGGCGCTGCGTTTATCCTTCTCCAATCTCCTTCGATTGGCGTGGGCCTTTTCTAGATTGGCAACCCTTTGTCTTTGTTCTGCACTGGGTTCGCTGGTAATGAAGTTCTTTGCAGCATCCATCACGACGGCATGCATCTTGAGAAAAGAAGTTCTGTTTAGCTTGATATGCAGAATCGACAAGTTGAACTAACTTTGCTCAGGGAATCATCAATGTTTCGTGCTTGCGAACGAGACGCGCTAGATGAAACCAGTAAAGAATGTGATGTTTTGACGTAGTATGGCTTGAATGAAACGGTTTCAGTCCGATGGTTGCATGTCAAGCTCTACAAATCACCGTCTTGACGAGACTCTCGTGCGCCCATATCGGTATCCAAGGTGCCTCTACACGACAACGCGCAGAAACCTTGGTCTCTACTTTATTGACATTCTAACCAAAATCGATTTAGTACACCGCAACACTCACACGAAAAACGGGCAATATGAACGCACCTGTCCTCCGGGACCAGAACTGCGAGAGAAAGCAAGTTCGACTAGATTTTTTGGGACGGTTTTGGCGTCTTCGAATGTGCGAAGCCAAACCTTTGCACGTTCCTGATCTTCTGCGCAGGATAGAGAAGCGGTAGAGGGTGGGATGGGAAGGGTATGGATCAGACGGCACCTCCGAGTCCAGGTGGCCGTTAGTGCACACCACGACTCTCTTGTGATTCGAGAAATCATCAGTATACCACTCCCAACATTGATATGAAAGAACAGGCGCTTGTCAGTGCCAGTCAAAAGTGCGAGCCACTGGAGCTTAAGCTTGAGTAGTAAGAGTTGGATTGACACATTACATAAATCGTAGCTTCGAAGAGAATCGGAGTACACCATGACGTTATCCGATGTCCCCAGACCCTTGGTAAACCAGGTCATTGCCCTCCACCTGACTATATTACAACTTGGGAGTCATTCTATCTCGCACTACTTAAGCATGAACTGCCTACGACTGCGACTACAAAGTTCCAATGTCGAGTGCCCAATCAGATGGTAACCTTATAGTTGTGTTAGTCGTGGGTAAACACACGTGCCACTGTTAGTTTCACGGAAAGGAAATTTTACTAATTGGGGTACAGGTACCATGTCTCTACCACTGGTGTCGCAGAAACCTGGGGTTCGCTCTCTGGAAGGGTTCAGTACAATTGGCACTGGGATATATCTCCGGAGTACTGGTGAGCAATGCCAGGATACTACATTACCAAAGTGAGTCAATGTCCGTGATAGCATAATAGCTGACGTGTCATGAGGCATTCTGTAGCGTCATTTTGATATTCGGATGGAGTAGGCCATTACTCTTCTCATTCTTGCCTAGGTTCTCGTCTAACGTCACGCGTCTGTAGTGGGAGCACAACTTAGGCATTTGCAGAATTATACCAATGCATATACCAAATTATATCCAAACGCATCTCAAGTTGTTGTTCGGTGCAATCCGAATGTGTTCTGGACTTCAACCGGCACTAAAGTGAGCACCCTACAATTCCTCACTGATGTTTTGTTGGCTTACACAATGAAAAGCAACGGCGCCTCATGCCTGTAATCGACGCCTTGGAAGCACTGCATTGTTTCCCATCTTCCTCTTCTGCCGAACCACCTCCCCGCATACTCACTCACGTGTTTTCCAATGGTAGGTCCACCCAGACTGGATGGGGAACAAGCTGATCATTGTATGCGCCACCAGGCGGCTCCCTGCAAATGACAATTCTTGGACACATGCTGCAGCGGAAATACGGCTCTGCATTAGTTCAACAGTTCATCACGAGCACATTGATCCTTGACTCGTGTCCGGCAACGGGTAGCCTAAAAACAATTAAACTCGCTTTCAGCGCCGTCATCCGGAACCCAATTCTTAGGGTCATCGTACTCACTATGTTATACACTATGCACTTCGTCGGCCTTGGCCTATCTCTAGTATTCGGTAAGCGAATAATGCTTATGGAAAACCTCCGGATCGAAATGTGGAATCCTCGCGTCCTGCCATGGATGGGCCTCCACACGCCCCGCCTGTATCTTTTCTCGCGCAAAGATAAATTGATTCCGTGGCAAGATGTCACACAACATGCGGAGATCGCGAAGGAGCGCGGGATGGATGCACGTTGCGAATTGTTTGAAGAGAGCGAACATGTAGCACACATCCGAGTGGAGCCAGAGAGGTATTGGGCTTCGGTCCAGGATATTTGGGCAGCCGCGATCTCCAAGGGGAAAGTTGAGGATCAGAGACTGCTTACATACTAGATTTACGTCGGAAGATTTGCCTCGCTTGTTGTAGTGCACCCATGTAGAGCACCCCTTCAATCGATCAACTATAGAGCTGCTACAATTGTCTTCCTAGGTTTGCTCCTTTCATAGCCTCCGCTTGGTATTATCGTACGCCGACTGATCATCGATCATCAGCTAAGATATGTGGAACTGCAATATTAATATTGGTTATTTCTTATATTAGCCTCGCTGATTATTAATTGTCGAACAAACGGCGCTGGTGTGATATCTACTAACTATAACTTACACTTACATAGCACTGCCCATTGGTCGACCGAACGAAACAGATCAACATGGACGAGAGCACCAACTTGAAACAGCAACATCCAATGCCAGTCAAAGTGGCACTCGTGCTATCATGATGACACGTATTGTCAGATCTGGCGGCTACCCTGGTTCAGACTCGGAGACCCTGGAAGATGCTCAGTCTCGAGGGACTCCAACCTCCCCTCTGAACACTTGCAAGAATTTCCCAAAGGTGATCTCGCAGTCCAGGTCACTGCGTTTGAACTATAGGAAGACATACATAACAAACGGACGTGGCAGGCAACTAGGAATGCAGACTACTGCTACTACTAAAGGAAGCTGCGACGCCACTGAGCTGGCGGAGTTTGCGATATTCTCTGCTCGCCTTTCTCCTTGGAAATTGCAACCACCCAAACCTCTTGTACCAGAGTCCAATACCTCTCTGGCTCGGCCCGCATGTGTGCCACATGGTCGCTCTCTTCAAATAGCTCACACCGAACATCCATTCCGAGTTCCTTTGCTGTCTCGGCATGGTGCATGACCTCTTGCCACGGACTCGATCTATCCTTGCGCGAGAAAAGGTAGAGGCGGGGAGTGTGGAGGCCCATCCATGGCAGGACGCGGGGATTCTGCATGTCGGCGTAGATGTCTGACACCAACATCATTCGCTTACCAAACAGGAGAGATAGGCAGAAGCGGATGAAGTACACCGTGGATATGAAGGTGAGTACGACGGGTCTGATAATTGGGTTCTGGACCAAAGCGCTGAACGCGAGTTTGATTGTATTGAAGTTGACAATTGATGGGCATGAATCCAGGATCAATGCGCTCGTGAATGACCATTGGGCGCATACAGAACCATATTTCTGCTGTAGCATGTGACCAAGATGTGTCATTTGCAGTGAGCCTCCTGGTGAAGCTTTAGCTTGTTCCAATTTCAGTCTGGGTGAACCTACCACCGGAAAACACGTGGGTTAGTATTCGGGGACGCCTTTGTACAGAGGATTTAGAGGATGGCAAGCAATGCAATGCCTCCAATGCATCAATAACAGGCGTGAGACGCTGTTGCTTTAACCGTGTGAGGCGACGACATAACAGTGAGCAATCGATGTATTAAGGTGCTCACTATAGTACTGATTTTACTCCATATTATGTCGGGGTTGCACCGAACAACGATTTGAGACGCGTTTGGATATAATTCGGTATATGCATGGGTATAATTCCGCAAGTACCTCCGTTGTGCACCCACTATAGACACAACTCGCATTAGACCAGGACTTCAGCAAGAACGAGAAGAGTAATGACGTACTCCATCCGAATATCAAAATGACGCTAATTAAACACCCTGCCATGAGCTGTTTCGCTAAGCAACACACCAGACCGACTCACTTTGGTGACGTAGTGTCCGAGCCCTGGTCTTTCTCACCGTTATCCCGGAGATACATCCCAGGGCCAATCATACTGAACCCTTCCAGGGAATGAACTCTAGGCATCGGCGACATCGACTTCATACTGAATGTACTACCAGAGATAAACGCAACGATATGCCGATTGCAAACTGTACTAACTGCAATGGGAGCTTTATAAAACTTTCGGAGACTTTTACGGGACCGTGGATTTCCTCGCATGTCAACAGATAAACGAGACCTGATCACACTTGACACAGAAATCAACACCCACGACACTTCTGGTGGCGAGACATGTTATGCTATTTTTCTGACATTGAGCAAGTTGCTTTGCTGCATTAGACGATGTGCACAGCATCCATTGATACCAATTTACAACAGGTCGGTTATTTATTTTGAAAGTGCACGAATAGCCTTTTGCGCTTACATTAGTGAGCAATTTTATGCGTGGCCACGCAGTCCTTTCATTCCAACGAGGACTCGCCGAGGCTAGGAACGACAACCTCCAAAGGAAATCAAGTACTTCCATGGAATCAGAATGATATGAGAGTCTATACCATTGCTGCTTCCAACGTCATGTTTCCAACTACCAGAGATTTTGAGCTAAAAGTTAGCATGACAGGAGTTCAGCATATCCCTTGGGAGCATACAAATTGCCGGTTGCATGCCCGAATATTTAGAGCCAGGCACTGACATGGACTGTATTTTAAATATCTAGGATAGTGACAGCACCAGCAGCCGAGCCTAGTGCGACGCAGCCTCTTTCCTCGTCGTAATCAAGACATGTCCAATTCTTGCCACAATTCTTCCACGATGACTTGACCTGCGGTTCACCTTGAGTATTGAGTAATCCAGGGAAGGCAGCGGCGACGAGTGTTTCGTGAGACTGTGGTACAGGCATATTTTGCAGGTGAACGTTCGAAGAGATTAGGCCCGCAACTGAATAATCTTCTGGTTGTACCCAGACTGCAGTCCCATACGGACCGAGCACCATGTCGGTGCATCGTAAGGCACCCCGGCGTGGGGTGACGATTTCTTTAGTCATAGAAGGAGGGAAATTGTAGTATGCCCCATCGACAGTAGTTTGATAAGACGAGGTCATCGGACTCAAAGTCCAGAGTTGAATCTTGAACGTGGATGACCATGGGTCATCATTCTTCGTGCGCACGAGAATTGACAGAGGCTGTCCCTCCATTCTTGTGGGGTCCTTAGGCGAAAATGGCGGATTAGAGACAAAGATACCGTCCACCCAGCCAAATGTGCTCTGGGCATAAGGATAATGGACACATGTGTTGGGATGTGATGCTAGTTTTGGCTCTGCAAATGCATGGACTGAACGAGCTCTGACAACAAGGATGGTCTTGTATGCAAAGACGATTTGAGTACATTTATTCTACAGATCTCATAATAATGAAAACAAGGTTGAGAATTAACGGGCTGACGTACCCTCCAAAGGTCCGCTTCGACGGGACTTTGCAAGACTGCGTACTCCTGCGTTTTCCAGTTCCAGATTATTGTTTCGGCTTCATCGTCAGCTAAGGCCACTAAAGACCCAACCATGGCGATTGGTTGACGCAACGTGTTGAGTCGGGCAACACATTCAAACCCCGGCGGAGAGTCTGGCGCTGTAGACGTGATAGCTAATATCTCAACCACAACAGAGCTGTGAATGCTTTAGTGCACTGACGAGCATAGTCAGTAAGGCAATACAGACTCGTATCTGTGCAATGACACCGCGAGAGTAGCTTCACAGTCTTCAGACGTGTTCACTGCTAGATTAGAGAAAACAGCCTTTTCGGGGGACCAGGAAGTAACTCGCGTCAAGTCACGGCGATCCCAGAGTGTGATCATCGACCAGATACCCTGAGAAACTGTGATGAGCCATTTCCGATCATAGCCAGGAATGAAGTGGATGTCTTGGATAGGGCCCCCCCTGCTCGCTGCGAAGCTAGACGTGCGAAATGTAATTGAAGGAGCTTTCCAAGCTTCCCCAAGATGGTAGGCACGGCGTACTCTCTCCTCTAGATCACGAACAGAGAAACTCGAGAGTGGTTTCTTAGAGAAGGGTATGCCCTGCTGCAATATCTGAGAAGAACCAATATTCTGCCATACAATCTGCTGACTTGAGAAGGATAGCAGTCTACGACATGTCTAAAATTTCGGATAAGAGTGAGCAAAACCCCCGGTTGAGCTGAAAAAGGCTTACTTGTCTCAGGTTGAGCACATCTGGAACTGTCAGCGCAGAAAAGACGCCAAGGAGGGTATCATCATCAAGAGAGTCGAGGGAAAGGTACATATTAGCGGTGACCTTTGCGATTGAACATACACCTGAGAAATCTTATTGCCTCGTGGTACGGCTGGAGGTTCCTGTGAGTCCCAGCATCTGCTTATGACTTCGAGATCGTTTAAAGTCGCGTATCATTCTCAAGGGGCAAAGCATACATATGCATACATACCCATATACGTGCAAATAAGTGCTACCACGGTCAAGAGCGCCCAGGCGCCCATGGGCCATAAGCAAGTAAAATCAGGTGTTAAGTATGTCTGCCAAGGAACCTACCCGACAACAGCTCTCCTCTCGTTTACAGTACCAATCCCATGTTCCTGCGTTCTTGCAAAAATTTCAGAATAAAATTCAAGGCATAACAGACGAAGACGAGGATGAGCCACAGTACTATGATGACGGTTCAGGACGTCCACCGATACCTGTCCGTGCTGCGATACCCCAACGACCCGACGATGATCCCGGAAGCGCAGACGAAGACGACGTTGATGAAAGACCTCAAGTAGTTGTGCTGAAAGAGGGCAAGCATCTCACAGAGAGGGAAGCAGAGAATGAGAGGCGGAAGGGTGCGTCTCACCCTACAAACATATCGATTTTTCTGACAAGATCGTTTAGAGAAAGGATTGCCACCACTTCCTGATCCCAACAAGAAAGTGGAGAATGATACCAAGGATGATGCGAAATCAGAGATGAATTCTTCGAAGAAGAAGCAGAAAGAGGCTGCTGTCACTCTGTCGTTCTCTTCTTCGGGTGCGAAGGTCCAACAATCCAACAAGCTCAAACGAAAGGTTGTCGGAGACTTGGATGGCAGCGACGAAGGTTCTATGAAAGCTTCGAAGAAAAAGTCGAAGAAAACACGGAAGGGACCGCTCTCATTTGGAGAAGACGTGTAATTTGAGTCCTGGGCGTAGTACTAGTAAGTTCTACTCTCTAATTTTTGCAGTCATAATTTTATCTAAGATTCTCCATAAGTTTTGCCACCAGGATATACTCTTGCCTTCACCATAAGGCGCGTTGAGAACTAGGAAGGACACAGCGCATCGGCTATCCTCATTGCCAGAGGAACCCATCACGAAAGCAGGAACGTTCATTGGCAGTGCTTATCTCACTCCCCGTTATAGAACTATATGGACATGCTTCCGAATTTTAGCGACACAAAATGGTCATCGAGACTCGACAGAGCATCAAGAATTCACAATGGACGCCTACAACCGCATTGTTAATACGCCACTCAACTTGTTCGTGGTTATATAGGCCAGGCCGGTCCCGAGGTCAATCAAGGTTCTCGAAGGGGTTTGGTTCGTATATGTAGTACATACCATCACTAGTAGCACATAAAATCCGCAAAATATGACCTTCCTGAATAATCACGTGATCAAACTCAATCACCAAACTGAACGCTTTGCTCGCCCACCTGGTTCTGGACGTCGATCAGCTATAAGCGCAATAGTTAGCATCTGGCAAGAGGTGACCAATATTTGAGGTAGGTAGTTACTCCTCGCACCTTTATCCAATCATTGGGGGTTCAAAACTCACTGCTTTTCCATAGAACTGCCATCCTCTATAACTTTGGAGGTACTCGGAACTACCAGGAAGTACTAACGAAACCAAAGACTGAGGGCACATACACAATGTACTCTACTTTGGTTCGCCTCGCAGAGTCTGTGACTGCGAAGAGTTTGGACCTGCGTCAGGCGAGCGTTGCGCTATACCCGCCAATTCCGTACGTCTATCGGTGATATTTTGGCGATGGCGAGTAGCTCAATTCTTACGTTCGTATTGTAGCCTATATCGCAGATTACTCAGGGCGCACAGGAGGCTTCCAATTGAAATGCGTTTATTGGGTGATGACTATGTCAAAGCTGGTATGTGTTCTACGATAATGACGCACCACCAGCTCGCTGCTCACGCTGTTCTTAAAGAGTTTAGAAGGCATAAAGATATCAACAATCCAGTACACGTCATGGGATTCCTGACACAGTGGAAGATGTACTTGGATGAGCTACCTCGAGATCCTTCAGACTCGAGAAGTTTCAAAAAACTAGATCCCACGATATACGAAAAGGTTTTTATGATTCCGCTCATCTGTGGCTTTAGTTTACTGGTATTAACATGTATTCAGATGTCTGCAGAACAACTTGGACAGTTGTATGAGTTCATGCACGCGACTAAAGAGATATGGAAACCAGTGAATGGCGAACAGGCCCAGTCTGAGACTAAGAAATAACATCCTCAGCGACTGTCGTGCATATATCCTTCCGCTTTGTTCCGTGAAGCTCTGTACCCTCCGACACGGCCGAATCTCAGACCAAGAAATGAAATTGTCAGTCGTCCATAACCTGTCCTTCGTTTACATACACCGTTCCGCTTAGTTCCGTGAAGTCCTACGCGTTTCGCCAAGGATGGATTTGAAACCAAGGTGTGGCACCCTCAATCGTCCATACCCCGTCCTTCATGTGCATACTGCACTCCGCTTAGTTCCGTAAAATCCCAGCTGTTCCGCCTTTGACACGACTCGGAGGGCTGAAAATTACGAATGAAGTAAGTGGGAAGTTTTAGTCTGAGGTCTCCGGACCGATCCGGCTCAAGACGAGAAAATCCATCCCTTTGCAATTGTACTGCCTTGTGCTTCCGTGAGTTCGCGATCAACGGGGCCCCCAATCCTTCCCACTATCATAAATGAGGAGTCACGTGCACGGGTAGATATAAATGATCAATGAGATTCACTAGCATATAGATTCAACTCGGTTTTCATCATTTTACCCCAAACTCACTCATCCGTAATGTCTCAAGCCGCTGTCAGTAACTTTGTTTTACTTTTCATTGCGACAGTTTGGCTGAGTAGCTAGGAAGACCGTCTCATCAAACAACCTGCCCTATGCCGACCTGCCCCCGATTGTGGCAGCACTCTTCGAGGCTAAAGCAAAGAAAGGTGAGGCATGGGTGCAGGCGCGATGCCGAGTTATGGATTCTCTAACACACAATAGGGTTGTCCTTTGAGGCTATTTCTAAGGCAATCGGAAGAGATGAGATCTGGGTAGCTGCGGCTTTCTATGGACAGGTTCGTCTGCACAGTAGTATTTGGTCACGACCGTTCACGTGTTCCCATAGGCCAAAATGTCTCCTGAGGAGCTTGTAGCTGTCGCCAATGTCCTGGACATCCCCATTGCTAACGTCCAGAGTGAGCTTGGTTCCCACTGGTGGCCTAACCGTGGTGGCCTTGGACCTATGCCCCCCACCGATCCCGTCCTCTATCGTCTATACGAGAGTGTCCTCGTGTATGGTCATGCAATCAAGGTCTGTTGTGTTTGATATCATCCATGACACAATCTCATGAAGCGATCGAAATCAGGCTGTCGTCCATGAGAAGGTGAGGAATTTGAAATTCGACTCACCAACATGTTAACCTGGTTTCTGCAGTTTGGCGACGGCATCATGTCCATGATCGACTGCAAAGTTAACGTTACCAAAAAGCCGGACCCAAAGGGTGACCGTGTTGTTTTGACCTTTGAGTGAGTTGCCCTGTGTTGTCCGATATTTCTGCTCAGGTCCTTATCTGGTCATCTCCTATTACAGTGGCAAGTTCTTGCCTTACGCAAAATGGTAGAAACTTCGTACTTGTCAATGTATTGTATTATTACCCCAGATGATGCTAGGGAACCCTGGTGCAATTATTTCTGCCAGATATTTTGATTCAGACCAGGATATGATTAACTTATAAGTCGCCTACGTGGTCGAATGTCACCTAACCGCATTTACTACTACAGGAAACCATAATGTCCAGCTCATCTTCATCTTCTGAAAGCTCTTCTCGGGCGCACAGCCTTTCTTCAACTTCCTTGTCGTCTTCGAGCTCTAGTTCATCCTTCTTCTACCACGGTTCTGATGCTTCCAGCATGTATACAGAGGTTTCGAGCAGCCCCCCAGGTTCTCCAAATATGCAAACATCGTCCCAAAAGACCAAGGATTTCATCGCTGTCGCATCCGCAAGGCTATCCAAAGCCTGTGAGCAGGTCTCACACGCACTCAGCGACGCAACTCCTAAGGACTCAATGTTCCGTTCTCCCATAAACCCTGCTATTGTCGAGGAGGATGTGGGATATGAGTCGGATGGTGATGTTCGCGGGGCGAATATGAAAGTTCCTCCAAGCTCTCAGAATGCAAGACCCAAGTTCTTACGAGTGGACACAAAACAACACAAAATAGCTGCTTCCATCCTCCACCCGTTCAGTGTGACCACCAAAGCCATCGCTCCTAACTCAAATCCTACTCACAAACGCTCGCTCGCTCGTCTTGATACTATTTCTAACACGCGCGCTATTCCGGATTACGAGCTCGCAACTATAACGCTACCGAAGCCGCCTGCTGGACTTGGCCTGACTCTACCGTCAGTGTATCTTTCGAGGCCCATCCCTCGTGCATGCACAATGCCAACTATCAAGTCCTCCTCTGGACACAATCTGAATGACTCACTTCCGCATCGCCCATCAAACCTGCCACCGCAGACTTCCCATCTGTATGAGCCACCAAAGGTTCACCTTCGCCCCATAGAGCTTCCTGGTACACCGTCCCCTATGGAGTACCTGCCCCCCAGCATCATGGTGTGTGAGAGTCTGAGTGGAAAAGTTAAGCAATCCTCGTCTGTGCTTCCTTCGTCGGTCGAAGGATTGTCACCACTCTGGACGTTCCCTCCCCTTACAGGCTTCGCACCACTTGAAACAATGCCTCAGAGTCCCCTGCTACTTGGCAAGGACGGTGTTGCAGGCTGGAACCCATACTTCCCCTCCACCTAGGTAGGGCGGCGTGTCTGGGGAAGTATACATCCTACTAATTTGGCTAGTTTATCCAGCACCATCGAAGCGCGTCAAAGTTAGATGATAAAGTAGATATACATATCGATGATAACGACTTGTTCACGTGTATGCAAATGAACGACAGCTGCAGCATAGGGCGTATAACAATTTATTATGCGACAGCAACAGGGAGACCCATCGCGATTCGGCTGATAGGCTGGACGATATCTGCATCAACGCCAAGTCCAACGTACGGAAGGTCCGTCCCATCGCTTGCGAAATCAAGTGGGTTAGTACCGGCGAGGAAGGTCTCAGCCTGCCTTTTAACATAGGCCGTATTTTGAGGGGTCTGCGGAACAGTGTCGATAATCGTTGATGTAATTGCGACCTCGGTAGTGTTGTTTGGTAATATTTGGACATTAGACGACATTAGCGTTACTCGTTCCTCGTTTTTATCCCTCAGTCGTTTCGCTCAACGGCTGAGGTGAGCATCGTATTCTTTCGTATAAAGCTATGCTAATCTGTACCTAGTATTCGCGTTCTTAGGTACAGTATATTAATACAGTCGTTTCGCTCAACGGCTGAGTATTCGCGTTCTTAAACAGCTGGGATGTACATGACTGGACATCGACAGATCAGATCTGAACAACATTTACACAAAGTTTATAGAATCAGAATCACCAGCAGAGTCATGTGAACCGGTGTGCTCTTGCTCTATGGAATGAATGACATCCTGTACGGATAATCAGTAAGAATCGAGAATAATAGTGGGTGCAGGGCGCACGCATTGCCAAAATATCATGTCACCAGGATTGAATTTTGGAACAGAGATCATTGTATCTTCTAGCCTGAGATGAGGATGCAAGTCAGGGGTGGGTTGTTGGCCGACCAAGCCGCTGTCGCAAGGCTGAATGCCAGGAAAATCAGGAGTGGAAATATCTAGAATTACCACTCAGGAGGATACTGAAAATAGCAAGGCATTGTACACAGACCAAACATCCAGTTCTTCGGATCAAGTATGTCCTCAGAGTCGAGAGGAACAGTAGGTCGGAAGAATGGGCGGAGGATGGTGTACGCATTTGACAAGGGCACATCGGGGAATACTTTCAGGGTACCTTGGGTGGGACCGGTTTCACTGGAATTGATATCAACTTTCGTATTCAAGCCCGATGAAAGGAAGATCTGACGTCATAGCCAGCCAACCCTGGAAGGTTCGGAACGCAGTTGCCTACGAGAAATAAGGGTGAGTCATGTCATAAAACTGGATTTTTCAAAACACTGTCACAACATACCTGTCCAGGTTTTCCACTCAGGGATACACGAGCATCAAGACGGCCCTCAAGTTCATAGGGGTCGTGCTGGCGCCAGTTACCACTTAATATGTCTGCGAAATACCTGCGGAAGTTGCTATCCTCCCAGCGCTCTGTGGAACCATCTAGAATGCGCATCAAAACCCGATTTTTGCAGGAAAGGCGGACACACCATTGACGTGAGGGGGGTGAACATTCCATGGTACACCAGGGCGACAGATGTGGAACGAATCTGCATATACCAACGGAACATCGAGGCCGACGCCTTCCATTTTCTTGTCGGTCTTTGCACGGTACAGGTTATTAATCCAAGTGCAAACTTTGAGAACGTTAGGGTGGGCGCGTGCTTGTACTTGTGCTCGGGTCCAGCTAGCGAGTGGAATCAATATCCATAAAACAACTCGGTGACCGGGAACTATTTCTCACTAAAGGAAGGAGAGCTGCTTGTCTTGCTCCGGAAAACCTGCAAGGGTTGGCCATGAGATGAGCCATCAATCATGGACCGAAGGCCGACCTTCGACGTGAGGGTTAGCTTTGATAAAATCTTCCAACGCAGTCTTCCACTCGACAGCTTCACCCTCCTCAACAACACCATGAATGACAATAGAGCCCTTACGTCGAATATCATCGAGTTGCTCAGGGACCAGCGTGTCTAGATACTGAAAATGGACTTGAGGGATGTACTACGGAACGATTAGCGCCTCGTAAGTGAGAGATCGGAGATGACCGACGTTGGAGCCCTCATCGACGATTTCTGTCGTGCGCTCATCGAGTTCCTGGAGAAGATCGTTCCAAGACTGAGTCAAGCGCCTTTCATAGTCGGGAATCGCTGCCACAATTTCGCGCTTGAGGTCAGCAAAGCGCTCGGACCAATTTGTCGTCGAAACCATGGCTGAAAGGATATCCTACGATTATAGATGTGAAGCCACCATCTCACTCTTATAACCTGTCCGATAATATCATTTCTTAGTTACGGGCGGCTTCCGACATCACCGGTGTTCATAGCGTATGATAAACATGCTAGAACGTCACGGTTCTAATAATAACACCTGAAGCACAAGCACTCAACTGTGCTGACGATCACAATAACTGAAAACGTACCAGAAGTTGACACTCGAATGAGCTCCGATGGATAGAGCTGCAGAAGCAGGCATCAGGACTCATAAGCAGTCGTGATTCATGAAAAACAGTCCGATCCGAATACGATCTCGGTGCATAGATATAAATAGGCTGCAAAAGTGGATCTATGCTGAAAATAGGATGACAACGAAAACAAAAATAACCCGAGTTGCGGTGTTCAGCCTGTATTATTGCTCTCCCTCGACGTCAGCTTCTTCCTCTTCCACTGTAGCTTCCTGATACTGTGGATGCATAATCAACCAGCTGTTCTATCGCAAGAAACAAGCAATATTACCTGTTGATATTCTGATCTGTATTTAGAAGATACAACAGTCAGTGACGTACGATGGTATAGATGTGTACGCACATTAGATCCTGAGTGTTACTCTCGGCCTCTGTGAACTCCATCACATCCATGCCCTCCCCAGTGTACCAGTGCAAAAACGCACGGCGCTTGAACATAAGGGCAAACTGGTCAAGGTTACGCTTGAAGAGTTCCTGCATACATGTTGAATTCGCAAGGGCTACCGCTGCCTGAGGTTGGCCCACGGGGGGCACAGAGCAAAGCGAAACGGACACGTTGTCCGGGATCCACCTGAAATGTGTGAGTAAAGCCTTTGCCAGACCAGAACTTTGCATACTCCACAAAGAGATTCGAATTCTTGCGTTGCAGCTGCATAACCGAATTCTGCACAAGCGTTAGTAGTGCTATTTCATAATAAGTACACCATACCTCTGCCTGCGGAAAAGAATCAGATGTCACATTCACATACATGTACAATAGACGTACCTCATGTGACGACACCTTGCCTCGGAAGATACAAGCAGCAGTCAGGTACCGACTGGAATTACGAATATTAGTGAGCCATTTATACTTGTACGTCATATGACATGCCCAAATCGAGGATCCGAGGCAACCAGAAGGTTCTTTTTATCGAACAATCTGCGACAAATGAGCGAAGATCGACTACCATCAGTTATTGTACTCACGATGAGGTGAGTTCAGGCACAGAGAGTCTCTGGAAAGTCCGAGCTTTTGGATCGTAGAATGGAGCAAAACTCGGCATCAGGAAATGTAGCTGAAGCATGGAGTCAGACAAAGTAGAAAAGTGTTTTACAGAACTCACACGAGGGAAGGGAACAAGATTCATCCCAAGTTTTCGAAGATCACTGAGGACATTGCTGAAATGGCTGAACACTCATGCGCCGGGAATTGCTTACCCGTTGAGCTGACCAGGAAACCTCAGACTCGTGCTAACACCACACATGACCTTGGCTATGAGCTACAACAGAAATTGAACAATGGCAACAGATATAAAAGTAGTGAGGCTTACTTGATTCAGATCTTTGTATCCAGGACTTTTGATTTTAAGAGTGCGGACGGCTATGTCATACCTGATTTCATCAGGGTTTAGCTCGCTAAACAGATCGGGAGATTCTCACAAGGCCTCGTTGTCGATACAAATAGTAAGATCGCAATTATCGACCAGTTGATGTACAGAAAGAAGGGAATTGTATGGCTGACGATGATCAGCGACAATTCAGGCAGGAAATGAAAGCTATATCTTACTTCAACGACAGTCTCGGAGACCTGCAAGTCAATATTAGTCATCAGTCTCACCTGGGAGATGTCAGCCACTGACATTGGGTGCAGGAAGAATCGAAAACGTAGAAAGCATTCGATCGGGATATTCCTATTCATAGATCAGTATACAACCAGACCAGAAGTATTGCCAGGACAGACCTCCCGCAGTTTTGACAGAAGCAGAGAACCCAGACCAGCACCAGTACCACCTCCAAGTGAGTGAATTATCTGGAATCCTTGCAATGCTTCTGTAGCCTCGGACTGTCTTCGCACAATGTCCAAGATGCCGTCAATCAACTCGGCCCCTGTGTTTCGGACTTGTCAGGCCTTTCGCGAAGCAGATAGTAGCGATATCTCCGCACCTTCGGTGTAATCTAAGCATCGTTACGAAATATCATCAGATCATGAAGTACAAAGAAACACGAGGCTTACATCCTTTCGCCCAATTATTTCCAGCCCCTGAGTCGCTAGTGAAGTACGTATCTGGACGAAATAGCTGACCCAGCGGCCCCGAACGAAGCTATAAAAAATCAGAACCTTATATAAAAACTGAATTCAATCAAACCGACGCGATTGCAGACTCCGGATTCGAGATCCACCTGAACGCTTCGCGGGACGTACTTGGTAGGTCCACTAGAGTCCACTTGCGTAAAGTATACGCCTGCCTGTGAACGACTGAGATCAGAGGTAGGCGGTGAACAATTTTATGATGACGGACTCGTGCAATTTGTTGGGGATCATTGCCTTTGTACATCTAGATGTATGACGCCGTCATGTCAGCTGATATATACGTGGACTAAGTCCTTAGCTTCAAAGGAACTACTCACCCCAGCATCGTCGAGGCCATGCTCTGCTAAGAGCATCCTCCAAAAGGCCTCTCCTACTTGGTTTCCTGCCTGTGGTGTTATTTTTCGTGAATAACAACCCTGATCCCAGACTCCGAGCATGCACGATGATTCACCTGCCCGACCTAAATCGATGAGATAGGAAGTCAGAACGATCGTGGAGGGATACTTATGAACCTACTTGAATGTTTACTATTTCTCGCGACATGATGGAAAGACGAAAGAACCGATGACCAAGGCAGCCCTCGACCACAATCCCAGTAAGGATCCGATATTAATACTATGGTTCGAGGGGTTACGCCCGGGAATTGCCGCACATACTTAATATAGAGCACCCCATGTGACCGTGTCCAATTTACGCGTCGCGTTCTGCCACCAACGTCCATTATGCGTTTCAGAGCTACCATAGAGAATGCCCCAATTTTCTATCGTCAGTAATTATGTGAACTATATATGTTTCGTCTTTTGAGTCTTTTTTAGGTCTTATACAAGCGGTGGAAAAATTACAGAAAAAATGTATCATGAAGTTCACCGAAACCGAGATGCACGTCATTTGCAACGATGATGCGAACGAGGGTGGAATTCAAGTCTGGTCGTAAGCTGAATTTGGTGTCTTCTACCGCACGCATCTTATATTCACGGATAGCGTCGTAAAGGTCGACACCATGTTTACATCATACCGAATTCAGTCCAATGCAAATAATGCAATAACTCTGACACTGTCTACAGAAGCACTGTTATCTGCTCTTCGATCGTCTTCTTCATCAGCCTCGTCGTCCTCTGTAGCAGCTGCCATCATTCCTTCATACGATGCTGATGAAGTCGTCATGAAGCTTGCTAAGAAAAACGAGCAGGCCGTGTTGAGCTTCGAGATGTATGGGATGTCCAGGTCAGGACGCAGAGTCCGCGTTGCGCATGATGTACGTATAGACGTGATGCGGCCAGCAGAAAGTGATAAACTCCACGAACCACGATGCCCAGACCCAGAAGTAGGTGCTCGTTTCATTTCTGTTTACCGTGCAAGCTAATACACATCAGGTACATGTCTTACTCCCCCCTCTACTAAAAATCCGTACCATAGTGGAGAGGTTACGTCCACTCTCAGACGTACTTGCACTGCGTGCGAACAACAGTGGCATCCTTCAACTATCTATCAACACCGACACCGTGAAACTCGAGACACAATGGGTTAAATGCGGTAACCCATCAATGGGTGAGCATCGCGGTCCACTCTGCTGACGAGATCTTTTCTGACTCCCATCAGCCAAACACGAAATAGCCCAGAACGACGAAAACGACGATGCAGAAGACATCCTACTGAATAAGCCTGACCCTGACAAAATGTTTTGCGTGCTCGTCTCCATCCGGAGCTTCCTCAAGTTTCTAAGCAGCCATGTTGTATCCGCTACCACCATCTTGTGTACGTATTCCTAATTGCACATTCCCTCTCACCAATGCTTTTGTTCATACAGGTTTATGTCACAATCACTGTGCTATCTTGTACGTCTACATAGGCGAGATAGCTGACGCAGGAGGCGTCCTCACGTACTATATTCCGACCGTCATCGATGGCGACGAGTAATTTTCAAAGACTATTCCTTTCCTCCATCGTGGTGAGCGTGTCCGCAAATGTTTGCCATCACAATCTGATAATCGCAAAGGCTATGCTTGTAGCTGACCAAATGATAACTGGTTTACATAAGGGGGTAAATTTCCATCCGCTTTATATTCACTTATCAACCGATATAACTACCTTCCCATGCCAGCTCCGATGATTTTCCGGAACAGCAATAATAATATATTTCAGGCGAGGGTAGAGGCTACAGAGAGAACATCAGATGAAGAAAGTAACACAATGGAACCTAACATGTAATGTGAGTAATACAAAACATTACGTTTCCCAGAGTAGGCAAGGAGTGGTTTCGTATTGTATTTCTCGTCGTACAACCCGTGATACCAGCACACTCCTACACCTAATTCCACGCTTCTGAGCATACCTTGTCCGGACGCCTGCTGTTCCGGCCCTTGCAATCTATCTTCCCACAATCCTGACACGCATTCATACAAAACGTGCGTCCGCCCTTGCCCTTGCAATCCTGCGAACCGCACTTGCAGCAGTGTCGAGTTCGCTTCTGCGAGGGCTCTAGGATCGCAACTTCACTCGTCTCTCCATAGCCATACGCTCGTTTAAGTCCATTTTGCTCACTTGGTGTGTGCGGCTGAGAAACTGGTGGGGGTGGAGCACTTTGACTTTGGGGGTGCTGAGGGTAATATGAGTACCCGGGATAGGCATACGATACATACGGGCCTGGCTGTCCGAAAGCAAATTGTTGTACCTGCGGCGGAGCCTGTGCCTGTGCCTGAGGTTGAGGTTGAGGCTGTACGGACGCGGGCACTGATGGAGTAGGATGGTCAGGTGTAGCACTACCAAGAGTAGATGTCGAGGGTTGAGGCATAGAGGGATGAATCTGGGTTGATGGGCCAGGTTCTGGAGCACTAGAGTCTGCTTTCCATGCATCGCTGAACTCGCCTATAGCATCCTGCTTGTGCTATTAGCAGACAGGAGGCAGAAGGCGGATAGATGCATACTTGGTTATTGTTGTCGATTTCTCGACGAAAAATATCAGCACCCACGCCACCATCATCAACATCATATTCCTGATCTTGGTCCCTTTTCTCGTCAGGAGGCGGGTTTTGGACGGCGTTGATGATATTGAGAATGTTGTCCTTCGGCATCCCAACTTTGAGACAGGCTTTCACCATGTTCCAAAGCGTTTTGGAGACACCGACAGCATGCCAATTCCAAACATTGTTTCCAGGGCCCAGATCGGCGTCACCCTGCAACAACCGCGCTGGAAACTCTTCTCTTAGCCTCACGGGAAGTCCCTGCATGACAGACGCGTCCGTGCTGGCGAATTTGCGTCCTTCAGGAGTCGTGCTAGCGATACACGATACACTTTTGCATGCGTACTCGCATCCGATGATGAAGAAGGGTTTGTCGAGGTCGTAAACCTTGACTGGGCCGCTACGGATGCGGCCTCGGTTTTGGAGAGTGCTCCCGCACACGGTGCAATGAATGCCAGCGAGAACGAGAGGTAACGGATCCCAATACAAGAATCGATGCTCGGAGTGCGTGACTCGGGCAGTTGTCCGAGGCGCAATCAATGATAAATAAGATGGCGATGAAGGAAGCCACAGGGTCCTAAGAACCGAATATAGAGAAGGAATGGGATGTGCATCTTTGTTTTGGTTTTGAGATGGCATAAGTGATGCGAGGTGGGACCTGAAAGCTTCTTCAACAGTAGGTCCTCCGCTGGCGATGGGATTAGGTGCAGCGATAGCTCCCAAGAGGGCCTGCATGAGCACGTTGGGCTTTGTACATGAAAGCTCTGCCCATTCATCACGATTGAGGTTGGGATCTATGGAAGGATGTTGAGTGTTCGGGACTGTATTGCCGTTCGTGATGGGAGGTGTCGTTTGTGGGGCTTGAGGGGTGAATCCTTGCCATGGAGGTGGGATGCCGGGGTGCTGTGGATAATATGCCTGGGACAAACGATCAGTGCTTCAGCGACCTTGAACAAACTGGCACACGTACTCCAGGGAATGGTACACCAGGCGGAAGCTGTGGGGCATCCGCGCTCAGCTTTACACTCGATCGTCGCTGCTGATTTGCTTTCCGAGCGCCGACAGATCCGGCAGGTAAACCATCCTTACGAGGGCGGCCTACCGGACGCTTGATCTTTTCGCTGATGATGGCGGGATCAGGAGGCTGTTTCTTCCCACTTCCTTTGGGTCGTCCAGGTTTGCGCTTTGGGGGAGGCTCGTTAGGGTCTACAGCTGCATGGATGTCAAGGGTTAGCAAAGAATAATATGCGGAAATGATAAAAATTGTACCCTGCACAATGGCAGAAGCTGATTCGACTGGCATGCTCGCCATGGTGTTCTCCATGGAGAATTTCTGAAGATATGTGAGCACTGTTGAGACATAAAGGAAGTATAAGTTAAGGATGAAAGATTGCAAAGAGATATCCCTGCAACAAAGGCCGAATATACGACATAACTCAACACGCCAGAAAGTAGTTATCCAAGATAAACCAGTAGGAGATCGTCTATTGAGTGGCTCAAAAATGTAGTTAAAAATGAGAAAAACGTAAGAAAATAGAGAACGAATGTTTAATGATGAAGCATGAATCTTTGATGATAAAAGACGTAGAGCTCACCACTGATGAACGGTAGTCTTTATAGCTAGTTAATGGCGAGTTTCTTGTTAGCAGTTGCTAACAGCTTATCCCCTGAGACGCTCGGCTGTGGTCGTGAGAAAGCGGTTAGGCGACAAATGCTTTTCCTGTTTTATTAGATCGGAGCTTGAATTAAAACCTTAAGTGCGTTTCAACTTTTACTGCTCCTAAATGCTATCGATTACGGAGGTGAGTGTACCAAGATTTCACTGTTTAAAATCTTCTTCACACTATACGATGATCTGTAACCGAATGCAATTAGGAAGTGCCGTCTCAATGTCATCACTTGATGGCTCGTGTCGAAACTCGGTTCTCTGACTTATCATTTGACTCGGTGTTCATTTGAAAATTTGCTGATCTTTTTCTCTATAGGTGCTTAACACACTCAAGAATTCGCATTCGCTATCGTACCGTTCTACCAGGTAACAATACAAATTGTAATTGGATTACAGTAATATTGTGTTTTTAGAAACCTGCCTCTATAATATATGTTTCATTTTCTAGTTGGATAACTGATAATGCAATGATCGATGGAGGCACGCCACCATCAGTACCAAATTCAAGGCGAACATTGAGGGTCAAAGTTTTGATGAGGAATTTGCTCGGACAGGCCAAGGTCCTTGGTCGTATCCATGTAGGTATACTTGGGTCACCGGTGTGAGCTGGCGCTCCATGAGCTAAGTACCCATCTTTGAACTAAGCTGGAAGGTCGGACGTAAGTGCAAACCTGCCGAACACGGACGACTACGTACCGCGGTCTTCCGATTCAGTGTCTCTGACCAGCATGAAAGAACTTGAACCGATCTTCCTAAGCGTGTGTTCACCAACCAAGTTGGGGCGTAGATTTATTGATCAAGCCAACATCCAGACCTTCCTGGCGGTAGCGCGGCAGGACAGCGTCCCACGAGCAGTAGAGATGTGGTGTATCTCAGAGAGCTCAGACGACTGATAGCCCCAAAATTTCACGTTCATCAAATACATTCGAGATCTATCATCTATCTGAGGACAATGAAAAAAGGAGAAGTGACCGTGTTAAGTAGAAGGCCAAATGGCTGATGGCACAGCAGCTCTGATTTGCAGGGCGCAACTACAGGCTACAATGACATCTGTCATCTGGACTGGACTCGGGCAACTGGGAAGGATCATGCTTGTTCACAAGCTATAACGGATGAGGTGTGATGAGTCAGAGAGAAAGAATAGCATTGATGTGAATTATTAGCAATAGTTCGTGATGTGAGTAGAAGCAGGCCCCCGGAAGCTCCAGCTAATGTACCCCCGCAAAATAGCATTTTTGAGGGCCAAATATCGCAAAATCTCTGCCCGGATATAGCATTTTTGAGGCACCGAGGACGAATTTCAGGCCTATCCGGCTATTGCATTTTTCACGTCCTTCGGGGCAGGTTTATAGGACACTTGTCCAGCGGTGAACCCTATACGCATCCTGAATGCATGATTGTTTCTGATAGCAACTTGATACATCTGACGACGACGACGACCGAAATTCCTCGGATGGCACCAACCTTCCAATGTTTTCGCGTACTCTCAAGACATTCGAGCTCCACACTCATGCACCTATACAGCAACTCATTTACCACCTCAATGGGAACCCATTCGCACAGCAGCTCCACAATCATCTCACCTTGACCGCTGAAGCAGGTGCTCGCTGGGCAGCTCTCTCTCGACCATCTGTCAAACGTGTTATTCTGAAATTGCCGCCTACCATCAAGATTCCAGCGAGGGGGGCATGAGAGACCGAGAAATAGTGGTTGATCTATTCTAGTAAACTTAGTACGTTTGATTGAGATACTATGTGCCTCTATGGTCGCCGGTAAGCAGCGTGCTGCAGCGTGTCACCATCTGTCACGCATTAGCGGGAGGTCACACCATGTCACACCACGTGATTTTTTGACCTCTGCCCGGAATAGCATTTTTGAGGCCAAAAGTTTCGCATTTTTGAAGCTGATTTTAGCTGGTTGGGTGGGTGGACCTTGGCAGGAGCTTCCGGGGGCCTGTAGAAGCCTAGTAGATGGCTGAAAGCAATGAGTCTGCTTCCCGGTCATCACCTTATTACTCATCTGGGCTGTCCGAAGTACTGGGTTGCAGGGAAGTCAAAGCATATCCTATATCAGGAAAGTTCACAGGATATGCTTACCTTGTGTTGATGGTCTAGATAGAGTGTGTGAAAGATGAATGCAAAGCGTGGCAGTGAAGACGATGCTATGGGACTATCGTCCCAAGTAAACTCGATTTGCGCAAGCTGGGTTGGAGTCCGATTGTCATGTGAGTAAATATTTACGAGATGAGGGCGCAGGCTGTCGACGCTGCAAAAAAGACGCTTGAAAAGGCTCTAAATCCGGTCCCAAGACACAGATTACTATCAGGTCGGAAATTAAGCTGTGGGATATGCCAGCTAATAGCCCCACTCAATTCCATTTTATTTTTCCCATTTTATTTTTTGCAAGTCATATACGAGTGACAGATGGTGAGAAATAAAATGAGTTCTAATTGAGGTCAACGATTTTATTTTATTTCTGAAGTACAGCAGTGCACGTTGAGATTAGAATATGCTGAGGTGGCACATTGAACAACACAGCCTGAAGGCTTGAAGTCCAATGCAGCCACGCCGACAGTCATGGATGACGGATTCCAGTGGACATTCCCCGCCAAAAACACATACCCAGGAGTGCCGGATGTGTTCAAGCAAGTGCCCATGCTTCATGAACATACACAGCCTCCTCCGAACACAGATTATGATGCGCTACATACACCTTCTTTTGATCAGTATAACGGGACCCTCATCCAGCATGCTGACACTCACCAGATGCCCTGCCCCACCACACCAGCTCGCCAATCTCATTTCTATATTGATACAACCTCAGGTCTCCGTCAGTCCCCTCGAAAAACACAACCTCCGATGGTTATACCACTGCTCCGTTGCAGTTTAGTGTCAGACCGACTCACCAGCCTCATTGGCACGGGAACGAGAGAGCTGTGTTTGCTTCGCCATCAATTTTTTCACTGGGTGACCTTGCATTGACACCAGCAAAAATTCCTACACAGCGCAGACGGACACAGGCCACACCAAAGTCAGCACAAGCAGGTGGCACTATGACTCCAAAACCAAGAGCCTCGAAGAGTGGTGTTGATAACTCTGAGCCCTTGCCTGTCCTAAAGTCAAAGGTAGTCAGAGGCACGGGAGGCAGATCAGGTGAAGGCAACAGACGCACTTCAGGAAATTCGGATGACGAGATCTTGAAGCTTGCTGAGAACCAGCTGAGCCAGGCTGATCTGAAACTCGAAGCTGATGGACTTGCAGTGAACCAAGCTTTGAATTGTCTTTCACTAGAGTGTCCAAGCAGAATGTCGAAGAAATCCTTAGATTTTGGCTGGTTGTATTCTCCATGTATGCCATATTTCTTACTGAGTGATTTCCATCTATGGTCTGCAGCCAGTGCTGCCAGTGCAAGGCCGAGAAGTTCATCATTGTCATCTTCTGCTGCAGCCAGTTGTGCAATGGCCAGAAACTCAAGTTGTTTAGCTGTAGACTGATGGTGCTTTAGGGGCTTGCGTCCGAGACATCGTAGATGTGCCATGACATATGATGCATTGATGAATGTAGGTACTGGAGACAAGTAGCATCCCCGCGCTCGCATTGTTGAAACTCCGCAATGACGAGCACCGAACAACATACCTGCAGTCAAATAATATATCATTTTATTTTTTGTTCCCCATGGCAATCTACACTCACTCACTAAGAAATAAAATGAGAAAAATAAAATGGAATTGAGTGGGGCTAATGGGACATATATTACTGTGCGATGCTTACATGGATTCCGATGCAGGCCAGATCAATCCAAAGACAATTTGGATGTGTTATGAGTGGTATTGTGGCGCCTGCAATTTTGATATCATAAGACCAGGTAGCAGTTGGGGAACATTTTGGATATGATGTACCTGCGTGGAAGGAAAGAGATAACTTGTGGTGTGGGTCACCAGCATCCATGGTGAGAAGTTTTTTATAGGCAGGAGTGTTCAATTTCGGATTACGTAGTAATTTGCAAATCAAAATATACTTTGATTCAATCCTAAATACTTTTACTTGATTTCGCATCACAGCACTTCAATAATTTTCAATGACCTTGAGGCAGCCATCACCATCATGTCAATTTTGGTGATACAACCACTGGACGGGTATATCCAGCATGAACACTACTAGTAGAATGTTATAATCCCCAACATCTCCCACTCACTCACATCCATCCCTCAAATATGACTGTAGTCTCAAATCATCCCAGTTGGTTGCCGACAATCAATTCAGATATCTTGTTAAGCTATTGGATGGGTTTGTCATACCAACTAGTGATGTTTCGATCCAACATCAACTTGTGGTTTCGCAGTTGCCGCAGGCGTCATGGTACTATATGATTGGGGTGAGCAGGACAGTGTTCGCCATCACTGATATTCTTATGATATTCTCAGTTCTCACACTCAGACAAGAGGTACATTAATGTGATCCCCGGAGCAGCCAACTTGCTAAGAATGGTGTTATAGATTGAACTTATCTGGGTGAGTGACAGTCCCATATGAGGAGAAAAGCAACAGAACATAATGGATTATGGCAGAGGCAACGGTGGTTGCTCATGATTGTTCTATACCTGGTTGTTCATATATTATATGATACTAAGGCATGGTGACGGTTATGCTGACTCCAAAATGTTCTAGACACGCTATATTGCAATACCATATTCTGTGTATGTTATTGTGCAGCCAACAACTTCATGCTGTACTAATAGCTCATCTCTGATGACTAGTACTTGCTGTTGCTCTGCATACGTCTGATATGCACTGTGTTCAATTCTTCTGACTGGCTGCACAGTAACCATGACATCGGTCTCGCTGACAGATGCAGTAAGTATTCTGCAACCATCTCATTCCTATCCAATGGATACACTCATTTGTAGGGGTGAGTGACATTCTGACCATTCAACTTGGCTTGACATGATCATGCAATAGGTGTAAGTTGGAGTGTTTGATCCTAGTATGGGGATAGTTGCTAATCAAGTGTTTCAGGCAATATTTTGTTCTACACAAGAGGTGGAACAAATTCTATCGTAACTGCCATGTTGGGTGGTGAGTTACCCAGTCGTAATACCTTGGTAATATGAATTCGACTGAAACATGATGCAAGTTATCATGATTGCTCGGTTGCATGCCATGTATCAGGGATCTAGAATGATGTTCATCTTCCTTGTTGTCATCTTCCTGGCTGTCAATGTTGCCTGTGCAGTAATCGCGGCGATAGCACTCAGCCATACTGTAGTGAGTAAGCTTTTACTTGCTGACTTGCAGAACACAACTCATTGAATCAACCAGAGGAGTTGATAGTCTTTGGCACTCATATGTGCAGTGTCGAAGATAAAGGGGATGACCAGCCTCTGCCCTCAATGATTTACATGCTCAACACTATCTGGGAGGTCCTCGCACTGCATCTTTCAGTCTGGTGAAACAGTTCCTTGACCTGCGACGACTCAGCCCATCTACAGGGTCAACCATTAGCATTTGTTTCAGAGTGCTGATAAAATCTCACGTGCTTTATTGTGCAAGGTGAGCTAGCAATGTGGATATCATCATCTTTTTCCTGCTCAAGCTCCACACGTGCTAGCTTTTTTGGTGTCTCTTGTATCCAGTTTATCACACTCTCCAGAACTCAAGGCATCCATTGGAGTGGTGCCATTGTAGCATTGCATGCAACTGCAAATTGTGTGAACCTTTGAAGGGTGGAAGTACGTATGTTATTACTGATCGACAGCTGTTCAAGAACGGAACCAGCCAGATGTGTACCCATCATATGCCTGTGTCATGAATGAGTGGGATGCGACACTACAGTTCTGTGAATCGAGAAAAGTAACAGCATGTCTGAGCTGATGGCCCCAAAGATTCACCTATATTTCCCACAATACAGACTTGGTAAAGTGGCCTTATGTGACATGTAGCGCCGCTTAATAAAGCCTTGTATCTGCTTGTATGGAGCACTGCCGGTGTGCACCAGCAGTTTTAGGTGACTTAGCACTACCAGCACCTACAGCTATATTGGTATGTTTGCCACACATCCATTTTGGGTAATAACATCTGTTTGCCACTTCTCACGACGTCAAAACAGAGGTTGCTCACTGTCTACCACAGCGAGCTTGCATTATGGCTCAAAATCACACCAATTTTGTTAATTTTTTTTTGGTATGTAAGTCTTTTTTTATTTTATCTAATCACCCTCACTATGAACTGACTACTATCACTGCTATTTTCTAGTGTGCGACATTGATATTATGTATTGGTTGTGACATGTGACATTACAGCCCTCTGTCTCTAATCACCTCACCACTGCCACACTCTTAACCACCTCGCATCAAGCCCATCAAAGCCTGTCTAAGCATGACTCGCGGCGCTGTAGGAGGAGTTTCTAGAAAGTGTGTGGTCCAAGTTGGAGGCAAAAAGATGAGTTTGCACGCAGGAGGTATCCGACGATGAGAACAGGATGCTCATGAGCTCCAGGCAGCACTTTTAAAGAGTGAGTTCAATGTATGATCCTATTTGATATCTGTTGACTGAATTGCAGAGATCCCTCTATGAGAACGAGAATGCCTCCTGGAATCTGAACTCGCTTCTAAAGCCATCGCAAGTGATGATGTTGACTTTGGAATGGATTTCAATGCTGTCCTCCCTCCTCCTGGGGAAGAAGCCCATGCTCTCAGCCATGCAGGAGAAGAGATGTTGCTGTACCAGGAACTTGACCAGCTCATGAACGACCACCAAAAGTAAGTTTTTACATTCATATTGTGTGTGTAGCTATCATGACATATTGTCTTCATCTAGACGCTCTGACTTGCGAGACCAAAGTCAGCGTATTCACGACAAAGTTCACTCATGGTTAGAGCAATACAACACATTGTCAGAAGCTTTGCAAGCCTACCTTCATGATCATCTGCAACCACCTATCTACGACTCTAATGAACCAGAAACATTTTCTATCGAGGTTGTCGACATTTTCGGTGAGTGTATTCGTCCATCATCTAGCTTTGTCTGACATTACTGTACAGCTCACAAGGTCCGTACTTTCAAACACCAGTCGCCTTATATCAATGTCACATTGATGCACCATGGCTGCATTGGCTGTTCTGTGATACGTCCAAGCATAGCGATTACTATATGAACACTGGCCATGTACCAGCAAACACACCGCGTGTGTCCATGGCTTAGTATTCATGCTGAGGCAAAAAAGTTATGTCATCTACATAATGTGAGTCACCACTTCCTCAATCATTACTATATCTTAATTTCCACTTCAGGTTTATTATCATCGCTCTCTGGCAACTCAATACTGCATTGCATATGACATCTATCTTGAAGTTTTGTGGCGCATTGACATGAAGATTGATACCCACCTTGGGCATGATACTCCACACTGGTGCATGCTTAACTCTTGCCCTGCCTGTCAATACCAGCTCGAAGATGAACCTGCGCTGAAATTTTCTGTCCTCTGCACTTGTGATGGTAATAATTCCGTGAAGCTTGTTGATCCTGTCATTCACAGAGGCAATGAACATCTTGATCCATGATCTGGTCTCAGTTCCATATGGCTCACAGAGGAATATGTTGATGGCTTCAAAGACGAAGTCCAGAGTGCCTGTACCCATCAAGTCAAGGACATCCAAGTCAACCAGCAACAAATCCAGGACCCTGATGACCCATGGGTAGATGAACCTGACTCAACTGATGCAGAACTGAGCAATGTCTGCATTGACCGCTGGCATAATGCGGCGCCAGAGTCCCATAAGAAAATGTTTGCAATTTTCAAGAAGTCTGGCATACTCATCACCGTTTGTCGGCATGGATTTCTGCTCACCATTTGTGATATGGTACGAAGTGGAGAACTGTTAGCTAAAGTTTCTCTCATTTGCACTGGCCTGCTACTGACATCCTGTACTAGTATGAAGTACCCTATTGCCAGCTTAAAAAAGCTAATGGATGTCTTTGGGCTGAATATTCTTTACGGTTACAACATTAAATGCGCCTTCGAGAAAATCCTTCTTTGAAGCTCATTAGCTGATGACATGAAGTGGTTGAATATTCAAAGCGTTGTTCCCACATTTCACGGACATGCACACAACCGACTATGTCAAGTACAACACCATTCAAAGTACATGGTAGGCGCCGGAAAGGAGGATTTTGAGACATGTGAGCACGTGTTTTCAGAATCTAATGCCCTGGCTGCACAGACATGCAATGCCACAGAGTTCCACCACCACCAGGCACTAGACGAGCACTTTCGTTTTGCTGATATGGATAAGTATGCTAGGTTATTTATGACTTCACCTGTACATCAATCTGACCATTTATTTAGCGAATTTCATTCAAGCTCTCTCGATCATCAATGCCTCTACTATCTTCCTTTCGAATTTTCAAGCATCAACACCCAACATTGATTTTGCAGCTGACTTAGAGGATGAGTGTGCTTGTTTGCAAGCCCTCACATGCAAGAAGGATGAAACTTCTGTTGAAGTGGATTATGTGAAGGCTCTTGTTGATTTGGAAGATGTGCAGTAAGACTGACATCATTTTCATTAAAACACATCATTTAATCTATCTAGGGCTGCATATGACAACACTCAGACCGAGTTCCAAAAGCTCAATTTGAGACTCAATGTGTCAGCAAAGGATGCTGGACACGTACATCGACGACACACAAACACTACAAACAAGTTAGATCAGAAACTCGAGATTGTGGAGGACTATGAACGGCAGATGGCGCTTGAGACATGCTGGCACCCCAAACATCCAGAACAACTGAAGGCACAGTCTCAAATTACACACCGGCTATATCACAAGGCAGTGCGTGATGTTGAACACCTTGTTGTAATGAGGCTTCTCGAGCTCACGAAAATGCAAATGAATGGTCTTGGTAAGGTTTTTCTATACATTTTGACTGTGTATTGACATGTACGGATCCAGGTGACAAACTGTGCACTCAGATCTCCACCGCTCTCAAAATGTGTGCAACTGCAATCCGAAATGCTATCCAACGGTACAACAAGTATGCGGCCCTTCTTAATCCACCACGAGCCCCACTTCAATGGGAGCAAATTGTTGAATATTCATTCCTTGCGGAGTTCGACTTACTCCAAGACAGCGATAGCAACATTCAGGCCAAATGATGTGCGAGTCCCTCCTATCGCAACACATCAGCTCAATATTTCGAGTTGCAGCATGCCAAGGAGGAAGTTCAGCACTTGGATGTAGAGATCGGTTGCTTACTGACCAAGATTCGAGATGATAGATTAAAATATCCTGCTGCCATCAAGAAACTAGAGGAAACTGACCCCTTCCTTGCAGGGGAACTGACTTGGCATTGGCAGTATTTAAAATCTGTCAATGCACGTCATTTGTGGTGCTTCCGGAAAACTTGCTCTTTCCCAGGCTATAGCGGCCCCGTCTGTGCAGGCCTTCGACTAGGGCATGTGCAGCCAGATGACTCTGCAATTCCCCATGCTTCAGAGGAGGAGTCACAGAGTGTAGTAGAGAGCGAGGAAGAATGCGGTGACACAGATGAGCTTGAGCAAGTGCAGGATTATATTGATTCACTTGATCATCACATTACAGACACCAGTATTAATGAGTTGCGCACTATTATTTATCAGTAGTAGATCCCTGTGAATGCAGTTTTGATGTCACACAAGTTATCATTGCATGAGTTATCAGCATGCGAGAAATCTGAGAGGCCTAACCGCAAAGAATGAAGCATTTAATATTGTTGCAGTCACTGTACTATATAACATGAAATCAAAGGCTGCTACAGACAGGAAACTATGCAGCCGTAAGCTATGGTAATTGGAGTGTTGCACAGACAGTACAAATTGAACACTATCAGTAGTTAAATTGGATCACATTGCAGTAGATGCAGTAATCAGCTGCACGAGGTAAACACAAGGCAATTCACACTTGCCAGTGATTCGCACACTGCAATACATCTCTCCAGTTCCTGCTCACACATGGATTGGCAGTCTAACCCAATTTCTCATTCTCCTACTGTCAATGGCCTCCAGGAAGCACTTGCTTTATTTCCATGCCCAGAAAATATTGCTAATACTGCTGAATCCAGCAAGCATTGGAAATCAGCGCTGATCTCACTGTTGGCACACAAATTTCATACAGATGGCAACCACTTCCAATTGGACGCCAGAGTCGGTTTTCATCCTCTTACTGTTGATCACTACCACACAGGATCCTCAAAGTTTGAGAAAAGTAGTCAAAGCACCAAGTATCAGAACTGGCAGGCACATACTGAACACATAAAAATGATTTTGCACAATGTCTTGGATCTGGTGAGCTCTTTCTGTCGTTTTTATGCTGGCTACTTACTGATACACTCAGTGTATGCTACTGGATATGTTAACAGGTGGTTCAACAGTCTTTTTACACCATCCTGGCGCAGTAGCTCCCAAGTCCACAATCATTCCGCAAATGCTTAACACCCATGTCTATGCCAACCCGAAAATTCTTGCAGAACACCCCGAACTTCATGTTGTGATTGCACAGATCTCCCAGTTGTTTACTGCCCACTATGCTATTCCATTGGCTCAATCATTTGCCGCTCATTGTTATTGTGCTAGGTGGTCGAGTTCATCTGCTCAGGATGCATATCCGCAAGCAAACAGGATGGATGACTCAAAGTTACTGCTTGTTCCACCTCCCATCACTCCAGGTTCATTGCATTTTGTAATCCCTGGATGTCCAATGGATACCCTTCATCAGTTACTTTCCTGCCCTCAGCTCTTATCATATCTCCCCAAATCAGACACCGGTTGCATGCACTCAAACACAGAGAATACCCGTAAGGTAAGCGCATGAATTTTTTTTTGATGAAATCTAATTACCGATCAACAGGGTGGATCAAGCATCAAAGCTGCTGATTATGCTTTCAATTATGATGCTGAGCCCTCTCTTGCTGCTGTGCCCTCAACACCAGTTGCTGAAAGAACAGTGAAAATACCTGCAACTGAACCAGTACTTTGAACTCTGTCATTAGGCCATGCCTATCCTCCCTCATCATTGGGCTTGTCCTTTGACTCTGGACTTCAGCCTCTTGTATCATTCAGCGCTGAGACGGAGAATGTTCTGGAAGTCCTTGGTTACCCAGACACTTTTCACCGGGTCTGTATCCAAATCCAGACTTTCTGCTGAAACGCTGGGTTGCTAAGCTTCAGGATGAGCCCTACCAGCTGCTGAAGGACCATGCTGAAATGATCGGAGAAGCAATGTTGATGGACACTAAGTGTAATTAGTTCAAATCCTTCTGGGGACATGCTGTCAACTCAACCGTTTACCTGTTTGTTTTTGTATAATATAATGCAATATATACACTGCAAGTGTCCTGACTCCCAAAAATTGTCATCCTAAGCATCATGCCCATAGCACCTTGGCCTCATAATGTTCGTCGACTGTTGTCAAAAACTCGATGTCCTTACGTGAAGATTTCAAAGGAGCTTCAGCAGCAATTGGCCGAATGCCGGCATGCTAAGCAACTTGATGAAGATCAAGAAATTCAAGCAGTTCTCAACTACCTCGAGATGAAGGCAACAGAACTCGCTTTGAAATTTAAGCAGCCCCGACATCATTACCTTGAATGTTTTTCACTAGGCTCTGCACCTCACCACCACAAACGCAATAAGACCAGTGCTTGGCATGCATTTTTGCATTTCAAAGGCGGTAAGTACTTACTAACATATGGTGTTTACTTCACTAACATTGTTTTCAGATAATGGACAGTCTAATATAGTAGACCTTGTGAAAGACAAGGCTGAATATCACTCCCTCAAGAAGGCTGAGAAGGAGACACTTATCAAGGAATTTGACCAGGTTAAGGCCAGCACAAGCCAGCGTCCTCCCACCATAACTGCTCGTTCACGTGCAGCTGAGTGTGCATGTAGTTTTCAATTTGTCAAGGAAGAGGTACATATATTGCATGCTACATTTACATATTACTAATACTGCATCAACAGCTTGATGCTTTAAAGCAGTGCATGGGTGTAGAGGCCATAGTCCTCATGGTCCGCAGGGTTTCCGACTTTGCTATGGCACCAAAAGCTGTTTTTTCAAGTGCTGCTGCTGAGCAGTTTGTTCACTTATATCTACGGAAGGACATTGCGCAGCTTGCAACAGAGTTTGAAAGCACCATCCTGGCTAATGGTGTCATCCTCAGTGAGTCATTTCTTTCATTAATTTTTCAACTCTAACTACATACATGTATAGCTTCAGCTATGAATCATCGCAACCGTGTCTCAAAAGCAAAGGCTTCAATCTGACTCAACCTCTGCACATCTCTGTGTAAGTACAAAGTTATTACTTGTGTCACTTGCACTGACTCAATTAACAGGTGAACTCACTGGTGATGCAAAAGCCTCTGTCAAGTTCATGCACTACGAGGTTTGTGTGGTCCAGTGCTATTTGGTAAAGCTTGTCGGATGGAACCACCCGCAATGGCTCAATCCTTCAGACTTGAAAGGGGGCCTCAACGCCCTCAAGAAAGTTGTGGAGGCCTTGTCAAAGGGGACATGCCATTTCGTCAAGATCACTCAAGATGAAGTCAAAGAACGGCAGTGCCGTATTGCTGCTGGGGAGAAACTCACCCCAGAGTTAGAACCACCTGTGCCTCTCAATGACATTCCTCTCAACGACATTCTTCCTAGCGCAGCCTCAAGCCAGGCAACACAGGCTGATCACGACCCTTTTGACAATACCTCATCTACTGAAGTTTGTCTCCCTACTGAGGATCAAACCACTTAACAAGCCAGTCCTACAGTGCTTGCTCACACAAGTCCCAGTATCAATTCTTCATCAATACCAGATGACCTCATTGATCCTGTCCTTCGGACCTCTGATAATTGTAAGTACTTATGTTTCTTGGCACTCCGTATGAACCCTAACTTTTTCATTAGCGTCTGCCACTGTTCAGCCATCTCCAACATCACTGGCTGCATCATCCCCACCATCTCCGACATTTTCGCCAGTGTCCACCCCACCATCTCCACCATCTTCGCCTGTGCCAACCCCAACATCTTCAACATCACTGCCTGTGTCACCCCCATGAACACCTCCTATTCATGCATCATCAGCAGTGGCATCTCAGACGACTGCTGAAGACAATGTTCTCATGGCAACCACAAATACTTGCAAGTGGGTGCAAGTTCAGCCATTGGAAGGACAATCAGGATGGGAAAAGCATGCGCGGAAGCTCACAGAAAGAGCACAGGCATTCTGGGATGATTCAGGCAAAGATAATCAGATAGCACCAACTGCTGCATCAGGCCGAAGAAAGAACCAGAGCATCTCAAAGCAAAAGAGCTCTCAGCTTGTGCTGTCTGACCTGGAGAACGCTTAGATACTCATTGTTGTAGCCCTGTGAACTTGAATACATGTCATGCCCTCACCACCATTTTCATTTAGACCTTGCACACACAACAAGCAGCTGAAGTGTCTTTGATAGAAGCAGCAATAACAGTATTGGAGGTCTTTTACAGCGCAAATTAGTGTTATTTGACTAACATATCTATCAGAATATTGTGCATATGACATATGTACAAAAAAAAAGAAACCAAAATGGTGTGATTTGGAACTATGTGTGAGCTCACTGTGGTAGACAGTGAGCAGACTCTGTTTGGACGTCGTGAGAAGTGGCAAACAGATGTTATTATCCAGAACGGATGTGTGGCAAACATACCAATATAGCCGTAGGTGCTGGTAGTGCTAAGTCACCTAAAACTGCTGGTGCGCACCAGCGGTGCTCCATACAAGCAGATACCTTTATTAAGCGGCGCTACATGTCACATAAGGCTGCTTTACCAAGTCCGTATTGTGGGAAATATAGATGCAAAGATTTTACGATCATCAATTCTATTTGGGATCCATCTATCTGGGCAAAACGAAAAAAGAAGTGAGCGTGATGAGTAGAAGCCTAGATGGCTGATAACACAATGGCTCTGGCTCGCAGGACACAACTACTGAGTCATCTGTCATCCGGACTGGACTCAACAGGCAAATGGGGAAAATCATGTTTGTGAAAACAAATAAATTGTGAGGGAATAATGGATGGAGTACGATAAGCGAGGAGTCATCGCGTTAATGCGAATGAGGCCACGGGCAGCGTAGCTACTGAGTTTGCAACAAAAAAAAACACTCTAAAAGGCTGTAAATCAGGTCCTAGGGTACGGATCACTATCAGATTGTTGTAGGATAGAGTTATGCGCAGCTTGCTAGCAAACAGAATATGTTATACTTACACATATGGGGATTCGAGAATGTTCAATATTAAGAGTACAAGAAGATGTGAACGTTGACGATCCAGGGATGATGTAAATCACTTGTGGAGTATTAGGTGACTTGCTGTATCCATTATGGCAGCAAGTCTTTTTATGGAAGAGTGTTTGACTTTGGAGTATCAATACAGAGCACTAAACGAGTCTAGCATTACCTTGCAAATCAAAACTTACTTCAAGACGCATCGCAATCATGAAAATTTCACCTACTCCAACAGATTCCAAGGGCCTTGAGCTTGAGGCCTCTTCGGAGGCGACAATCAATATATTCTTCACCATTATGCCGATTTTGGCGATACAAGCGCTGAACAGTAGTATATCTAGCACGAATAATAGATCTTTATAATCCCTAACATCCCCTACTCGCTCACACCCATTCCTCAGATATGACCTACGTCTCAAACGATCCCAGCTTTTGGCTGATGATCAATTGGAATGTTGCTTTCGGCTATTGGACGGGTTCGTTACATCAGTCGGTGATGCATTGATGTCTCGATCTAACATCGACTTGCCGTTTTGCACTGGCAGTTGCCACAGGCCTCGTGGTAGTATACGATTGGAGTGAGCAAGACAGTGTTCGAAAAACATTGATATTCTCATGATATTTCCAGTGCTAACTCTCGCACAAGAAGTAGGTCAATGTTATCCCTTGAGTAGTCAACTCACTAACAATCGTGTTATAGATTGAACTGATCTGGGTGAGTGACAGAGTCCCATATCAGGAGAAATGGAACAAAAGACGATGAATTTGGGGCAGGGACAACGCTGGTCTCTCATGACTGCACTATATCCTTGTTCGTACCTCATGCTATGCTAAAGCGTGGTTGGCAAGTTCTGATTCCAAAATGTTTCAGGTATGCTATGCTGGAATACCATACTCCGTGTATGTTTTTGAAGCCAATAAGTTGGTGTTGTGCTAATAGCCTGCCTCACATTATCAGTATCAATATTCTGTGTATGTCTCATATGCACCATGTTTGATTCTTCTGACCAGCAGCACATATTGACAGCCTTTACGCCAATGATCTCGCTGACAGATGCAGTGAGTATTTCGCAACCATCTCATCCATATCCAATGATTGCATTCATTTGTAGGGGTGAGTGAGATTCTGAACATCTGACTTGGCTCAAGATAATCGGTCAATAGGTGTGAGTCCGAGTGTTTGATTCTAGTACGAAGGCGATCGCTAAGCCGGCGTTTCAGGTAATGTTGTGTACTGCGCAGTAAATGGGATGAGTGTGGTCGTACCTGCCATGTTGGGCGGTGAGTCGCTCCGCTGCAATACCTCAGTGATATCGACTCAACTGACACATGATGCAAGTCATCATGATTGCTCGGTTGCATGCCATGTATCAAGGATCTAGAACCATGCTTAGCTTCCTTATTATCATCTTCATGGCCATAAACATAGCCTGCGGAGTAATTATGGCAATAGGACTCAAGAATACCGCAGCGGGTGAGCTCTACTTGTTGACTTGAAGAACGCGGCTCACTGGACAAACACCAGAGGAGCTGATACTCTCTGGCGTGTATATGTGCTATAATGGACCTGATGGGGACGGCCAGCTTCTGATTTCAATGGTTTGGCTGCTCAACACTGTTTGGGAGGTCTTCACACTCTGCCTTTCAGTCTGGATTGCTGTGAAATACTTCCGTGACCTGCGACGACTCGGTCCCTTAACAGGATTGACTATCGGGGACTGTTTCACAGTACTGATAAAATCTCATGTGATTTATTTTGCAAGGTGAGCTTGTAATGTGAATGTGCTCGTGTGTTTCTGCTCAAATTCCGCACGTGCTAGCTTTGTTTGTGTCTCTTGCATCCAACTTATCACTTTCGCCCCAGAGCTCGAGGTGCGCCGACTTGTGGCTGATACCTCCTTGTAACCGTTGCTCATTATTTCTCTAGAATCCAAGTTCTAACGAAGTTGTGATACTCTATGGCGCTGCTCAGATTTTATTTAGTGTGCAGATGTTCGTGCTGGGACCACGCCTCATCCTTAGCGTTCGACAGTATCACGCTAAACTCGTGTCCAACTCCGACGCAGAATTCAGCATGAATTCAATTGTCTTCAAAGAGCGTGTCCACGTACCGACTAGCAGTACTGTGTAGGGAATTGCTTGCCGAGTGTTCTGTACGGAGGAGAAAATGGTCAGGGATCCGTCATACCATTATTTATTTTAGTTCTGGTGCTCCAAAGTATATTTTAGACCAGGTTTATGTAGATATTCCTTATTGTATTACTACTAGATGTCAGTGAACTGCCCGCCCACACTTGAAGTGTTGCACTAAGCGTCAAGCTGAAAAGCATGGCAACAAGATCTCAGAGGTGGACTGAGTGGGGAGCAAATAATTAGTCTAAGAACGGGAGCTTCGACTCAGAAGGCTTCGAGTACACTCGTCAAAAGTATCAACGAGGCATTAGACATGTTTTATTCACCACTAGACTATCGGAGTTGTGCCATTGTAGTGCTGCACCATGCAACTGCAGACCGTGCATCGGGTTTGCACACCATGTCATCCATCTGAGCAGCGGAGAAGTAGTAAAAAATTGTGCGTAAAGGGTGGAAGGAGGTACTGTTCAAGCATCATTCAATGATATCAAGCATGTCAATTTACAAAAGAGACTTACAGTGTGAGTATATGCCCCATCACCGACGAATGAGCGTGGCAAGGAGTCTCAGCTTACCACTTGGTTCAAGCGCGGATACTTTGTTCCAGTAGCGATACAACGTTTGCCTAGACCTTTCAAATATACTTTAAAACACCATATGTACCACGACGGATCCTCCACCAAATTTCTCCTCCCTGCAGACCACTCGGCAAGCATTTTCCTACACAGTACTGCTAGTGGATACGTGTACCTCCTGGAAAACAATCGAATTCATGCTAGTTTCTGCGTCAGAGTATGCCACGAGTTTGGCGTGGTGTTCTCGAATGCTAAGAATGAGGCGTGGTCCCAGCACAAACATCTGCACGATCGTTAAGACCAAAAGAGCAACATAAAGTATCTGAGATCCAATATAATTTGAATCCTACAGAAATGATGAGCAATGGTTATACGCAGATGTCAGCAATAGGTCGGCGCACCACGAGTAATGGCGAGGCATTAGCAAGCTGGAGGCAAGAGACACTAACAAAGCTAACATGTGCGGAACTTGAGCAAAAAATATAACCGCGGTCACATCACAAGCTCACCTTGCAAAATAAAGAACATGAGATTGCATCAGCACTCTGTAATAGTCCCCGATGGTTGATCCTGTTGATCCCGTCGATGAGTCGAGTCGTCGCTTACGGAAGTGTTTCACAGCAACCCAGACTGAAAGACACAGTGCGAGGACCTCCCAAATAGTGTTGAGCATCCAAATCATTGAAATAAGAAGCGATGAGTCCCCTTCAACTCCATAAACGCACAGATATGTGCCAGAGAGTATCAGCTCCTCTGGTGTTTGTCCAATGAGCTGTGTTCTCAAGTCAACAAGTAAAGCCTACCCCCTACAGCATACTTGAGTCCTATTGCCAAGAGTACTACGCAGGTGATGTTAACCGTCAGAAAGATGATAACAAGGAAGGTGAGCATCATTCTAGATCCTTGATACATAGCATGTAAGCGAGCAATCATGATGACTTGCATCAGGTTTCAGTCAAGTCGATGTCACAGAGGTATTGCAGCTAGGTGACTCACCGCCTAACGCAGTAGCTACGACCACATTTGTCCCACTCAGTACGTGGTTCGTGATAGTGCCTGAAACTCCCAATCAGTGAACACCCTCGCACTAGTATCAAAGACACCAACTTACACCTATTGAGTCATTATGTTGAGCCAAGTTCAATGGTTGGAATCTCACTCACCCCTACATATGAGTGTATTGATTGGATGGAAATGAGATGGATGCAGAATACTCACTGCATCTGTCAGCGATACCGGTATAGTTGCTGTGTCTCGCCAGTCAGAAAAATGGAACACAGCGCATATGAGACATACAAAGAAGCCAGACACTAGGGTCAGAGATGAGCCATTAGCACAGTGCAAAGTTATTTATCTCGACACATACACAGAATAT